GCATCATCGCCTCACTGTTGGCTTGAAGGGGGAAGGGCATAAATACAGAAGGAGGATTGCAGTAGCTGGAGGAGAGCGAGTTTGTTACTGCCTAGCTGTACCGGCGCAGTCTTCACACTGCGTCATTTGGCGCGGCCATAGCTAGTATCCAACACAAGCACTGTCATTACGTGTGTTCGTCGAGAGCGAGGAAGCATATCGTCTATCTTGTTCATCTGGCATCGACATCGTCAGCGTTGCGACTCCTCGACCGCAGAGTCAGCCGCTCACCCAGCCCTTTGCGCGCAAGTTTCACGTCTTCTAACACAGCACATATCCCCTCTTGTCTAACCCCAGATATTCTTGCCCATCATGTCTGTGTCAGCTGCTGAAGTGGCTGCTGACTTTCGGGATGCCCTGCAAGATTTGAGGATGAACAGCAGACCTGAGATTAGCAATCTAACCCTCATCGCCAAAGAAAACACAGAGTATGCGGAAGCCATATCCAACGAGCTTCAGAAGCATATCCAATCGGTACGTCTTGGAAACGTGTAGACTAACAACTCTATCATTCAGTTCAAACTTACTTTACCCACCGATGACTGACATGGCATAGACTCGCCCCGAATGGAAGCTTCCAGCCCTCTACGTCCTTGATTCGATTGCTAAGAATGTTGGCACGCCCTACACCGTCTACATTGGTCGCAACCTTTACAGAACCTTCATGGACGCCTATCTCGTGATGGATCAAAACACACGCAAGAACATGGAAGGCTTGCTGAAGACGTGGAAGATGCCTGTGCCCGAGTCTATGGACCCTCGCCCTGTGTTTCAAGCCGACGTGACACAGGACATAGAGAATGCACTGGCTAAATTCCGCGCAGCTCAGCAACAGATTCGGCCACAACACGCGCTTCCCCCTCGTCCTCCGTCACTCAATGTCGCCTGGAGGGGTACATCCACGCCGCCGCAAACTGGACCACGTTATGCCGCTCCCAACGATCCGCGTGCTCGGCCGGTAGGTTTTCAATACGATCTTCAGACAATCTTGCTGACCAACTTTCCAGTCACAACCCCCGACACCTCAATATCCACCATCACACGCATCCACACCACCTACATACCAGCAGCCTCAGCATGCCCAGCCCATGTCATCGGTTGATCTTGCCGACTTGAAGGTGGAAGTGACACAGCTTATTAGCACAACGCAGAACATGTTCGCGCACAACCCAGCTGACGCTGCTCTACGTACAAAGTTGTCGGCACTCCTGTCCCTCAAGCAGATCCTGGACACACAGACGTTGCCTCCTCAACAACTAGAGGCTGTACGTCAACAGGTCCGAGCATTAGCACCTCCACCAGCACCAACACCGACATTTGCTCCTTCTACGCCAGTGTACCCACCACAGCAGGCAATGCCCCAAGGCTATCCGCCGAACTTTTCTCCGATGGGTGCACCTCCGAGCAGCGCTCCGCCAAATGTCGCGCAACTTCTGGCAGGCTTCCGACCAACACCACAGTCGACTCCACAACCCGCACCGACCCCGAATCCACCTGCCTTGAACTTGGCAGAGTTACTCAAACGTGTATCTTCCCCAGCGCAATCGAACTCGGTGCCTGCCCCAGCCCCGTTCCAAATGCCATTCCAAGGCTTCCCGCCGCCAGTCTCGACTCCTGTACAGACACCTCAGGCTCCTCCGCCTACCCAGTCCGCGACACCCACTGCTAATCTCGCTGCCTTGCTTGCGCAGTTTAGTAAACCCGGTGCTGTCCCGCCCTCAATGTCGTCCACGCCTGTGCAGAGTACTCCCGTTCCCCAGTTACCACCACAACCTGTCGCTGCGGCTCCAGCCCTTGGATCCGCCGAGTGGCTTCTGAAAGCTCTGAGTGGTGTACCTGGTGGGATACCTGCAAACCCAACGCCAATTCAGTCCCAGCCGACCACACAACAACCACTTGCGCCAGGTAGCTTGATGGAACAAATCGAGCTCACCACGGCATCAATGAAGAAGCCTCGTCTTCACCTCATCTCCCGCCTTTACGAAGCCAAGCCCAACATCTGCGCCACATGTGGCCGTCGCTTTGAGAACACACCCGAAGGCAAAGAGAAGAAAGCACGCCACATGGACTGGCATTTCAAAGTCAAGGACCCAGATGCCGCCAAGCGAGGTGTACACCGCAGCTGGTACATACCCGAGAAGGAGTGGATCGAGTACCGCGAAGTCGACGAGACAGCCCCCAACCAGTCCAACGACGGTTCCTCTGGTACAAGTGGTGCTAAACCGAAGAAACAGGCCAAGGACCGCTATGTGAGCGTCCCCCAAGACGTCACACTACAGCAAGCACCGTGCCCCATCTGCCAGGACAAGTTCGAGACGCAGTGGAATGTAGAGGCCAACGACTTTGTATGGATGGATGCCGTAAGTGTGGGTGGTAAGATATACCATGCTACTTGTTTTGAGGAGGTTTATGGCAAGGGTGTTGGTATTGAGGCGCCAGGCACACCTGACTCAGTACTTGGAAAGAGGAAGGCTGATGCTGGTGTCAATGGGGAGGGAAAGAAGGTTAGGGCTTATTAGACATCACCTCCCACTTTGACGCGTTGATGTTCAGCCAACTTTCCGAAAGCACAATGAAGGTGGCCTTTTGTAGCATAGCGTGGCGTTGAGCGATTTCCAATCTCAACTACTTTGTACATTTTGACACAGCCATATAATATTTGGGCTTTTACGTACATCACATTGACCATACTCAATGGTAAGAATCAAACATTCAAATGAACAGATACTATGCACTTCCCTATGACTTGGACATAGATGCCTACGATCGATTTGATATTCTACTGCAGGTACTGAGTCTTGCATACAGCACGCTTGTAGAATATCCGAAAGACACGCATTTCTTATCATGGGTTTAGAACATGTCAAGTAACCTAGAGTAAATCAAAGCCGCTTCAACTTGTATATTCCGTCACGATATATCTATGTACAAGACTCTGACCAAGCATTCTATACCCACTCCTTTGGATTCTTGAGGACGTCTATTAACCGTTCCTCCCTGCTGCCCTTTGCAGGTTCATGCATATACTGCCACCTTGCCGTAAGGGGCAGACTCATGAGAATACTCTCAACGCGTGCACCAGGTGTGTTCAGACCAAAAGCCGTTCCACGGTCGTGCACAAGGTTGAACTCGACATAGCGTCCTCTACGGATCTGCTGCCACTGCTTCATCTCGCCCGTGTAGGGCATGTCCTTCCGCCTGTTGATGATGGGCAGGTAGGAAGGCAAGAAAGCAGACAAACAGTCCTGTATGAATGAGAATAGTTGTTCCTGGTCCTTCTCCGTCTCATCGAGGTCGTCAAAGAAGATGCCGCCTACACCTCGTGTCTCGCCCCGGTGCTTGTTGCTGAAGTACTCGTCGCACCACTTTTTAAATCGCGGGTAGTATGCCTTGTCGTGCTTGTCGCAGGCTTGCTTAATGGCGCCGTGGAAGTGTATCGCGTCTTCGTCATAGAGGTAGGAGGGTGTGAGATCGCAGCCGCCGCCGTACCACCATGCGTTTGTGTTTCCCAGCTCATCGGCAGTCTCGAAGTAGCGGTAGTTAAGATGTACGGTCGGTGCGTTGGGGTTGTGTGGGTGGAGGACCATGGATAGGCCTGCGGCAAAGAACTCGAGCGAATCGACGTTGGGGTCGAGAGCCTTGTGATTGGCGCGCATCTTTTGTATGGCGGCTTTGGGTAGGCGTCCGTATACGACTGAGGTGTTTACGCCGCCCTTCTCGAACACATTGCCGTCTTGCAGGATACAAGTGATGCCACCACCGCCTTCTGGTCGCTGCCATGTGTCGATCTTGAACTTGGTGCCATCGACCTTCTCCAACTCAGCCACGATTTCCTTCTGGTTCTGCTTTATGAATTGCTCCATTCGGAGGCGCATGGGTGATTGCTCGGAGACGCCATTCTCACGTTTGAGCAGGGCATCCTTCTCGGCGATGGAAGGTGCTTCGGTCTTAATCGTATCGTCGGTCCACTGTGACATGGTCAATAAGGTTCAAGGCAATATTCAGGGTCTCTATGTACCATGGAGTAGACCAAGGCCCCAATGAAGGGTACAAATAGCAACCGTATCCTGTTCGGCCATTTGCTCGGTGGAGGATTACGCCATTCTTCCAAGGGATCCGGCTTCTCCGGTTCCTTGCCTGAAGGTAGGTCTAGGCGGCGACTGGGTGAAGAGTGTAATTGTCTATTGCAGATGTGATTCGGACGTAGTGTTCGCTGCGGCGCATGGCTGTGGGGAAGCTCGAGAGCTCTTGAAATGCGGAGTGAAGATCGGAATGGACGCATGGCGGGCGCGTGGAATCTTGAGGAGACGTTCACCGCGTGTGAATCATTGGAGGTATGTAAAAGTCGTGAATTGATTTATACAGAGTCTGCGAGAGAAAGTCGGTGGTTTGGAAAGTTGTCGTGCATCACACCACGGTGGGCGCATCATCAGTGGAGCTCCTCGGTACTCCTACTAGCGGTATCGGTACCTGCATCATGCAAATACGGCAAACTTGCCATTATGGACAACGAAGGTGAGGACGCGCGAAAGCGCTTATTTTGAACTGTACCGCTGTCGGCTTTTGACGGTTTGAGTGCTCAAGACATATGTGTACCTGTTGGTAGGCGTGCAGCACGCGGTCGCGAGGGTTCGTTGGCGGTACTTGCCAGGTGAAGTTGGTGACTGTTTCATCCATGACGGATATCTCACGGTGCGTAGAAAGTACTCGTTCGTACTGCTATGGGAGGCGTCCAAAAAGACAGCCACGTTGGTATGGGCGGCAAGGTGCTCGGACGCGCTTCATGGCGGCGAACGCGCGTGTCGAACGCGTTGACTTCGAACGATGGAATGATGTAGCCTACGTCAAGTTCAAGATAGCGTCACGACGCATGCCTACAGTGGCGGTGCTCAAGTCGATGGATGACTCAACCTTGAATGCGTCCGGGAGACGCAGGTCATGGGAGCTTAGCAAGTGACATGGTGGGCGCGAAGCGGTCAGCACAGCCATAGAGGAGAATCAGGTCGCTCTTCACAGGTGAAAAGGACTGTATTCGCATGACGAAAGAGGGCTGATTGCACTGTCTCTGATTCCCAGAGAGCACCTGGCTGGCGCGTGAAGCGTTGGTCGCCTGTTGCATATGGCATGTGCATGGATGGTCACTGGCTTGGGCGTTGGTACGGACGGTGGTTAGGTAAGGCTGGAAGTGATTCGCCCCGCTCTGCTGCCTGCCCTTAAACTCCCACACCGCCCGCACCCTCAGCGTCCTACATCTCCACCCGCACAACTGACAAAACTCCCGCCTGCTCACTCTACACACTCACATACACTACCCAACACCCTTATACACACCCAAGATGCGTTCTAAGTTCAAGGACGAGCACCCGTTCGAGAAGCGCAAGGCCGAGGCGGAGCGCATTCGCCAGAAGTACAACGACCGCATTCCCGTACGTTTGCCTCTCACCTGTTCATTTCCTCCACCATGGGCAGCAGCTAACAAGCGCAGGTTATCTGCGAGAAGGTCGAGAAGTCGGACATCGCAACCATCGACAAGAAGAAGTACCTGGTACCCGCCGACCTGACCGTCGGACAGTTCGTCTACGTGATCCGCAAGCGCATCAAGCTGTCGCCTGAGAAGGCCATCTTCATCTTCGTTGATGAGGTCCTGCCGCCTACCGCCGCTCTCATGAGCTCGATATATGAGGAGCACAAGGATGAGGATGGCTTCCTGTACATTACGTACGTAATCCATTAGCCGCGCAACGCGAGGCAGCTGCTAACAATCTCATAGGTACTCGGGCGAGAACACATTCGGCGAGGCCATCTAGGGAGCTCACTCTATCCCGCATCCCCTTATCTATCGGTTATCAAGGCCGCGGCGAACTCACGGGCGTTATCGGATCACGGGTTTCTTCATTATTTCATGGCAACACTACACGGGCTGGGTGATGAATCGGTATTCTTGATGGGCGATTTGGCGCGACGGCAGACTCCTCAGCACTCAGCACTAGGCAAACATCATCTGAGAATGAGGCGGATCAAGCACAAGACAGCAAGAATGCACTCCGCTGGAGATGGAGCTCCACGGATATCATGGGTGGCGGCCGGACAGATTGGCTTCTTCTTTTGCGCTGTACCTGTAGCTTGGTCATCATATTGCAGCCCAAATGCACCGGACTTAATCCAAGACCAGCATCTTCACATGACCCCATCTGTGACGTCTCGCATCTATCTCGTGAAGCGCTATCTGTACCTGACAAGGCAGCGTGACTTGCGGCTCCTCCGGGCTGAAACCCATGACGCCATCACCCGCCTCACTAGACGTCTAACCGCCTCAATACAACCAGCTGCATGCAGACCAGATGCACAACATAGATAATAAAAACGACAAGAACTATCCTGGCACCTTCTGAAACCGTGACATGCTTTCCAAGCGGCTTTCGACGCGTGCTTGCCCAAGTAGTCCGCATGGCGCGACCGCGGACGTGGGGAAGCTCCAGGCCGGCGGCAGGCACGGACCACAGCAAATGCAGGTGCAGTGGATCTTTGATGGACGCGATCTGAGAAGTTGATCAAGACCCCGACGTGAACTTCTGTCCTTGCCGATTCGTACCTGCAGAGCAGTTGTAGTCGACTAAAACCTCACCATTTGACTGCAGTTATATCGCCTCCGAAAGACCTTTCAGACACCCCGCAGTCATGGCGGCCCAGTACATCATATCAAAGTGAGCCTTCCCTCTCGCCGACATGGGTTCTGAGGCTGACAATCTGCGCAGAGGTCTCGACCCTCTCTTCGCGATATCCATCGGTCTCGCCGCTGCCTTCACACGGATAAATCGCGAAGAGAAAGAGAGGGGTCGGTCCTCACAAGAGAGCATAGATGTGTTGAAGAGGAGATGGAATTTGGCGTGGCAGGGCAGCGAAGCGGAGAAGAAGGCATGAATGCTATAATGTTGATAGGCATGGGGAGCCAAGGCAGGACCGTGCTGATATGGCAAGCAAGCTGTACGAAGTCGCACGTAGAGCACAGCGACAGCTACATTGAGAGCGAGCGACATGATACCCGATCAGGAACGGACTATCAAGAGTGAAGCATAGTACCAGGAAACACATCAAGCTGTGAAAATTGTCATGGCCTTCACATTCCGGCCTCTCCTAAGCATGTCCGACATAGTCATCTCTGCTTGACTAGTCTCAACACACTCAAGGACGGTTCCTGGATGCACCCCATTCAAGGGAAAATTTGGATACCTATCTGCGCGAAGTATAACTATTAGAAAAAAAGCTAAGAAGGCTACATTGCCTTAACAATCTACAAACTTAAATTGTCAAGGCACTGTAGACTTTAGGGCACCTGTCCAAGTTTTCCCTTGAATGGGGTGAATGCTTACTCCGTTGAATGTCCGCCGCAGCGAGTCAATACGATAGTGACAACGGCGAATAACAGGCGCCGCAGAGACATCCTCCGTAGCCCAACGCTGGTTGGTCGGGGTCCAGGGTAAGTGAAAGCATGTTAACGTGTGCCAGAGAGTCGGTGTACTGACATGAAATCCACGCATTCTAGCTCACTTTTGGAAGGCTCCTAGGTTCGTACTGTGATATCCCGATTCCCCGAGTGGGGGTTCGGTATTGTCTTCATTGGCCCGACGGTCTTGCCTAGCAGGTTCTGACGAATAGGAACTCATGGCGGAGTAGTCCACGGAAGTGGCGATATAAGTTCCGAAGAGTATCACCACGCCACGGTAACGGATTCCTGCTACATGGGAACGGCTGGACGTATATGACGCTACGAGTCATGGCATATCCTAGAATCGTGAGCACCTGACCTCACAACGTTACACCGCGGCACCGGGTACATGACGATCATCATTCCTAAGGCTTCACCGACACTCAGATACGAAAAAGTCAGAGAAGTCTTACATCCGCCGGTTAAGATATCCTTCTAGGTGCCGAACTCTGTCCGTGTGTGACTACATATGCTTGTAGTAGTACGATTAAGCAGTCAACTCCAACTGAGACGAACACCGCAGTTGCTTACCTCAGAATGGATACCTTAGCCAACAACACGCATCCGAAGTGGTGGAAAGATCCGGGCATGAAGAAACTAAACTTCTTGCTCCTTTCAAGCTACATAGGCGCCATAACGAACGGTTACATCAGTTCCCTCATCTCCAACCTTATTGCCAACCCCAGATACTTCCAAGATATACAAGGGCTTTCCCATCCGAAGCTGCTCGGGCTAGTCACCGCTGCTCAGTCCATGGGATGCATCGCTGCTTTCTTTCCGGCACCCTGGCTATCAGATAAGTACGGCCGTCGTGTAGGAATCATCTTTGGAAACATCGGGATGATAGCCGGCTTTACAGGGCAGATCTTCTGTACGCGATTCGATCAGTTTCTGGGGATGCGTATACTCGTCGGATTTTCGAGCATTTCCAACACGATTTCTTCATCCGCTCTACTCGTCGAGCTTGCACATCCACGTCAGAGAGCTGTTGCAGGTGCTCTCTTCAACACCTGCTACTTCATCGGCTCAATCACCGCGGCTTGGGCATCTTACGGAGCTTTGAGGATACCGGGTTCGTGGTCATGGAAACTACCGGTAGCGATCCAGCTGTTCTGGTCACTGGCGCAGCTGAGTTTGATCATGTTTTGCCCCGAGTCGCCTAGGTGGCTTGTACGACACGGGCAACAAGACAAGGCCAAGTCTATCATGATACGATACCATGCCAATGGGCTCGCTGGTGATGAGCTAGTGTCTTCCGAGTTCGCGCGCATGTGTGCATCGACGGCGGCTGAGGCCCAGAATAACACTACTGGTTGGCTGGCATTGCTTGCGACACCAGGCAACCGCAAACGCCTCGTCCTGTCTGTGGTCATCGCCGTAGCTACTCAGTGGGTCGGAAACGGAATCATAAGGTGGGTATCAACTCAGATTGCCATCAGGAAAGCTACTTACGAATCATCAGCTTCTACTTGGCACCAGTACTACGGACAGTCGGAATCACAAACTCCCTCCACCAACAAGGCATCAACGGCGGGCTTCAAGTCTACGTCTGGCTCTTGGCCTGTGCAGCCGCACTTTTATGCGAAAAAGCCGGTCGACGCCGCCTCTTCCTAACATCCGCCAGCCTAATGCTAGTCTTCATGGTGTTGATAACCATCTGCTCAGCCCTCTACTCAACCACCGGCTCCGCATCCGCAGGCTATGCCGTCATCGTCTTCCTCTTCCTCTTTTTCGGCGGCTACGTCATTGGCCTAACACCCATACCCATCCTCTACGTCAACGAGATATGGCCGAGCCATCTCCGGACAAAAGGCACGAGTGTTTTTTGGGTATCGCAAGCCGTATCTATCACGTTTAACCAATTCGTGAACCCTGTGGCGATTGACAAGATTGCTTGGAAATACTACTTGGTCTATATTGGTGTTTTGGTCGCTGTTATTAACTTTATCTTCTTTTATGTGCCCGAGACCAAGGGTCTGTCGCTGGAGCAGATTAGTAGTATCTTTGATCCGGTGCAGGATGTCACTGTAGAGCTGTCGGTGTCAGATATCAGGAGGGAGGATGAAGCGTAGAGGTTGCATGGCGGGAATGTGTGTCCTTACGTTTCCTTTTGGAATCATGGGGGAAGTAAAGGCGAAATGTGAAAACGTAGTGAGATAACTAGGAATACAGTTACGGTTATCAAGTTGATGAAAGGTAGCTCAGGAGCTCTCATCCAGAGATTTGAGAGTCTTTGACAGATCGTTCAGCTGACCAAAGGCAGTCCAAATGCTCTGGTCCAGAGGTCCGGGTGTCTTTGATAGATCGTAAGCCTGTTGAAGGGCATCCCAAGAGCTCTGATCCACGGATCTCGGAGTCTTTGCCCATTTCTTCGGTCCTTGTTCCTGTCCTTGCACATCAGATGCCTTCTCCTTGCCCTTTCTCCCTCCTTTCTTCTTCGTGTTCTTCACTTTAACTTGCTCATCTCCCATTTCATCACTTTTTCTCTTCTTACTCCCATTCCCTTTCTTCTCATCCCCACTCTTTTCGTCCCCTTCCCCCTCTTCCTTCCCTTTTCTCCTGGAATCGAGATTTTCCCTTCTGGCCTTCCCCTCCTCTACAACTTCCTGATCTGCTTTTGACAATTTGTTGGCCCGACCCGAAGTGCGGCCAGTCGGCGCGATCCGCTCATAGTAGAGGGTAACAGCATCAAAGCCGCCCTGCATAGGATTCTCCGTAATGGCATTGGGATGAGCAGCAGTCGGAGATAGATCAGTAATATGTGTACCATCGCAAAAGAACTGTGGTCGTATCCATTGACCCGGTAGCGCTGGCCCAGTAACAGCAGCCGTGTAGTGACCCGCACTGAGCTGTGCCTCTCTGTGATATGTAGCAGACACAAGCTTGTAGCGCACCGTATCCGGGTTCTGAATTATTGTGATGTAATCCATTTGTTGTGTCAAGTCGAGGATGTCGGGGATGATGATGTGCCTGGGATTCTTCGTCAAGGTTGCAATCGGTACCGTTTTACCATCTTTACTCACGACGTAACGTTTAGTGCTTTGGGCAAGCTGGAGGTAGATGCGGAGATATTCCGGTGCAGCTACGATGGAATTCGTCTCGGTCAAGTCCGAATCTTGGTTATCACAAGTATCGCAACGACCTTTGCGCGTGTCGGTCAGAGATCGTGCAATGGCATTGTCGACCGTGTCAATGTTGATACTGTTACTTGGAATGATTCTTAATCCGCGAGGTTCATTCTCAATTTTACCGATTGTGGAATTGTGGCAATGATCGCAAGTGTGGACCACCCGCTTTCTAACGCCGAATAGCGAGTCGAATTCAGCTCCACGCGCCGCTCCGTGTTCAGTCCTATTGCCAGTTAGCATTGAGCAAGGAGATACGGCTTTGGATCCTGAGCGAGGAAAAACTTACAAGCGATCATAACTGGACGCTATACCGTCGAAGATATATCCTGTGAACTCATCCGCATCTTGCTGAGCCCTCATGTGACGTCTTCTTGCTGCGATAGTGGCTTGATTTCCAGTATGTGTATGATTCGGAGGGTCGACACAAAACCATCGTTCTATCAATTGGTGCAACGACAGTATGGCCGGATGATAGTGGGGAAGGGGCTGTGGTACAAGATTTGGCGCGCCTCCTATCAAAGTGTTGTTCCAATAGGCTGTCATCAATTTCTTCAAAAGGCAAGGAACACAACCCCTGTATGCCTCATCCTCTTTGTAGTCTTGAAAATTCTTCGTCTTGGCTTTTGCAATCTCACGTTCAATGGCTCGCAGCGTCAAGGGATCTGTTGGCAGTTGGCAGTTTGGGTCGTTTGCAAGGCAACGCCAGTGGTTCAAAACATTGTGTGTCTTGATCCAATTGACGAATCGAGGAAGATGAAGTAGAGGTTGTAGGGCGCCGTGGCGATAGCAACTGTTTTGTGTGTTGACGAGGCCTCTTGAACGCTTGTTTCGGCGCGGTATCTTCCATTTCTTGCTCATGCCGTTCGCAGTCGCTCGCCGTTGAGCCTGTTCGGGGCCTTCTCGAACCACCATCGTAAGATTTGTGAAGAGTTGGCGTATTCTGCGGATCAGGTTCTGGATGCGTATTTTGGGTGACAGATTAATGCAAAAAACGAAGTGGTAGGAGAGACGGAGACTGGGATTATCGTCGTCTTGAACTACGTTTGTTGTAGCGCATTGAGATGATGGTCTTTGTTTCATTCTACTTGCCAGTCTTCTGGACTTTCGTCTTCAATGAAAAGATGATAGAAAGTGAAAGAGGCGACGGGTGAGCCAGCCGATCCATTGGTCTGGTGAGCACACAATGCGCAGTGAAGTGAAGGTGAATGAAGCCCCTGCGCATGCAGCCTGAGCATCATCAGGACATCGGAAGAGCAATGGGACCGACTGGTATATTCGCAAAAGCTAGGGGCTTTGGATAAACAGGACTACAAATAGTGAACAACCCTCGAATAAGAAGTGTAAAGACCCACATGCTTCTAGACTTGCTTACCCTTACCTTTCCCCTCACTTTGTTCCTCATCCTCCTCCACTCTCCTCATCGTTTCTTCCACAACCTCCCTCTCCTTCGTGGCCTTATCAGTCTTGCGTTTTTCCAGTAATTCCTTTAGCTTCTTCGCCCTCTCTGCATCACTCATGTTACCCATCCATTTCTTGTTCAGATTGTTGGCCTCTTGAATATCCGCAAGTTCGAACTGTGGCAGGATATCGCTTGCAGTAGGACTAGGTGTACTATCTTTGTTCACGGCAACGACGTCGTCATCTTCGCTTTCGGAAGTGGTGACTCTCTTCTCCTTAGGTGGAGACTCCGAACTGGAAGACGAACTTTTTTCAAAATCGGACAGGACGTCTTGGTCTGGCTTGTCGGGGGAGTGTTCGCTTGAGTATCCTGGGTAGGAAGTGTTCTTTGGAGGCATGTTTCGGAGGATGGCTCGGTTATGGTTCCGCCTTCTGTCGCCTGCAATGGGCGTACTATATGCAGCAACGTGATTGCTAGACATTGTGGAACAGACGTCACACGCAAGTGACTCCCCTCAAGCCTGACTTGCGCGCAGCAAACACACTCATGGCAACCACGTGTAGTCCTTGAGCTCAGTATTCCACAAACGACGACGGGGTTTCGCGCCAAGGTAGCCGGCCTCTTCCAATATACGGTCTCGCTTACAGCATTGTCACCGTAATAATAGGTCTTTCATTCGTCGTCGTCCCATCTTGAGCATGATGGTGAGACTTCTTGTGCTGTATTTGGAAACCCCAGATCGAAGCTCGAAGTTCGGTACGTAGCTTGGGGAATAGATGAAAGGTAGACGCCATGATGGGCTGTTCACAGCGTTGCAAAGAGGAGATTGCGCCTTTGACTCAGACTGAGGCCCAATCGTGATCTAAACTGGTCATTGAAATGACGGAGAATCTTTGTATCCGATCAAATCAGGTTAGCTCTCAATCATATCAATCATCGCCATCATGAACAATAACTCCAGGAACGTAACTCATCCATGCTTACCAGCACATTTACGCTTAATCATATGCATATCTAATTGCACCCTCATATACGGTCGAATAATGACCAAAATAGACCCAGATAGACGTCAACGCTACCCACAAACCAGATCACCAAGGCCCACCCATACTCTGTTGGTACCCACCGCCCCTTCCACCATGTTCGAATCCACGGTGCGACGGCAACAGCGCACTTTGTCCACCAGAGAAGTGACCACCACCATAGTCTTGACCCTGAAAATGACCTTGTCCATGACCTTGTCCATGACCTTGTCCATGACCTTGTCCATGACCTTGTATATGACCCGGACCCGGACCCGGACCGCCACTGTACATACCCTGCTTTGGCATCTGGCCAGGCACCTGCTGAGCAAACGCAGCACCCTGAGCCGAACTCGGCATAGGAAATTGTGACAGTCCACCCCCGTGACCTTGCTGCGGCATGTACTGCTGCTGCTGCTGCTGCTCAGCCCCATTATACGTCGTATGCAACCCCCTAGTTTGCTGCGTATTCTGTCCAAACCCATACGTTCGATTCGGTTCCGGCATCGCAGCCACTGCAGCCACACTGTTCGTAGCAATCTTCCCTCCATCTTTCGGCGGATCAAGCGCGAACCCCCAAGTCCCCTCCTGCAACTTGCCCGTGACGAATCCAACTTTCTTGGCCACTCCCTTGGGCATCTTGCTCTCGTTGCATCCCTCAATCGCCCATTCACACGCCTTGACTACAGCAGTCCACATCCCATTCTCCGTGTCGTCGAGCACAGGGTTACCCTTTTCCTGTCTGACGCGCTCTAGCACGGCCATCATGAGGCCCTGAACGCGGTTTGTGACTTTCTCGAGGTCTTGGGAAGACCGTGGGATGAGGATATGGAAGGTCGCTGGGCTGGTGGGTCGGATTTGTGATTTAGTGAAGGCGATATTGACGGGGGCTGCGGTGTAGTATTCGTGTGCGGAAGCAGAGGCGGGACCGACTGCTAGCCTGGCAAATGCAGGTACTCCCGCGCCATGGGTTAGAAGGGCGAAAGGGCTATCCGCTAGCTGAACAGCGTGGTGTATGGCTTCGTCTTTGCCGGCTGCACGACACTTGCTCTTCTCGTAGCTTTCTTTGCTCACGCATGTTCTTGCCCATTGTTTCGCTTTACTCGCGTCGAGATGCTTCTGCACCATCTTGACTGCGTCACTGCCGTATCTGCCTTCACTCGCAGCGCGGAGCCGAAATGCAAAGGTAACGAGCTCATCTTGTGCTTTGTAGAGGTGAGGCCGTGACAGCGAGGTAGGGAGGAACGTGTTGATGTAGTAAGCGTAGTAGTACACATACGTACCCAGATACTCGAAGTCGAGCAACTGGCTAGGTGTATCGAGGAAGACGACAGGTATGTTCAATTTCTTTGCGAATTGTTCCAAGCGCTCGAGATCTGGCAGTTTATTCGCTCGCCCGGTGACGGAGGGTGCTATTCTATCTGCGAGGTTGAGGGATCCAGTGACGGTGATTGCAGATAATGCGGATCGCAGAGTAGATGTCGTCATGTTGATCCACTGGAGCAGGAAGTGCAGTACAGCGCCGTGATGCCAGACTATCTTCTTCAATCCGCCCATCTTCAGTACCTGCTCAACTGCCGTATTGACTCTCTTCACCGTCTTCTCGAGCGCCTCCTGCTGTCCGGATAGGACGTTGTTGTCCCAACCCCTCACTATGAGGATCTTGCTGAACACTGCTACTGTGCCTTCGAGATGCCTCTTGCCATCGGCTCCAGTCAGATACTCAACCAGCTGGCAGATGCGACCGAAATTGTTTCTACTTCGACTCTCTTCAGCAATGATCAGCATACTGCCATCATTCTCGTTCGCGCCCTTGTTCTTGCGCACGCCGAGATCGCACAGCTTAGCAATGACCGAAGTGAGTTGGAGAAGGCTGTCGATATCGGAGTCGGTCTCCCAGATGTGAAGGACACTTGGGGAGCAGACCTTCTCGAGAGTACTCTTGGATGCGGCAGCGAAGGACGACTTGTACTGATCTGGCATCGACTGCACCGACTTCTTGAACGCGTCGAGATCGCTGGACCAAGGACCATTGAAGGATGTCATCTTTTCGCGATGGTGGTGCTTGCGCGGATGGTGAGAGTGCGACCGAGATCTGTGACGGTGGGGAGAGGTGGGGGGACTGTTGGGAGGCTGTGCGCGATGCGAAGTGTTGCGCGGCGGATGGGTCTGAGAGTAGCGATCGATGAAGCGGTCGATATAGTTCATTGAAGGCCTGCTGTTGTTGTACTCGTCTTTTTGAACATGGCGAAAGGTGACGGTAGCTTGTTCATGTTGCGTGGACGCGGCGTTGGCTGTTGTGGCTGTGAAGGAGTCAAACTCTCTGTGAAGATGGACCTGCAAAGTAGACACGTGAGCGCAAAGACGGACGCTTACGGCGATCGATTGCAGTGCAAAACGAAGATGACAGCGAAGGTGGTGAAGCATACGTCTTGTGCGTGGTTTATCGGTGAAGCAACAAGAAGTTCGATGTTCGGACAAGGCGTCAGGTGAGGGATGATTTGAGAAATAAATGTGAAGATGCGATAATCGCAAGTGTACCTAACCTTACCACCGGGGCCTTGTTGGATCTGAAAGGTCCTGATGTACCCGCAGAGATATCCAACTGTACCGTAACGCCGTCTCGAAAGTGCAAAAGAGATACGTGTCGACTTCACTTGCCAACACCACCGCCGTGCTCCAAGATCGTCTGCTTGTCAAGCTTCTCCACCTTCCTGCTTAACAGTGCACGTAGCTCAGGACTGATGACCCTCGCCTCATCTTGCTCTTCTTCACCAACCTGCTTGCCCTTGTCTGTGCCGGAGGTTGACGCTTGATCTTTCGCTGGTGACGCACTTGACGATGTACTTGGTCCGGGGCCCGCGACGATCGCAGCGGCCAATTTGCGTTGTCGAGCTTGTGGAGCGGAGGGAAAGTTGCCTTTCTTGTCGATTGTCTCTACCGTTCGCTGAAATCTCTTGAAGAGTGACTCCGCGCGAACGAGCGTTGATTCAAGATCCATAGTACCAGAAAGCTCGTTGACTAAAGTGGCGTCAGTGACATTCACCGTCAGCGTGGGTTGTTTGATTGCATAGCTTACCATACTTGAGCACCTCGTCAAAGTGCTTTAGGTGTGCCATGATGACATCTCGGTGCTTTTCCAGAATAGCTAGTGCAATGAAGATGTGGAAGTTGCTGCTCTGATAATCGGTCCAGAGCGACTCCCACAACCGCAGAACATCTGGCCACTCGAACTCGCGCTTGTACCAAACGAGCAACATGCGGAAGAAGAAAAAGAAGTTCGTCGACTCAGCGGACTGAAGATGAAGATATAGCTTGGGGTCCATAAGCTGTACGAGGTGGTCGAGCGTCATGAGCTGCTTGCGCATGCCCGACTGGTCGCGTAGGAAGTTGCGCTCCTGTATGCATGTCAGTCCTTGTACATGATTGCAATAGCCATCGAATTTGTACGTACCATGCGCTCCATGAATCCAACAAAGCCCCAGAATGCGACGGCATCATCCTGCATGACTGCATAGATGGGCGCAAGCAAATCGCTCATGCCCTGAACGTAGCCAAGGTCCTTGTTGTACTCATTATACGTAAGAAGCATATCTTTCATCTGCTCCAAGTGAACATTGGTGCCCACATCCGCAAAAGGCGAGTCGGGGTCGGGGTGAGGGATGTCCTCGCCGGCGAAGATGGGGATATTGCGATCTGTGCGATGTACGTCTTTCTCTACACAACGGACCCCATAGAATGGGACAAGTCAGCCAGTTTTCAAGCAAGGGCATAACGCGCAAGGATGCATACCTATTCTGTTCTTTTGTTCTCTCCACCATTCCTCTTGTTCTTCATTCTGGTTCCCTTCAACCATTCGCTCCCACCAAGCGCCCTTGAGCCGAATGTACTCATCGCGCCTACTGTTAATGTTTGCGCGGCGCTCTTCGTCTGAGCTGTCCCAGTCATAGACTCCGAGAAGGAACAACCATGCTTCTTTTCTTACGCCATCGTCAGGGTCAAGACCTCCATGGAAGACACGGTCTTTGACTTCGTCCGGTGTCAGTTGTAGCCGTCCCTTGGGGTCGAAGAATCCTTTCCATTCTTCCAACGTGACAGGTTTTCTTCGGTCGGCCATGGTCATCTTATCCATGTCAAGGATCTCGAAGTCACCAACATCGCTCTCCTCCATAGCCAGAACGTCCTTTGCTGTCCATATCCGCTGGTTCCGTTCCCGCTCGCTTTGTTCTGCAATACCCATAGCCCATCTTGCGAGGTATAGCCGCGCGCTGTCGAACTCTTCTTGTAATGTCTGGACCTCTGGGTTCTGAATCAGGCGTCTAACCTGGGGCGGAATCTTGGGGTTGTCTGCCACAGCTTGAGCAGTCCTTCGCGTGAAGGTGGTGACCTGACTAAGCTTCTCGAGGAAGTTCCATCTTGCTTCCTTGAGCGCTTTTGTGACCGGATCCATCCCACCGTCCCGTTTACCAGACTGCGAAGATGACGCGTCTGGTTTGCCTTCGGTGCTCTTCCTTGGTGCGACATCTTTGCCAAAGGATCGCTTGTCGTCTTCCGAGGGGTCGATAAGGTATATGCTTGGATCAGCACCAGACCGTTCGACTGTGACGTATCTCTTGAGCCATCTCAGCACCTCGTCGCCGCCCCAGAACATGCCCCCTCCGTCGCCAAACGGATCGAAGCTTTCCTTGGCCAGCTTCTTCCGCTGCATTATGGTAGACTGGCACTCGCTATCGTGGAAGAATAGGGCAGGGAAACTGTCTCCAGCCCGAGTGTTGATGACGACACTGCCGAACCACCATCCGATGCTTGGTGGCCGTATGAGGACGGAGTATATCTCGCTGACAGGCAGGGCAAATGCGTAACCGGGAGTTCCGGCATGTGTAGATGGTGTAGGAGGTGGAGGTACGAGGTATGACTGTCTGGGAGGGGACGAGGAGTCGGACAGATCGACCTTGACGTATGTATCGTATGCATCGCCGAGGTTTGACTCTGGTATCCACGCAAGGAGCAGCGATGACGCATTCACGCTTCGAGCAGAGGAAGAGGAGGTTGGACGCGCATCGTTGACGGTCCGGTTAGACTTTTGCTGGACGAGAGCGACGAAGCCTGGGATGTTGTCTTTGGAGGAAGGTGAGGGATGTACGTATACCTGCACATGTTAGTCTGCTTTCATCATGCTGCGTTCAAAGAGGCTAAACAAACTTTACTCTTGGTGTATAGCAGCTTTACACCCTTTCCACTGCTTGTATGGCGAATCGTGTTGTATTCGCCTTCTTCGTCGTCGCTCAGGTCGTAGAAGCTGGCCGAGGGCGATGGGGGCGCTGGGGCCGACGAAGTCATGCGGGGCTAGGTGGCGTCCCAAAGACGCGGAGTGGAGGTTGGTGATGGGTTTCGAGTAAGATGGCCAGATATCATGCGCAGAAGATATTCTGAGTAGTACGGTGATAAAGCAAGAAAGAGGCGCGCATCCGTTTGGCGCTATGCAGTTGCAGGTGATGGTTGCGGGCAGGGCGGATGACGCTGTGGCTGTGCCAGTTGTGGCGGGCGGGGAACGCGTCGCCCCAGCCCCATCGCATTTGGTAATGTGCTCTACCTGCAACGTTATGCGCAAGATAGCTCCGAACGAAATTCTGCTTTCAAAGTGATTATGAGCTGAATGTATTGATTAGGTATTCGTCTATGTGGTCCAGGTCTACAAACCCCATACTTGCCCACCCAGTGACGACAGAAATCCAACTCCGTTACGCCGTGCTGCATACATGAAGATCATGCTCAACGCATGCGTGGTCCGCTTGGCAGGCCCATACGTCCACCCTGCGGTCCGCGTTGTGGTGGAGGTGCGCCGCCGCCATATCCTCCTCCCTGTGGCGCATACGGATCATCGTTCCCGCTCCATGGGGAGTTCGATGACATGCCAAATGAGCCCTGCTGTCTCCCGCCGCTGCCACTGCTTCCGTAGCTGTTACTTCGATCCTCAGGGTAGGGTGCCCGTCCACCTTGCGGGGATGATTGCGAATTGGCAGATTCCGAAGAGAGTCCACGAGGTGCTGGGCTTTGTGACCGTCCCCATAACCTGGCCTTGAGCCTTTCTTGTGCTGATGTGCCCGACCCTGTACCTGCGCTCGGTGGTGGTGAAGCTTCCGCCTGCGGACGTCCTCCCAACGAGCTCTGGTAGCTCCCTGCTCGTTGGCTAGGTAGTGGCCTGCCCTGTATTTGAGGCTCTGGTGTCAACGAGTTGCCCATGGGCCGGCCTTGCATGGGACGCGCTCCACCGCCCCGTGCTCCTGGCCCTCTGCGAAGTGACTGAGGTTCTTGCGGTGGTTGTTGAGGCGCGGGATTATCCCACAGGTCGCTCAAGCCTCCTCCTCGGCCTGCTGTTTGTGCTTGTGCCTGTTGTCGCGAAGACACGAATTGGGCGGGCGCAGGCTGGGGCGCCTTTGGGTCGGGTGGAAGCCATTGAGGAAACGGCCTTCCTTTCTCTGTGTAGTATGCGCGAAGAACTCTGGAAAGATGCGAGTCGTCCTCTGTGTCGCCGTCTGCTTCGTCTGAGAGGATCTGTCGTCGCAGATTGTTGTAGCGCGAAGTCGTGTTCGTAAGGAGGTTGTTTAGGTAGGACGACATGATTGCGTGCGATTGCCGTTCAAGGCTGTCGGCGGCCGATGCGCGTGGTGGGCACTTTATGCGGTCGTGTCGGTGTTGGTGATTAGTGGTGCGAGGCAGTCGGGTCGCGGCCGGGTCGCTGTTTCCAATTTACTGGGCGTTTAGGAGCAAGACCCTGGTTACCAACACCACACTCGAACGTTTCTTCACCCCAAACCATGGCTAGTCTTCCGCTTTTCGTGATATAACCAGTTCATGCCATATGCGCACCCTTTCTTGAGCCGATCGAATCATCTGAAGACGCCCTCGTTCACACACCTTTGCACGCCTGGTTTCAACGTTGGAATCGGGCGCGTCGCCCAACCGCTTCATGTAAAGCAGCACGTCCGGGCATGTTCCTGAATCTTGAAACACCGCAAGTCTATGCTCACATTCGCGGTGGGTAACTGGTTGGAAAACCATGTCCAGAAGCTCTTCGTGACTTATGCGCTGCTCCACCAGCCATATCCTGACGTTTCTATAGCCTGCTTGCTCCAGTAATTTAGGACAAGACTGGCACGAATGGCGGGGCAGTATTCAAGAACGCCTATGGCAGATCTCCACTACATGCGCAAGCATGCATGTTGCCACGAACTAGCGCTTGGAGATGGCAGCCTGAAGGGCTGAAGGGCGTACTTCAAATCTGACATTGCAATCCTCGAACATAAGATATCACATTCTGACTGGCAACGCTTCTCACCCGTACAAAAATCATTGAAGAAGATGTCTCGGGAAGAACGGAAAGAAAAGAAAAACCGCGAGATTGCCGAGGCCATCGCCAATGTTCAAGATGAAGCCACCCAAATCGACATTATCATGAAGAAGCGAGGATGCTTTGGACCGAGCGAAGACAACCAATTCTACCCAATCGTACAAGACTACCTAAACAGCGATATCAATGCTAAAGACACAGCAAAGAAACTCATCGACCCCATCAACAACGCCATCGTCCAGAACAGAAAGGACCTCCCCTTCCTTAGACTCTGGTACTCCATAATCCACTCCGCCAAACGCCTCCCCTTCCGCAACGCTACCGGCCTCAACAAACTCGTCACCCTAATGAAGACGATAAAAGCGAGCTTCCCACCCCCAACAGCCAAAGACTCAGACATGTACACCTGTCTCCGCCACTTCGGCATGGCCGCGCGCGAGAGTATGAACGACAGCCCTGGAGGCCAGTGTGGTTACATGTTGCAAGAAGTACACGCATACGCCAACATGCTCTACTTCTACGCACTCATCACGCGCGAAAACGTGCGCAATTTCTGGATATATTGCATATGGGAAATGCGCAATGCACTCGAGACACCGCACAAAGACGATGCGGATGGCACAGCGATACAGAAATATAATTCTTTTATCCCCTCCGCTGCTGTCTGGATATTTACTATGGGCAAACAAGTTTACGAAAGAGAACAAGATCTCACCCCAAAGAAGGCGACCGAGGGGAATCCAGGTGGTGGTGGACCGTTATGGAAAGGTAGAGCGGAGTTTAGTAAGCAGAGGTGGGCGCTCTGGAAGAAGAGGTTTGGGGAACTTGCTGAGATGGAGGGGTTGACTGAGGAGGTTAGGGGGATTGCGAAGGAGGCTGCTGAGGCTATGGATGGGATTGATGGTGGGGCGAGATAAGATGATGAAACGACTGGGACATTGCTCATGTTTGTTATGTTGGAAGAAGTCAAATTGAGATGTATTGTATCATCACCTAAACCACTACAATCAACGCTCCTCCGCATTACATCTGGTCGGCCCTTCACTACATTAGCAGAATGACAGGCATACCGGCTAGCGAGCGGACGGTCCCGTAGACTACGTTGTGACAGGCATCGGAGTTGCGTCCGCGCGAGTGGGACACAACTAGCAACCGTTTGCGGGACCTCTACAACTCCACACTTTGAGCGATGTACAGGATTGAGTAGAAACAAAGCGCGAATTTCATGTCAAAGTAGCATTTTGTCTATCGCAAGGAAGATACCCGCCAATAGTAGAACTTTGAACGCACTTTTCGCCTTCCAAACCGTTGGGGCGTTCCTAATACTCCTCCATATCATCCTCACCATTTGCTGAATCTGCATGCTCGGCCGCAAGACCCTCTGGTTCAGCCGCATAAACCACCTCTCTGACAGCGACATCTCGGAACGCCACGTCAACCATGTCGAGGCCGGTAGTGCGCAGATCCATCTCCAAGCTTTGACCACCCGACAACAGCACCTCCATCTTAGGTTCGATGTCCTGAGTTGCCTGCTCGCTCTCCTCTTCGTCGTCAAGGTAGACCCACTCGTTTCCGCGATCAAAGGCGTAGAACTCTAGACGAGGACCGTACAGCAACATACCGTGACCGTTCTGGATCTTGCCGCCTCGGCACAGGGCGTCGGTGAGGATGTCGCTGCGATGCATCATGTTGCTAGTGGAGAGGTGAGGGACTTCGTCGAAGTTGTCGATCATGATGGCGAGGCAAGTGTACGTATGCTGCTCGTGCGTGACTGCGCCAGTCTCGGTATTCGTTGCTATCGTCTTACGCATGACCACGAAAGCAGCGATGTCTTCGGGCGCGATAAAGTCCCACTGTGAGTTGAATATTTGCGTAATGCCGTGGGCGTACTCTGCTCCCTTGGCATCTTGGTCTTCTTTCTCCGCCCTCTCGAGCTCCTTTTTGGTAGGTACTTTGCGGCGAAAGGCCCTACCTTTATTCTTGTGGAACTCTTTCCAGATATCTGACTTGTTATCGGCAGCTAAGATGAAGTTCATCCCGTTCTTGGCCACCGGTCCAGGGGAAATGGGCATCACGGTGTAGTCATGTGACGGGGGATAATAGTGCGTGAGAAGAGCAAATGCGAGGGCTTTGGCGTACTGCATGCGAGTGGCATTTGTTGTGGTTGATAGTGGTCCGTAGCGGTACAGGTAAGCGACGTATAAGGCTTAAATACCGGGTATGTTGTTGATGGAAGTCTGGGTAAAGTCGGGGATCTCGAAATCAACCAGAGTCTTCCAGAAGTCCGGGGGGTACTCTGGCTCTTCCTCTTGCATATTTGCAGTATACTGGTGCGATCCTCCGACTGCAACATGGAACTGGTCATCATTCGATTCTATGGACTGTGGTGTGCTCTCAGGTGTCATAGGCCTGTGGTACCCGTCGTAGTGAGCACCATGCGGCATCACATCAGACATGAACGGGTCGTAGCCATCCGTGCCGTGGTTGTGAAAGTCGTAATGCGGAGCTGAGGTATCGTCTACGTGTTGCGGAGTGGATGAGCCGAACCTCTCCTGGAAATAAGGATAGGCTGGACCGACGTCAGAAGCGAAGTCGAAGTTCATATGCTCTTGATTGTAGCTCGGATCCATGCTGGTAGTTGAGTGGGTCGTGGAGTGTCAGTTAGTAGGAGCGGGTAGACCAAAATAGAGCAATTATAGTCGACAAATAGAGGTATTTGCTAGCGTAGAATCGACAGAGGTAAAGGTAGCCTCATGGCACAGGTGAATGGTGCGTATACCAAGCAAGCATCGCCTGCAATCGCTGGATTCTCGCGTCTGATGCTGGTCCCGTTCAGAAGGTCGAGGAAACAACAACGGTGCCACGATGCGCCTCATGTCGCCTCATCAGCAACATATTGACTCTCGGTGACAGTGGCTTCCACCACACCATCCATAGCCTCTGCCGCCCCGTCAGTACCTCCATCAGCTGCCTTCTTAGCTTGCTCCTTTGCCTTCTTCTTGAGCTTCTTCTCTCGATTTCTCCGAGTGTTCTTCTCGCGCTTGGCCTCTTCCTTCTCCTGTGCAAGACGTGCTGCCTCACTCTGCTTCTCCTTCGCCTCTTGGAGCTTCTTCCTTATAGCTATGCGTGACTTCTTGCCCTTCCTTGTGCGCTTGTGTGCCTTGTCCTCGACCGTGACTAGCATAGGAGGATGACCGACCAGGACCTCCTTGCTCATGCCGGCTGGCGATATCGTGCGCACCTTCCATGGCAGGGCGCAGCCGGGCCATGGCTGCCGCGACAGCTCCAGGACGCTCCTTCCCTCGATAGCTGCCGCCCTGAAGGCATCTTCCTCCTCGCTTGTGGGTTCATCGGCGAAATAATAACTCCGTGGTTTTTTCAAAATCAGTCCTGGCTCTCCGCTATCGGCGCCTGGTGAGGAAATTCGTATCTTGTGTGACTGTGGAGCGGCATTTGCGGGCGTAGCGAAGAGCCGCAACTCTGTCTCGTCTTCGTCACTGTGCGCGACATCGTGAACATCGTCTTCGGTCGTGGTATAGGTGAATTCGGTGTTGATCTTGGATCGCAGCAGTTCTTCGAGATCGGGGTCTGGCGACGATTGTCTAGATGAGATGGGCGACTCCAGCTCAGCGCGGCGAACCCTTGGCAAAGTCAGTATGCAGATAACTGGCGCACTAACGAGTCAACCCACCGCTTCGCATCCGGCACTTCAAACATGGCGTTGTCGTGTGGGCGTCGCAGAAGTTACTGCTGTCTGAAGATCTAGTAGCTGGACATCGGCTGCAAGGGCGGGATCGGCATTTGGCTAGACAGGTGGGCTAACGATGCACGATCCCCTCGTAACAATTCGATAACCGCGGGCGCATTTCTCGTTTCCCCCGGGCCAAAAGAAATGCATCACAATTGCCTTGGAATGGCCCGCGGACCAGGATATCCGCCCTCTAGCACCGATGCAGTTACCATTTCACTCGATATGGATAACAGGCGCCGCCACGAGGTTCGCCCGTCGCTGTCGCCAGTCGCATACATTCCCCCAACCGTTGTGCCTCTGTCTTGGGATAGATACTCCTGCTGTGCTGTGCTACGCTTCAAGAAGGACATGCTGAGTCCTCCACGAACATACTAGAACCATGGGCTACTCGTGGCCAGAAGCAGCCCGCGAGCGCGATCTCCACAGGTTTGGTTTGCTCGCTGAACAGACTTCTGCTGCAGCTAAGGATGCCGCAGATACTACCGCCCTTGGATCGATGCACAGAGCCTGGTTGACGCTGCCGACGGTTCTGGTAAAGGCTTGACTTACTCTGGCTTCCAACCTCAGACGTCAAGGGATCGCTCCCTGACTGCCTTCGCGCAGCTTGCCACGCTGCGGCTCGACACCCGCAGGGCAATGGTCTCGCTGATCGACTCGCACCACCAGTACATTCTTGCAGAGGCCACGCGCACCCTCTCGCTGTTCAAGCCTGTCGCCGAAGAGCCCGAAGATGAGGTGTGGCTAGGCAATGCCATCTTGACCAAAACGGATGCTGTCTGCTACCACACCTTTTCATCGACCTACACCGCGAAGGAGGACGATGGGAGCACCTACACTGGCGAATGCATGGTCATACCTGATTGCAGACTAGATGCAAGATTCGCCGATAGGGACTATGTCAAGGGTGAGCCTGGTGTGAGGTTCTACGCAGGGGTCCCCATCATTACCAAAGCAGGCCACCGCATCGGCGTCTATGCTGTGTCTGATGAGAAGCCTCGCGATGGAATCAGTGCTGGCGAATTGCGCTTCATGCAAGATGTCTCCGCCGCCGTCATGGAGCACCTCGAGCTGGCCAAAGACAGCATGGACCGCAACAAGGGTGAGCGCATGGTACGCGGCTTGACTCAGTTCATCGAGCGCTCCTCTTTACAGGACAGCCGAGAAGATGGCAACCGGCCCACCACTATGGAGAAGCAGACCGAGAACGCGCGCTTACTAGCCTTTGACGAAGAAGAAGGCCACAACACGTCTTTACCTGCCAGACAAGCTCACCGCAAGCGTGACGCCGAATCCGACGCAGCTCGTATATTCCACAGCGCCGCTCGCATAATTCGCGAGAGTACTGAGGCCGATGGTGTCGTCTTCTTCGACACTTCGACCGCCGGGATAAGAACCCATCTCTACGACTACAATCGCACAGCCGGTAGTAGCGACGAGAGTGCGACACACAACACTGATACCGGCGATTCGACGGCTTCACGAAGGCACAAGAAACAGACAGTCGTCGCCGCGGATGGCGTATCCGATGCAAATGGGACTGATAGCAAGGCCTGTCCTGTGGTCGGACTATCTTTACGTGAAGGCAATGCGGCCCTAGTGCACACAGACTTCAGCTTCAATGAAGCTGCCATGGAGCGCTATATCCATCGATATCCGTATGGGAAGTTCTTCAACTACAACGAGGATGGCATGGGCATCAACTCTTCTGATGAGAAGTCTGAACGTTCCGAGACAGAACAGTCCGATCGTACAGTCGACGAACCCGCCGCTAACTTCAAGAAGACGCGCAAAAAGCGAGAAAGATTCATCCCAACCGAGTTCCTCAAGGTTCTGCCAAAGGTGAGAAGCCTTATCTTCCTGCCACTCTGGTGTCCGGCCACGGAACGATGGATTGCCGGTGGCTTTATCTGGACAACCCAAGCCGGAAGGTTGATGAGCCCGGACAACGAACTCCCATATCTCCAAGCATTCGGGAACTCAGTGACCAGCGAGGTAGCACGACTCAATGCGCAGAAAGCGGATCGTGCCAAAACCACATTCATTGCGTCTATATCACACGAGCTGCGTTCGCCGCTGCATGGTATCCTTGGCTCTGTTGAGTTCTTACGCGAGACGGTGGCATCGGCATACCAAGAGTCTTTGGTGTCTTCCATCGAAACGTGCGGCAAGACACTGCTCGATACGATAGATCACGTGCTTGATTACGCAAAAATCAATAAATTACAGAAAGTCTCTGGTCAAAATAAGCGAAGCCTGGGTCGAAACAAGCGACAGCCGGCTGACAATTCGATACTTGGTGTTACCTCGGACTTCGATCTAGCACAGCTAGTTGAGGAGGTCTGTGACACTGTGTGTGCTGGTCACACCTTCAGGAAGACACATCATATCAAAGGGTCCGCTATCTACGACCAAGCTGAGAGCAAGGCGCCGACAGGGTCCACCCAAGACACAAATGGTAACAATGAAGTGGAGGGTAGAGATACTCATGGCTCCGTCGCTGTGTCTTTGATCGTAGCCCCGTACGTCAGTTGGATCGTGAGGTCGCAGCCCGGCGCTCTGCGACGCATTGTCATGAACCTACTTGGTAACGCGCTGAAGTACACCGACTCTGGATATATCGCTATCAAGATGTTGCAGCAAAAAAGCTCCGCCAACTTCATGGACCTATCTCTTAGTGTGGAAGACTCCGGCCGAGGAATGTCGCAGGAATACCAGCGCACAAAATTGTTTTCACCATTCAGTCAAGAGGACCCTTTCAGCTCCGGTACCGGATTAGGTCTTTCGATCGTCAAGCAAATCATAGAGTCTCTGAAAGGCGAGATCGAGGTGAGGAGTACTCACAACGTTGGTACTGTCATCAAAATCAGCATACGTCTACCCATTGGTTCCAAGGCGAACGCTCACCAAGATCATGCGCTTGTCAGAGCACCCCAAGAGCTGAAGGGCACATCTGTCTCTATCGTTTGCGATATGACTGACACGCAAGGTGGCGAGCGGGGGCTCAAAACCAAGGAGTCTATGGAAAACGCTTGCAAGAACTTTGACATGAACATCGTCGCCTCGAAGCGCGCCAGCACTAACATCTCGGTCACTGACATCGACTTTCTGCTTATCGACTCTCCTTCTCTCTACCAATTGATGCAGAGCTCTAATGCCAGTCGCAATAACACATCACCGCTAGGAGTAGTTTGCGTTTGTACAGATACTGCGGAGAAAGTAGCAGCAGAGACTCAACTTGCGAGACAAATCGAAGCGCTTGGCTGGATCATTGAAATAGTCACACAGCCGTGAGTGTTCCTTAAGCAAGCTTGAGACCAGTTTACTGACGACACGTACAGCTGCGGACCTCGTAAGCTCGCCCGCACACTTCTATCTTGCCAGAAACGTGCCTCACAACACAACAACGAGCGACCCATTAGTCGATCGATGAGCTCCTCGCTAGTGCAGCCCGACATTCAATCTCTTGCACCGCCTCGTGCCTCGGCTCAGCGAAGTCTCAGTGACATGTTCCCACAAGATGTATCATTGCGAAAAGCTGACGAGGTCGCTGGATACCCTTCCCCACCGCCACCGCGCCCCTTCCCAATCACCACCACGCCTCTGAGCCCCACCAACAGCGAAGGCGGTGAATACTTCAATCCACGTGTCCTCCTTGTAGACGACAATGCCATCAATTTGAAGCTCCTCGTCGTGTTCGCCAAACGGCAGAACCTACGCTACGTGGAAGCTACCAACGGTCTCGAAGCGTTCGAAGCGTACAAATCAGAAGCCATGTCTTCTTCACCGCCAGCCCGCCCTTTCGACTTCATACTCATGGATCTGAGCATGCCCGTCATGGACGGTCTGACAAGTACACGTAATATCCGCCAATTCGAGAGCAAAACCGGCTTGCCGAAATCGCATATCGTCGCATTGACTGGACTTGCGAGTGCACAGGATCAACAGGATGCGCAAGAGGCAGGTGTGGACATGTATCTTGTCAAGCCTGTCAAGTTTGCGGATATCAAGAGGGTCTTTGGTGGGAAGTGAACGTAGTTTTCGCATGTTCTTGATGGCGTTACTCGCGGTTTGATAGCTTGTCTCACGATGTTGGCATTATTGATTAGGCATTGCGAGGAGATTCCGGATGGACTTTTGCATAGTGGTATGGAAGAGCTAGGTTGACATATGTCCCTGGTCAGTGTTGAATCTACGATGTTATGGAAGACAAGCTTCCTCGTATCTTGTATCTTGACATGGTCTGTGAAAGCTGCTGATAGGACTGACGGCAGCCACTGCGCCAGAACTTTCTGAAACAGCGGGACATGCGTCATTCTAGCTCTTCAACTCACCACTCCAAACCACATCCACACTAAATGTAGTTGGTCAACCTCCCGGACGCAATCAAGCTACGCAATCCACGGACGCCGAACGGCGCGTTCGTCCCGTCTCGTCAGAGACTTGATCCTGCAGGAACATGATGCTACGCCCCAAGGTGGATGCGCCCGCGTATATGGCCAATCAAACGAGGGAATAGCAGTTAGGTTGCAGCATGGATTCACGCGTCCGGCTAATGTACCACCAACATCAGGCGTCCAACGCCCTGCTTTCAAATCCGTCTGTTAGCAGTTAAGCACATATGCACATGAACTCTTTCTTGATATGTCTTTTGATGTTTTTCTTTTGATCTCAGTAGTTAACATGATGAGCTCGAATAGCGAAAACAAAGCCGAAACACCTTACTACCCCGTCTTGATCATCGGGGCTGGTGCAACAGGCATCGCGGCTGGAAGTCAACTCAAGCAGAAGCTGGGATTGAAGGAATTCAAAATTATTGATCGCCAGTCTGGCATTGGTGGTGAGTTTTGAGGGAGAAATCTCGTCATTGCAGCTATTGATGGTGGGTGGTAGGAACTTGGTGGATCAACCGGTACCCAGGAGTAGTAAGTCTTATCATGCAGGATGATCGAAACAACACTGACTGAAAGGAAGCAATGCGACGTGTAAGCGATATTGTGCGAGCTGGTAACGACGATTATTGAACATCCTAAGGCCTACTTCTCTATACTCTTTCTCCTTCGCACCAAACTACGTTTCGAAACGCTTGTATCCCACCGGCGAAGAATTTCGCCAGTATCTCAACGCGATCACGGACAAGTATCAGCTGGCTTCTCACATCCAGCTGAACACCGATGTCAAGGAAGTCCGATGGGTTGAGGCCGACTCGCAATGGGAAGTAACCCTCCAGCACTTGGTCTCCGGTACCGGTGATCTCAGTACCCGAGATCGAGAAGAGAAGGCTGCCACTTCCGGTCGCGAATCGGTATACCTACATGAAAAAATTGTACGCGCAAAGGTGGTGGTGAGCTGCGTGGGAATTCTTGTAGAGCCTAATCCATGGCCATCTTCCATTCCAGGGCGCGATACCTTCAAAGGCGACGTCTTCCACTCCGCGCGCTGGCGGGACGACATTGACCTCAACGGAAAAGACGTAGTGGTCCTCGGAACAGGATGTAGCGCCGCACAAGTAGTTCCATCGCTACTCAAGGAACCCTATAAAGTCAAATCACTCACTCAAATCGGCCGATCAGCACCCTGGGTAATGCCACGGCTTTCCGAGCCTTTCGGCCAAGAAAAATACGCCAAATACGCACCTGTCGTCTACAAATGGCTTCCATTCCTCGGATATGTAAACCGCGTCCTGATATATCTGTTGGTGGAAGTCATTTGGTCGACCGTGTTCCAGATGAAACACAAGAAATGGCGGGCTGCGATCGAGAAGCAACAATTGGCTATGATGAAGGAAATCGTGCCGGAAAAGTACCATGACATCATGACGCCGGACTATCCGTATGGATGTAAACGACGCGTCTTTGATACTGAATGGTTGCCCAGCATGCAAAATTCCAAGTTTACGCTTACCAATCGTCCTATCCAAGCTGTTCATGGGAAGGAGCTTGTTTTGGGTGCCGATGGGAAGGCTACATCCGGCCAACAGCGCATCAACGCCGATGTCATCATCCTCGCCAATGGTTTTGAGGCGACTCGCTGGCTGCACCCATTTTCAGTCTACGGTCGCGACGGAGCAGCCTTGCAAGAAGTATGGAAGCAGCGTGGAGGCCCGGCTGCATATATGGGGATGGCCGTTGATGGGTTCCCGAATTTCTTCATCGCGGTCGGACCGAACACGGCGAATGGCCATCACTCACTCATCCTCACGAGCGAGAATACGATCTCGTACATTCTCAAGATGATCAAACCTATCCTAAGCGGCAAGGTAGACCGCGTCGAGGTGAAGAAACAAGCCGTGATGGCATGGACTGAGGATGTGAAGAAAGATCTGGAAAAGACCGTTTTTGTAGGTTGTCGAAGTTGGTATGTGGATGAGGAGGGTTACAACTCGACGATGTATCCGTAAGTCTCCTGTGTTCCCAGGTCAGGCTATGCCAATGGCTGCGCAGTGCTAACATGGTCTATAGACGCTCGCAGACAGACTTTACTCTGAAGTGTATGTTCCCCACCTGCGTAGATTGGGACGCTTTCACGTCTTCGGGGTCCAAAGTGTCGCTTCAAGGGAACAGTTTTGCTACATTAGGCGCGTCTGTTGTGGCTGTAGCGGTGGGCCTGTGGTATGGGGTTGCGAGGTACATGTGATAAGGCGCATGTTAGAGCGTCTTCCAATGTGTGCGGTGTCGCACAAATAAGGTTCTTATCCCTCTCAAGCTCGCTCATCGGTAGCTTGGTCATCTTCTGTTGTTTCTGAGCAAATGCATCGTGAGTGGCCAAATTGTCAGCACTAGCGCTGTGACGCGCGCACGACTTTGCGTCCGCTTTCAGTGTCTTTGTGGCATTAATACCCTTAGTATGATGCAAGTCCTCATCGTGTTTAGGAATTAAAGGGTATCCAATATGCCTGGTCGTGTTGTCAAGGGTGGATTGCGCCTTCGCCTGAACGAGAAATCACGCGACTTCGCGGAACAAAAATCCGCGCTGGACCTCAGCACGCGTCTCACCGTTCAGCTCGTCTTGTCCACTCTTTTCCAAGCCTCTGCTTGACTGCATTCCCGCAAGCTTATAGAGTCGCGCAAATGGAGCGACACCTCGCATTGTCAGCACTAATGTCGTCGCAATGACCCCACCCTTCTCCTCATCGCAGTCTCTTGTGAGAGCAAGTCGTTGCCATCTCGCCCATCTAGCAGCCGCATCTCGACACACCTTAATCATGCTGTCCAACTATATTATCCAACTCGATGTCGACATTTGTTCACAGATTCCGATAGCTGACCGGAGATGTGCCAGCGGTGCGAGGCGGAAGAGCCCGGAGGATAAATGCGCAGCCATACATAGGTTGTGGCGTTCGTCTCGAAAATGAAGGGATAGGCGTAGATGTCGGTCTCGCCTTCTGTACGACATGGGCGGATTTTCGCGTGTGATTCGGACACCACATCGCATGTCGCGGCCTCGAGGCGGTGGGTGGTGCTGGTGACAATTCCACTGCTTCAATAGCGCGAACGAGCGCACATTACGGATAAGCGGTATGCGGGTCGCGCCACCTCGTTCGTCGAATTCAGATATTCCATCGCCCAACGTAGAGGGCTTGAGTCGCAAACGTAGCAGCGTTCGCGAAGTTGGTGGGTCATGAGTAATTGCAAGGGTGCAATTCGGCGAGAGAAGGTTTCGCTAGAGGATCGCCTTCCTGGACTATCCTTATAGGGATTTCCACTTTCGGGTCTCCGACATGCATGTCCGCAACACCATCAGCGCTATCGCATCGTCAAACAGGAAGCCGACTATTGGGCCTGAGATAATTGGCTGCGGAGTTCAGGTTGTATCTCTAACAGTTGACAGGCCACGACAAAGACTCTGCGCGAGAGCTACGGTGCGGCCTTCCCTCTTCGAAGCGCAGGATTGCAAACATGAACGGATCTCAGTCTCCACCTTGCCCAATCAATTGGCAACGTCGAAAGAGCTCTACCAACCTCTTTTCACAAAGACTGATTGCCACCCGGCAATATCTAGATGCATGCTTACCTGGCGAAGGCGAAGCGAACATGCGCGACACGTGCTAGCCGCACCGATGCAAGGAACCTCAAGTCGCTAACGTTAGTCCATTATCAACCACTTCGCGACTCTAGACTTTATATGGTCAGGCTCAAGCCCTGCCCTGCGCCTCAAACGCAGGGCGTCCATGGCCCAAACCGCGGGGCCGTGTTGATCATCGTTTATCGGCACTGCAGTTCCTCCACGTTCACTAGTCTGAAGCTGTCTTGAAACAATAAACAACACCCCCACATCTTTCTTTAGAACTCCCTCGTTTCGACAGAAAGGGGTATCACCTTCCAAACTAACGGTCCGTTTGCTAATGCGACACCAGAAAGCGTTCATCGGAGGGTTCGGCTCTGCAAAGCAGTATCGATGTTGTTCAGGACAATGCAGTACCGGCAGCATTGCATGCATCTCATGACTCTGAAGCTGCTGCGAGTGAGATCCACTACATGACCGGCGCGCAGAGTTGGCGACTTATGGCACGATGATCAACGACCATGAGCAGATGCACCGCATCTCGTAAGGTGAATGACCGGGAACCACATCGCAAGCTTGAGCGTAACTGGCATGATCGCTAAAACATGTCACGCTTCAAGCAGGAGCTTTTCCACCGGTCACATAGTGGCGTATATCCGTACTCCCAAAACAGTAGCGGTGGGTCTTCCTCACCATTGCTCTAGCGGCCTGTCACATCTATTCCAGCACCTCTCTTCAACGCTTACCCATGGGAATTGGGGTCAGAGGAGACAGCTACTCATACAGTACTAGATGTAAGCATGAGTCGCGGATACTATTCTTGCCGCTTCTCAGAAACATGTTACAGTGTATAAAGAGATATGTTCATCGCTCTCTTCTTACCGTTATCATCTCAGGTCATCACAGTCATTCGCTCTTCGCTTCTCGGCACTTCTCACCTATCCTATCTTATCGTTTATCCTACTATACACTCACTCGATAGGACCACTATCTTCTCTTCACACATAATGTATATTCGCAACGTCCTCATCTCTGGCCTTGCGGCTGCCAGCACAGCCCAGGCCTACTCCAACTACACCGTTCGGGAAGAAGACTGGACTGTTCCAGCACCAGCGCCAGTAAAAGAAAAACGTACCTTGGCGAAAGTCTTTGGCATATTCGACGGCATCTTCGGTGGTGGTGGCGGCAAGGAACCTGCGCAAGAATGCCCTGCTGTCTGGACTCAAATATCTTCTACCCTCACCCAACAATTCCTTGCAGACGGCCAATGCACAGATGCTGCGCGCGCTGCTATCCGATCTTCATTCCACGACTGCTTCAACGGAGCATGTGACGGTTCTCTCATCCTCGCCAACGAGTGCTCCAACAAAGAAAACCGCGGTATGGAGCGCCTCTGCGGTAACCTTGCCAATGTCGCCTCCCAGACCAAGGTCGGTGTTGCCGATCTGATCCAATTTGCCGCCGCACATGCAGTCAAGACATGCCCTGGTGGACCCACTATTCCTGTCAAGGTTGGTCGCAAGGACTCCAGCGAGGCGAATGCTCTCGGTGTTCTACCTAGCGGTCACGCCAATGCAAAGGACTTGGTCGGGCTCTTTGGTAAGCATTCATCTCTAGTATTCAAAGTTTTCATAGCTAACAGCTTTCTCAGCGCAAAAAGGCTTCTCCCCCTACGACCTCGCCGCTCTCATCGGCGCCCACACCGCCGCCAAACAACGCTTCACCGACCCTTCCAAAGCAGGCTCTGCCCTCGACTCCACTGTCGGCACTTGGGACAACAAATATTACTCCGAGACCATGCGTGGCAGGGCTCCTTTTACACTCCCCTCCGACAAGAGTCTTGCACAGAATCCCCTTACTGCTGGCCCGTTCATCGCCTTTGCCGCCAGCAAAGGTATGTGGGATTCAGCATTCGTAAGCGCAATGGTCAAGATGAGCATGCTCGGTGTTGAGAACAAGGGGGACTTGATCGACTGCACGAGTGCGCTGCCCGGCGGTAGCAAGAAGAGGGATGTCAGGAGCCGCAACCTCTTCGACCGTCTCAAGTGGTAGACGGTATGGGTACTTTGTACGGTGTGAGCATTTTCGGGCGTTACGATACCTTTTCATTGTTTTCTTATGGGCACTTCACGACTCTCATTAATGGTACATGCTAGTCATGTTTTCTTATATATACCATGGTCTAGCAAAAGAATAGGCGGCAGGTAATATGATATGGTAGTACGATGTCATTAGTAATTCAAGCACTTCACGAAGACCCATCATATTCTCATCCACGGAACAAACTGAACAGGACCTTCTACATCATACAACACCGATCGATACAAAGTACGCAAAGTGTAAGACAGACATTAAAGTATGCGTCTGGGTTTCCTGACAACGCAAACAATGTTCATTTGCTTTCTGCTTCGGTCGGTAACGTGTCCTACTACAATGATTTATCGATGCAGTAAAGCCGTGAATTTGTTATCTACACATATGTTCTTTCGCCTCTGTTCAACGTCGATACTAGCCAGAGGGGCTCAAGCTACCTCCTTCTTCAACGGAAGCTCAAAGACGGTGCCCTGGGATAGGCCATGCTCCTTGATCCACGCTTTGGGAATCAAGATGGGCTGTTTGGTGATGACGATCGTGCCAACGCGACACTCTACACCTCGTTCATCCGCAGCCACCGTGATGCTTTTGTGGATTCTTGTAGCCAGAATCTCCTCCACAGAGACTTTATCGTTCTCAACATCATCAAATCGCTGTTTCCAATGAGTCTGCGGATGTGCGATGATGCGAAGATACTCCAGCTCCGTCATCTTGGCAAGAGCGGCTGCCGTTCCAGGGATCTTCTCCTTGAAGTCGTTGTGCCATTTGCCCGCCCCCAAAGACGAAGCGAGATGGTGGTCACGGTAGTGGAGTTCTTGCAACTCAAGATGGTTGGCTTGTAGCTTTTGCAGATCCTCAAGAGGCAAGGCCTCTCCGAGATCGAGATCAGCCAAGCGGAGATGCGTGTGCCTCTCCAATGCATCTATATCAAGCGACCAGGGTTCGCAGACTTTGATATAGAGGTGAGTCAGGGTGCCAAATGCCTTGCAGAAAGCCTCAAACCTGTAAGCGTGCGCGCTCATTAGGTACTCGCTCCAGTCGTATATGTCGATCGTCAGCTTCGTTATGCTAATCGGGGATCTCGAGGTTAGGAAGAGTTCCCAAAGTGTTGGGAGATGGAAGCACTGGACGACCGTCAACTCCTTGACGCTGGGCAGATTGATCGATTGGAAAAGACCTTTCGGTAGACAGTCGCAGTTGTAATTACGCAGTTTGAGGTTAGTGAGATTGGCCAGCTTCTGAGGATTGGCGAGACCGATCTGCGCAAGCGGATTTTTGTACTGGGGAACAAGGCTTATCAGCCTTGACCACAGTGTTCCGACAATGACAAGAAGTTTGAGGTCAGGTCCTGGTTTGCAGTTCTTGACCAAGCTTCGCATGACCCATTGGTAGGACCCTGGATGGTAGCTTGGCGACCTTTGGCTGCGATCTTGATCTGCCTAGGCTGCGGCTCCATGTAGTTGAACTCGACTTCGATGTTGCTGTCGAAACGGTTCAAGTGTGTAGTTGGGTCTTGATGCTTTTGTACTAGATTCGAGGCCGTCCTCCCGTCGTACTCTGGGAATTTGATTTCTTCTAATCTTGACGTCATGACCGGACTCTTCATCATCGTAACTAGATGTGGCCACGAAGTCGGGCTCAAAGTCGATACAATGAAGTCCTTGTCGGTGATTGTTTCGTCCTTGGGACACACCCCGTCATCGAAGAGCAGGGCTTTGAGAGGTCGTTGCGCAAGTGAGAGTGAATGTATGACTTCCTGGATGTATAGCTCTCCGCGCCGGTCGCTCTTGACGACGAGTGTGATGTATTGAGCGAACTCAAGCATTCGGGTAATTAGTGACTGCCAGTCCTTGGGGTGCAAGTACGGGTGAGTGTTGCTCAGGAACAGACGCATGTCTATGTCTAAGAGTCGAATTCCGATACGCCACAGTTTCTTGCACGCCGTGATAGCCGCAAACATGGAGCCTTTATCCTACTGTTAGCAAAGTCAGCGCCTTCCGTTGTCAAAGTAGTATCCAGCTGTCCATACCGACGGAAGACACTTCTCGATCAGCTCCTCACCAGCAACAACTACTCGATAGTAGTGATGGTGCCGGGGGACCCTCTTTCTCACGAAAGTCCATTCCTGGAGAGTGAGCTTCAACCCGAGACGGTCTGTGAAGTGCGGTCCTGGATACGAAACGTCCACAACGATACGCAGATCTCGAGATCTAAGTGTGGGCTACTTTGGAGGCTCACATGAACGAAACAAACGACGGAATCCATCCTATCTTTTTCGTTGGCGTGGCTGCCTTGAGCAGTGCGTTGAAGAAGAAATGACGCAATGCGTTTGGAGTTGCTGGAGTTGCGAAAATCGTGAGTGGCTCGTCGGCCTGCGTCATCGCAGTACCAGTGGATGAAGTGACGTGGACGGCGACCAGATAAGGAAAGAACCTATAAACACCAAGCAGGCAGATCATTGAAGAAGACGCCGGCCGCGGATACGATGACCGTAGCATACAGAGACGAAGGAACAAAGATGACGACATAATTCCTATAACCCCCATCGTTCCTTCCCCAGGATATCTAACCTTCCTTCCTCGCCCATCCATACCAAGCCATCCATCCCATCATCCAAACGTATCCATCACCTTCCTTACAGTAACAGTAGCAAACAAAAACGACGCCGGCGAACATCACAAGGACGCAAGCGATGCATTAGTAGTCCCCCCAGATGTATTACAATACAACGAGATAACAGACAAGGAAACAAGCAGAGAGCCATGTTGTGTAAAAAAAAAAAAAGTTAAAAAGCTTATAGTTGCTCAAACGAGAAAATGACAGAATAAAGTAAAAAACAAGGCGATCGGGTATCGAAGTCGAAAATGGGGCTATCACGAAAATTATTTCCCAACTGGCTTCCTTCCCTTCCTCCCAAGTGTATGGCTTCCGTGCTACAACAGCGATAGTGGCAGTAGTGCAAGCAGCGCTCCCCAATAAGTGACTTGACAACGTTTCGATATTAACGTACTTCGCTCAGCCTTCCTCTGGTGGTGGCGTGGGTAGATCTCTCCCTTTTTGTTCTGGGCTAGGTGGGTGGACGACTGTGACGGGCGTCGTGGGGTCTCTTGATTCCTCGCCTTCTTGGTCGGCAGCGCCATCACCGTCGATGATACTTTCACCTTCTTCGGGTATGGCTGTCGGGCTCAGAATGCCTCCGTCTTCGCTTTTAGCGGAAGTTTGATTGCGTCGGTTTCTCCTTCGTTGTCTTTCCGTATCCGCGCTCTCTCGTCTCCGCCTGACGGATAGTGATCCATCTTTGTTTAGACCACTTCCGGACTGGAGGCCTTCCAGCATGGCAGCAGCGCGGTCTGCGATATCTGCTTCGGCGGTGCCGGCGGCGGCGGCGGCTGCAGGACCAGCAGTGCTACTAGCCTCGCTCTCCGCAGTCTCGCTGGCGGGACTGAGCAGTTTGTTCTTCTCATCCTCGCCCTCGGCACCCTCCCCGCCTTCTTCCATGTTGACGCCGATCTCTGGGATCTTCTGGCCACTAGCCACGCGTACCTGGTGCCTGTCCTTTAAGCGGGCGCGACGACGGCGATCGCGTTGATCTCTTGCTTCGGGCTTAGCAGCACGTAGCTTCTGGAGCAAGTCGTCCATGGCACCGGTAGATGCGGGTGATTTGGGTGCATCGGAGTCTGAGGAGAGGGCGTTGGGAGAAAGAGGATTTGCGGTTTGCGCTTGTTTGCGGCGCATGGAAATCTCGTTGCGACGATGTTGCTCTTCGAGAGTGGTGTTCTTCTCCTTGGATTTCTACAAGCAAGTTAGCAATTAATTTATAGCGATGTATAACCAAGCCGCGCAAAGCCAGCATCGTGATCACAAGGACAGGTGGTTGGTGATGACTTACCTTCCATTCCTGAACGAAGTTGGCCAACTTCGCAAAGAAATCCCTCCTCGCACTGTCGTCGGTCGGATCCTCACCGTAGAAAGCCATGATGTCGTCATAGCTCTTCTGCATGTCCTCAAGGAAAACCTGCATCTGCTCTGCCTTTCTCCTAGCCTCCTTCATGTTTCGCTGTACAACAATGGCGACCTTGTCTTCTGGGTGGAACTTTGTCGGATCGGACAAGTTACCAGAGTCCAGCGACATCTGGACGTTCTTGATGTTGTCGATGTACTTCTTGGCATCGGTCTGAAGTTGCTCCACGTTGATCTTCTGTGCCGTTACAACGCCGCTGATCTCGTCGGTGAAACCTTCCCATCCAGAGTATTGGTTGCGGACAATTCTTTCGACAACGTCGGCGAATGTGGACTCGTTCTTGTCATCCTTGAGCATACCCAGTCGTCCTAGAGTAGAGAGCTTGAAACCGCTGGCTTGCTTATTGGCGTCGTTCATGAAGTTACCAATGTCGAGAATGAGACCTAGAACACTGATCAAGCTTGACGAATCACGCAGACTCTCAGATACCCTTGAGATTTCCAGCAGCTTGTTGGAAATCTCGTCGTACTCGGTTTCGTACGTGCGAGTCAGCGCAAGCGCCCTCATCCTGCTCTTCCAGTAGTGGTGTAGTTCGTAGGCAGTGAGAAGGTAGATCTGGTCCTCTCTTGTGAGTTCGTTCGGGTCCTGCTCGCGCTTGCTTTCGCTAGCATTGGGTCCAGTCCAGTCCTTCGAGTAGGGAGCCATGAGTTTGGCGGTGTTATCGGGAATATCGCAGAAGTCGTTCTTCTGCAAGAATTCCATAGTGACAGGATCATCCAGAATCTTGTTGTCGCAGTGGATGATCATCCTTACGATATCCTCAACTCCGTACGATGAGAACTTGGCCATACTGATCTGGAAGTTGTGCATGAGGTCGCGGGAGATGATCTGCTTCTTGTCGTCCTTCTTGCCAGACTTCTTGCCAATCGCCTTGATCTCCTTTGCCAAGAAGAGCTTCTCGACTTCCTCCAGAACACCCTTCCTTGCCAACTCCTGGTACTTCTCTTCTTTTTCTTCCGAGCTGAGACCGCGGGTGGCCCAAACAGTGGTGGTAGGTTGGTCGACCTTGTCCCAATGCAGTGCCTTGAGCTTCTTCTTTGGTCGCGGTCCAGAGAGAGCAAATTGCTGTGCAGCACCAAATCCAGGTGCCTTGGGCATGAACCCAGGACGTTTGGCACCTGGCATTGGCGGTGGCGGTGGTGGGGGAGGTGGCATACTTCCATCTCCAGGCATAGGAGGGGGTGCAGGAATTCCGGGCTTGAAGCCAAGTTTGCCTGGCGGAGGCGGTGGCGGGGGAGGGGGTGGAGGTCCAGCAGTACCTGGCATAGGAGGCGGAGGAGGAATGTTGTTCGAGAATCCAAGGGCACCAGGAGGCGGGGGTGGGGGTGGAGGAATGTTGGCTTTGGGTGCTTCATTATCGCCAGGTGTCTTTGGTGAGTCGGATTCGAGGCTGGGATGCGATGGTCCTGTAGTAACGCCATCCCCTTCAGCATCAGAGTCTTCGTATCGCTTGACGTTCGCCGTGATATCCGCCATGAGGGCGTTGGCTGTCGAAGTACTGAGCTTTGGCTTGTGCATCTGGATCAGACGGGGCTTTTCGATGATAGCATCATCATCGTCCATCTCCGACATCTCAGCATCTTCACCAATCTGGCCAGGAAGTCCAGGTAGGGGCTTCCTGCGGGGCACTCCACTTTTGGCACGAACTGATCCAAATGAGCTCGCTTCCAGACCACCATAGCCCTGTTCGGTCATGCCAGGCATGTCGCCCTCCATTTTTTCTCGCAGTTCCCTAAGCTTCTCGCTGGGCTGCATCTGCAGGGACTTGCCCTCCAGTGTTGCTTGTGTCCTGGCTCGTTGCAATTGGATCTCCAGTCTGTTCATGAGACGTTCGCGGTCCATGATGCCCTGCATTTGAGCTGGATCGGTGGTAGCGAGCCCGTCTTTACCAGACTTCTTCGCTGCCGACGCTGCGACGTCTTGAGCATCCCTAAGCATCAAGTACAGTTCACGCGTCTCCAGTTCGTTTCGTTGCAGCTCTTGTGCTCGTATCCTCTGCATTTCCGCAAGTTCGGCCTTCATCGTCTCTACTTGCCTACCACGGAGCTCAATGATACGTTCCTGTTCCGCGAGTTGTTTCTGCAGCTTAGAGACTAGGCCATCTGCACCCAGCTCCAGCTGTGCTTTCATCTCATCGCGTTCCGCAATAGCCGAGTCTGCGATTTGACGTGCTTCGACCGCTTCATCGCGAACCTGTCGGGCTTCGGAATCAGTGTACAGCTTGTCGAGCAGAGACTGTACAGTGAAGTTTAGACTCTGCTTGAGGTCCATATCTGGCAGTCGGCGGTCCATAGCCACGTAGCTCAGCATTTGGTCCACCAATTGGAACATCCGCAATCGATCCTCACTCTCCGTGTCGCGCATCAACAGCAAGTGCTGCATAGCTGACGTGAAGTAGTCTTGCGCGCGAGTGCCATTGATCTTACTCATGATAGCATCTGCAATTTGCATGGGGTCGTTGAGATCCTTGGTTTCGCCTTCGACGCCCTCGGCCATGGAGCTGTTCTCCTTCTGAAGGAAATCCTCATAGTCGACTGCTTCGTTGTCCAAGTAGTGCTCGATCTGCTTGTCAATGACATCGTATTGGAAGCCTTCCATCTTGTTGAAGATGCGCTTGATGCCACATGCTGTGAATTGGGCTCGCACGTGCATCCTGAGCTGCAGGTCGCGCTCTGGGGCATCCACAATCATGTTGATCAAGAAGAGTGTCGCGATGGCATATTCCATAAGGAGGTTCTCTACGCCAATACCTCCGCTGCGGACTTCGTCTGAAGCGCCTACCATGGAGCCCATCTTGCCACGTCCGTCGACCGTGACTTCAACGATGCGCATCCATGCATCGAAGCGACTGCTTTCGCCATATTGCGATTTGAGGTTGTCGAGTGCCTGCAGTACTTTCTCGTGTCCACTTCCGTTGCCCCAGTGGCACAAGAAGGTCAAGACATCTGAGACAAGTTTTCGTGTGTTAAGTCGGTTGGAAATCAAAGAGCCGCACAGCGCCTGGATGATGGACGGGTGATTGAGGGCGTTGTCGGCACCATACTTGTTGTTCATCAGCGCCTTTAAACACTTGATGATCTCGTATTCACGTTCGACGTCGTTCTCCGCCTTTTGCGCCAGGACGCTCGGAGGAGGCGCAGGCCCTGTTGTCTTCCTGCGGTTGATCTTGGCCAGGACATTCGTGAGGGCGATTTGACCCTGCGCTTCGATGAAGCCCCTGACCCAGGCGATGGGCTGTGTTCGCAGACTGATCTCCAAACTCGACATCTGTTTTATAGATATGGAGTTGTCCATGACCTTCTTGACGTACCACTCGGGCGAGCCCTCCTCTTCTGCGCGCATGAGGATGTCTTGGCCACCACCTGCACCGGGGCCGCCGTAGGTTATCCGCTGGGTCTGACGCTTTTTCTCCTCGTGCTTGAACTCGGCCAGCTTGTCCTGGTAGACGAGGGTCCACTTCTTGTCAATCTTGTAGGCCTCCATCTGCCGCCGCGCCTGCTCTGGTAAGCTCTTCCATCCTCGCTTCACCATGAGGTTCATAAACTCCTTCTCTACAACATGGTCTGGGGGTCGTTGTATGCTGAGTGTGTTCTGGTTGAACGAGGTCTGCGACGCGGAGGGCGAGGAGGAGTTGTAGTGCAGCAGATGGCGGTGCGAGTCGCGGGGGGTGGATACGGCGGTGGGGAGGAGACTGCCGGCATCGAGGCCTATGGAGGAGATGGTGGTCTGGGATGGGTTCGGCGGATAGAAGACGTTGCTGCCGCGTGACTTGGAGTCATTGCTGTAGATGCTCGCCTGGTCGAACGAGGTGCGCGTGTTGTTGGAGGAGTCAGTGCCGGCGTAGTATGAATGGTTGCCGTCCCGACTGCTCCCTCGCGCGCCCCACTGCTGCATCGAGACGCCGCGGTCGCCTGGATTGCTCGAGGCGATGGTGGTGCCGAGGGAATGGGGCGGTGGGCGCGGTGGCCCCGGGTTGGAGTAGCCGTTCTGGGGCATTGCGGTGGCGTTGAAGACGGGGTACTGATGGAAGTCGCCGCCGCCCTTGTTGAGGTGGTGCGGCAGCGGTTCGGCGTTCTTGGAGGCGTCGTCTCGCGGGGGGTCGATGGAGGATACGGGGCCAGCTCGCGCGAAGATGCCCTCGGCCGTCATGGACACGGGCCGCTGGTCTATCGAAGCGCCGCCGATGGAGTGTCTGTGTGAGTGTCGTGACGAGAGCGAGCCATGAGAGCTCCCCGGGGGGCTGTCGGTCGAGGACGTGGTGGTGTGTTTGGCGTCGCCCGTGTGCTTGTCCTTGTCCTTGTGCAGGCGTCGTCCGAAGAACTTGCCGGCGGAAGATTGCCGACCCTTGCTGTCCATGCCTATAGCGAGAGCCTATGCCCAATGCTCTGCCGCCTTGGGAGCGCGCCGCCCGACGTGTCTGCGTCCCCCTCCTTCGTGGGCAATGCGTCCCGCCTCGCTACAACGGCGCAGGTGACGATGCCGGCTGCCTCAGCGGGCGTGTGTGGTCCTGAAACGAGCGTGCGGGGCTGGGTGCGGTGAGTCGAGAGTGAGAAGCAATTCCTGGGGCGCCGTCGTGGCAGCAATGCGGCTGCGAGAGAGGGAGTGGGAAGTTGCCGAATACTGTAACTAACTAGCGCCCCCCGTGTGACTGCATGGCAAGTAGACAGGACTGGGACGCGGCCATTTGTTCTCCACAGCGCCCGATTCACCACGTCTCATAGTTACAGCGCGCCAGGGCTGCTCCGCGTGGATATGCAAGCACGCGAACCACCCGCCATGTCCGCATTGGCTCCGACGTTCTCCTGAGACGTGCGCACGTCCGTGTTGTGGCGCCATCTGCCATCCATGCCCAGATGCACCCCTAGCCGGCCTACGCGACTGGCGACCTCTTGTCGGCCTCGACATCGACAAGCAACTATCCCCGGCACATCCACCATCTCCCGCCTGTCTGTGGCGCAGCAGGCACAACACCTGCATACTTGCCCGTCGCACCTTCCTCACGCCTGGCGCACTACGTCTCAACACCACGTCTGCTGTCCACGCCGCCTCCACGGCTAGCAGCCCCGGCCTCGCGTCAGCCCTAGGCGATCAAAAGGACGCGCTCCGCCAGTTCACGCACCCTCACTAGCACATGCATCCACAGCCATGGCCGGCTTTACCCATTTCCTCAAGGTGAGTGACAGCTGTCACGTACATGAAGCTTGGGCGGTGAGCGCATAACGCGACCCACCGCGCACACCAACCCCATGTGGAGGCTGACGATGCGCCTTCAGACCATCCTCGTACCACTCTTCCTCGCTGCTCTCCTCTATGCCCTGCTAGTCTTCCTCGTGCTGCCCTTTGTGCGCCGGCACCGCAGCCGTTATAGCCAGTACCTGCCTATGCCCGCGAGCGTGACCGACTTCCCTTCCTCTTGGCGGACGAACCTCTCCGATGCCCTCTACAACCTCTTCGCGCCTTCCGCTTGGGTCAGACAGCGCGCGATTGTGGATGGGAGCGGACAACACGACGACGACTTGTTTGACGATGAGGAGGGAGAGGGCATGGTGGGCTTTGACCCCATCGATGAGAGGAGGAGAGAAGCCCTCGAACAGCGCCGGAGCATCATGGAGGAAGAGCGGCGGCTAGGCCGTGAGCTGGAGGAAGGCTTCAAGGACGACAGTGAGGATGAGCATGAAGACGAGAGGCGGCGGTCCCTATCACGACATCGATGATTTCTATAATACTCTTCACACCGCGTACAAGGAAAAATAAACAGCTACACAGCCGTCTACATTAGCATAAATACTAAAAAGTAGCAGAATCCTTAGGTAATGTAGACTTCTAGGAGGTAGGTGCTCAGGCCTTTCCTTGTATGAGGTGTTCACGTCACTTTGCCTACAATTTGAAACTTTCTTGTGCATCACATCATCGGCTGGAGTTGGAGTTCAAGTGGATATATTCATGTACATAGGTAGGCGGAAATACCCATCCGACGCCTAAACCTAAACAAAGAAATTCGTGCCAAATCGCTCAAAGAAGACAGAAGGCTGCAGAAGAGGACCATTCTTCTACTTGCGCTGACCGTACGCCTTGGTGGCGTAGTCGCCCTTGTGGACTGTGAGACAAGTTAGTAAATATTGATTTACCGTAGAAAACACTGCGATGCTTACCGATCAAGTCCTCAGGTCTGTAGTTCTCGCGGCCGGAGAAGTACTCGTCAAGGATAGCCTTGGTGCCGTTGGCGTATCGCTCCTGGGCATCGATGGAGGTACCAGACATGTGAGGAACCATGGCGTTGCCGCCGCCCCATGGGTTCTGGGCGTAGCGGAGCGGGTGGTCCTTGGGGGCGGGCTGAGGGAACCAGACATCACCACCGTATCCACGGAGGTGGCCGTCCTTGAGAGCCTGGGCAACATCCTCCTTAACGACGATGGCACCACGGGCGGTGTTGACCAACCATGAGCCCTTCTTCATCTTGGAGATGAGGTCCTTGTTGAAGAGACCGCGGGTCTTCTCGTGGAGCGGGCAGTTGATGGTGACAACATCGCACTGGGCCAACATCTCCTCGAGGTTCTCGACGCGACGGCAACCAATCTCCTTCTCCTTCTCAGGGGAAAGGGGCTGGTAGTCGAAGTAGAGGAGCTCCTTGCAGTCGAAGGGCTTGAGACGGCGGAGCACACGCTCACCAATACGGCCAACAGCGACGGTACCGACAACCTTGTTCTCGAGATCGTACTCGTTCTTGGCGACCTCGGCGACGTTCCACTCTCCCTTGGCGATCTGCTCGTGGGCGGGGACGAAGTTGCGGACAAGGGTTAAGATGGTCATGACAACGTGCTCGGCGACGGAGACGACGTTGGAGCCAGTGACCTCGGCGACGGTGATACCGCCGTTGGTCTTGTTGGCGGCATTGAGGTCGACGTGGTCAGAACCGATACCAGCAGTGACGGCGAGCTTCAGGTTCTTGGCCTTGGCCAGGCGCTCTGCGGTGAGGTAACCGGGGTGGAAACTGTTGATCGCGATCTGTTAGCTGATGCTGGCTCGGATGGTGTTTGCAGCCTTAGCGTGTCCGGCCGAAGCTTGACGCGTGCATGTGGGGCGCTTAGCGGCATTGCGGGGTAGCTCTGACGTACGGAGTGGTAATGATAACCTCAGCATCAACAAGGTGCTTGTCGAACTCGGAGTTCTCACCCTCCTTGTTGGAGGTGGTGACAAGCTCGTGGCCTTGCTCCTCGATCCACTTCCTGATGCCTAGCTCGTTCTCGGTAGTACCGAGCATGCGAGGCTCTTGCTCAGCGTGGACTCCACCCTAGTGTTGCTGTTAGATATGTCGATGCGCATTGGGAGTCCTATGGCCACTTACATCGTAGAGGACGAGAAGAACTTTGCCCTGTTGTGAAGCCGTCGCGGTCAGCGTTCTGAAAGCATTCGGTTGGCGCAGCGACGATGTTAATCGAGGTCCGGCGCGCGCGCTGAGGAGGGAGGAGGCAGGGCGCGCAAGGCGAGAAGCAGATCGGAGAAATACCATTTTGACTTATTGAACTGACAAGTGAACAATTGAGGCTCCGAGGGAGAGATATATAGTAGAAGCCGGCAAAGGTACAACGAATGGTACGTATTCCTGACGCAAGGTATGTCAGCCTATCGTCCCGGCAGGGGGGAAGTGAGGGGTGCGTGGGTCGGTATACCTCTTGCGGGCCGAAGTGACGTCGATGTATGGTAGAGAAGATCAATGGAAGACCGGATGATACACTGGACAATGTTGGTGTTGTGAGAGCAATTGAGGGGTTCGTGAGGGGGCTTTTATATACCGCCGAGCAGCCGCACGATCTTCTCACTACTTTCAGCCTCTGGTCCCTGGGTCACCAGGCAGGCGCGGTCGGTCATCCCCACTTGGTGATGCGACATTCCCACACAGACAAGTGGTCGCTGCGGGTGTGACGGTCGTGTTTGGAATTACTTCGCATCGCTGATAGTGCGGGGTCGCGTCCAATGACGCGAATCAGCTCCCAGACGCGCCAGGGAAGCTCTACCAGCTGCTTACCCGTTTGATACTCACGAAGCTTCGCCGAGAAGCCCGTAGCGTAGTCTGTGGGCGTGGGTCAACACGGTAGCTCCAGTAGCGCGTGGTCGTTTGACCCGATCGAGCAAGAATGTACGTAAATCGAGGCCTAGGACTGGTACTTCACTGGCGTACGCTAGGGCTCCATATGGGGAGCTCCCGAACAGATTCAATTCGGCATTGTGGAAGGATCAATATGGTTTACGAAGCTGGTATTGTGACTCTCAGAGGCCCAAAGGTCGCGATGAAGCGTTGCTCGAATGGCCGTCCACAGGGCTCTCGCTGGGTTCCAGCTTCCAATGCGACCATAGGACAATGCATCTTGCGTAGATAGAAGTGTGGGCTCAAGCGACACACCCACAGCATCTCTCCTCGAAGAGTCGTGCTAGCGATGGCAAATCCAAGAGAAGTGGGCTTGCGTCCGAGCAATCTAGACGCCGCTTTGTACTTTGTCCGCGGCAGCACAGGAAATGCGGAGCTGCAGCGGTTCAAGCTCGCAGTCTGCGGATGCGAGATGTCGCCGTAGGGTCTGACAAAACTCGCGGGAAGCCAGGGCGACGGTCGGCGCAGGGGATTTGTCTCGGCACAGACGGCGGATGGCTGGAGATTGTTCTTATCTTTCGGCCGAAGCTCGCTCGGAAGGGGCGCGCGCGCCAAATTCGCGTTTCGGTAGTTCCAACTTTCAGGAACCCCACCACATCCACTGAACAGCACTACGCATCCCTTCTCCCGATCTAGCTGAGGAACCCGATGGTGTCATGGCGCCATCTCGCCGAAATCTGATGGAAGTATATCCCGCTGATTCCGCGGGATGTGTACCTTGGGCTAGCTATACTGCGAGTTCTTTCTTTTACCTGCATTCCCCCCCTCAGCTTCCGATAGCGCCTGGCGTCCTTCGCATAGGCAGAACCACATGTTGAGCGGCTCAACGACGGTTCTCGGGCATCGCAAAGTCATTCTCTATTACCTGCTTGACTTAGAGTTAACGAACGTCCGTAATCTTATCTATAGGTGTAGATGTGCTCAACCATCAATCGCGTAGGTGTGTTTTGAGGAGCCGGCGGAGGAAGATCTTGCATAACATCCGCCATCGTGAGAGAAACTGTGTCGGAAGCAACTGTGCTTGATACGATCGTCATCCAGCATTGATCATCGCGACAGCAAGCATCTATCCATATTGCTCCGTGGTGAGAGAACGGGATTCGAGATAACGCGGCCGACATCAAGCACAAAAGAAGACTTGAAATGTTGATGTTCAGAAGAAAAAAGAGCGCAATGCCGCGTGGAAAGCATCTGGTGCACAAATTCTCGGAAGAATATCTCTTCGAGTTCCCGGAGTATAGCGAGCAACACCGCTCCCACAGCCCAATCGAAACTACATTCGGACGCAGAGGACTTAGAGGTTGACTTCGCCTTACTAATGAGCCACTGAGCTCGCTGTTGTGTTGGGTGAGCCAAGAAAGTTGCTGCTTTCACAAATGCCCAATGCACTGTAAAGCTCCTCACCCTCACCTTCACCGCGCAAGAAAGCGCGCACGCGACCTTGGCAAAACGGTGTTGTCTTCAATCTCTGGGTTCTCTTTCGCTTATCCGAACTCCTACCTTTTCAATTTCGACCATTCTGAGCACCTGGGTATCAATCCGAGCAAAACTCGAAGGTGGGTAAACGAAACGACTAACATCAAGCGGTCGCTGACTTACCAGCAAGACGGAATAATGGCAGGGCCACCCAAGAAGCGCGCGCAGATTGAGGAATCCTGCTTGTTCAAAGACAATGTGGCTTCTGGTGCGGTTCTAGCAAAATACGGCGACGTCATACTGGAGCTCAGCAAAGACGGCAAATCGGTCGGGACTCTCCTCGTCTCCTCTCATGTTCTCAGCCTCGCGTCACCAGTCTTTGGCGCGATGTTCAGTGGGAACTTCGCAGAGGGACAGAACCTTTCCACCGCCTCACCCAAGAATATTGCGCTTCCGGACGATGACGCAGAGTCAATGACGTTGTTCTGCAAATTCATTCATATGCAAACTGCCAACTTGACCCGCGAGCCTTCCTTCGATGACTTACCTGACCTTGCTATCATCTGCGACAAGTACGGCTGCACGGAGAGTATACGGTCATGGCTTCAAGTTTGGATTAGCCAAAAGCTCAAGTCACCGAGAGCGCTCAAGTTCGAGAAGCTCGTATTCGTTACCTATGTATGCGATCTTCCTCGGGACTTTCAGCAGGTCACCCTAGTATTGTTGCGAGATACCATCAAGAGATTCAGCAACACCGATGTTACCCACGGGTCAAACTTCGTCCCTATGGAGCACATCGGTATGTAGTCTTTGTTTGCAAATTTACATTCCAACAAGAAAGGACACCTGCTAATTGTTTCTAGATAAGCTTCAGCCCCAGTCTGCATCTCTTCAAGCTAGTGTTCGCTCTCAGCTCTTTGGCAAGAAGTACCAGGACCTTGTTAGTTCAAATTGTCCTAACGCGGCTGTTATCTTGAAGCAATACCTTCAAGCTCTCACTACGTCTGGGGTCACAGCAAGTACTCGTCAGTCAATGGAAGAGTATGTCCAGGCGGGAGCGATACTCAAGACTTTGCTCTTGGATCCGAAATGCCAGCACCACATGTCATGTTCTGTTACGGCTACCAAGGACATCAAAGCGGAATCGGTGGAGGCCTTGCTCAAGGCGTCCGATACCGCTAAGGGTCTCTGCTTGGACTGCACCCGTAAAGAACATCTGCGCAACAGCTCCATCGTGTGTCGCTTGGGTCATAAGGTCACTCCGGTACACGCCGCATCAAGTGCTACTACCACTATCTGAGTTTATGAGTGAGACTGAGATTCCTTTCATGACTTGCACAATAAGAGCAGATGCACGGCTCGACTCTGAGTGATGGGCAAAGTGGGGTCTTCATGGATAGGGTACTACTTCGACTGGAACGAGTTCTTACTCAATTCGAGCAATAGATACTAATGATAGCCTTGTCATAGTCTGCATCTCTAGTATGATACGATACGTGATGTTCTATCAGAATGCCTACTGACTTCAGTCTTCGCCGCAACCACCGTGGTCCCAAAGTCTCCTTGCGTGGGCCGCCAGGGTCTTTGCGAATATCTCAAGACCAAATTCACCGGATGCGGAATCGTTGCGCCATATGGGATTCTGCATTGCCCAGCCAAATCAAGTCTCCACTACGCGAGACCGTGTCCGCACAGTCAGGACACCCACATGTTCCGCCAACATACATTTTCTATCACAAGCGAAGGTGCAGCAGTGATAATGCATCGATATGTTGTTGAGAATGGCGCCAATCCGGAAGCAGTTGTAGCCAACGATGGATTGGTTGGTAAAAGGATTTAGGCATAGATAAGATTCCTGGTGTGGTGGCGGACATACGTAACCATGTAACCCATGTCTACAATGGATCGTATGCTGTCCCTTTGAAATAGGAAGACGTTTTCGTTGATAAGAATTTAGGCGCCAGATGCATCATATGCGCTGCTCTTAAGACCCGTCCGCCAGTGTCGTGAAATGGGATATTAGGCTAGTATGTCGCCAAGCTCTCAATCCAGTCGTTACGGCTAGCACTGATGATCCCAGGAGAAGGCGCTATTCCGGACTTCGTGAGTGATGCGTAATGCTGCCGAAAGCGCTAAGCTTGGTTCAGCGGAGATGATGCGCGAGCTTGTGGGTATCCTGCGGGAGATCGACAGGAGTGGCCAGCATTCGCCATTATCATCCCGGACTTCGGTGTCGTGATGTAGGGAAGAACTGGTTCGGGGGTTGAGGGTCTTTTGAGGGGTTCAACAAGGCTCACGGCCTAGAAGGGCCAGATCCGCCATAATCATCTTTACTTCTATCCAAATACTGCCTCTTTGTAACGGAAGTGTGACTGAACTCGAAGCGTCCTCATACTCAAACCATGAAGTCGAAATGGTCAAAGATGATGAAACGGGTAGAATACGAACTTCAGCTGCTCGCCATATCTCGCTTGCGCGCGACATCCAAGTCCGAGCTCTGGCTCGCGCCTCGGCATCTCTCGCCGCTTCCCAAATGTTACTCCGCTTACATCTCCGTCCGCTCTCCAACATCCTGCGCTTACAGATCTCTGACATATCTGCTTCGGCATTTCTGGCTAAATGAAACAAGCTCCAAGTCCGCCCGACGCTTGATCCTTCGATCCCTCACCTCTCTGCCTGCCAACGATTCGCCATGTTTCTTGTGATTGGGCACGTGGTGCGTCCGCCTTAGTAAACCCGTGCATATTTGTACCATATCTCAGCTCTTAGCATGATTTTCTATACGCGCGACTTTCGTCCCGATGCTATTAAGGCCCAACGTCCGATATTAAGTACAAGGTCACGCCGTATGCTATGCGAGCATCTTCTTCTCGCCTATTCGCCAACATTGGAGTTTCCAGACCTCGTTTTCCTCAAACTGGGAAGCGAACTTGTTTACCGTCATCACGAGGAGGGGATCCGAAATTGGTTTTCTGGGGGAATTAATCTATCTTGCAGCGACTTTGGGGTAGGTTTCGCAAGGGCGTGTCTCTTCCCCACCAAGGAGGCTAGTGTTTGCTCCTAGAGAGACAGCGCGAGGGTTTTGCCGGGCAAGCTCTTTGCTGTATAGCGTGGCACGGTACACCTGAGCTGTGCGACGGTCGATCAATATAAAGAGCCTGGGTACTTGCTTTCCCCAGAGTAAGATTCATTTCGCTACGACACTGCCGACCGAACCTTGGAAAGCTTGCATCCTCGTCTCTCTTCTCTCGGAACGCAAACTAACGTCTGCGCATCATGTTGGCCAACATTCCCACCACGCTTCTCTTGCTCGTAACCTCGCTCGCTCTACCTACATACGCTGGTATTCAACAAACAGACTTCAGCGGCATTGGTCACATCTACGTCTTAGCCTCCGACAACTGGGGCACCGCAACCCCAGAGTCAAGTGTAGGATGCCTGAATGCGCATGGCAAATTCGTCCATGACAGTGGGAGCGGGAAAGAATGCGGGATATTCGAGCGCATGGATGACTACCCTTATACTCTTAGCACTCATAATGGCAACTGCACATTCCAAGACGATAGTCAAGAAGAGAACGTTGACAGTCACTACGGGCAAGGCGATTATGCATGGACGTGTACGGAGCGCAACGTTGACATTTACGACGAGCTATACACTATAGTAAGTATTGTTCCCAGCTTGGTTCGCCAGAAGACATTGCTAATGCGCACGTAGACCGGATTCCCATACGTCTTCCTCTGCTTCGGAGATGTAGCATGCTATTACGATGCTAAGCGTACCCCTACTGTCAACGAATCTCTCCCACTATGGCAGTTCCGTTGGGGATCGCAGCAGACCGGTATCACGCCAGGACATATTATGCTGCAACTCATGTGGAAGAAGCTTGGTGATACACCAAAGAGAGAGCAAATGAGCGAGATACCAGGCCCTAGGATTCAGCTTAGTAAGGACATGCAGATACCGCTGCTAGGTCAGAAGTCAAAGGCGTAGAGGTGTTGAGGCCATGCAATTGGGAAGAAGCGCAACGCGTCGGAGTACTGAGCTGTGATATCCATTGTTCCATATATGAAGGGGCATGCAGTCTTGAATACGTTCCACCTAACGAGAAAAAACATTGGCAATTGCCTATAAGTCTGCGTCGTACCGCATATGCAGTCAATTTGATGTGCGATGTCAGCTTGCATGCGCAAAGTAATCTCGGGACAGTAGTTCCAGATCCCCACACAGAATAGCTGTCGTTAAAACATCCCATGCTGCCGTTACATCGTAAAGCATAGGTTAAAGGCTTAACAAATGAAGGTACGATTTCAGGTTCATTACATGAAATTGCCGCCAACATCCGAAATCACAAGCTATTGGTCCACCAGTCATTACAGTCCATGGCTGCCATCAAGTTCATCCAAAATAGGGCCTGCAGAGATGAACCACCGCCGCCAATAGATCACTCTCACCATCGTCGTAAGACCAACCGACCAGAATGAAGTGAAATCACATCGACGCTAAGAGAGTGGTCTACGGAGGTAAGATCTACTGTGGAAAGTAAGTAGATGATGGGTATTTCCGAAGATAATGTGAGTACATACCTGACCTAGCACATCGTTGTTGGGGTCGTGTGGGGTAGTCTCAACCCTGACAGTGCTCGAAGACTCGTAGGTGTTGGGGTGTACATGCTGGCACTTGTAGGAGCCGTATGTGCCAGTCAGTGGGAGAGGGATCTCGTGAACGTCGCCGCAACCGACGGTGAAGGCGGCTTCCTCGTCCGACATGGAGCCGCCGCAGTCCTTGTTCTTTTGACTGTTAGTTTGTACGGCGAACCCCAAGCATGCGCCGAAGACATACCTTCCAGAAATTACACTCGGTGGACTCGACACAGATCATAATTGACACGATGTCGTCGTTGTCCCCACGATACATTAGTGACTATGATAGAAGAAGTGGTGAGATTATGTACAGTGGAATACACCTAGGGCTCTGCTTGTCCATGAGGAGAAACGTAGGCGCGGATGAAAAGTCTGCTTGAGAGTACACTGCGCCGACATCGCGGACGTCGTCATTGTTGATCATGCCGATGTGCGGGCTAGGAGCCGCAAACGCCATGCCGACGACGATGAGGAGAAGGGAGAGAACGTCCTGGTAGTACATGACTTTGATGGATGTTTTGTTTTTCGTATGAATAATTGGTGAGAAGTGTTGTGGTTTAAGAGCGTGGCAGTAGAGAGAACGAGTTGAGGGTGGAACTGTGAAGAGGAAATCTCTCGGGGGAGGTAAACGTTGCAATCTATGTTCCGCTAGCACGAGACAAACACTGACAAGCCTCGCGATTGGCGACGACATCGATTACCACATTTGGAAGGCGCAAGGGTGAAGCCGAATAGATTCCGCCCTTTCATTCCCAGACTCTCGGTGTAGCTCCGCGAGATCGTTCCCTCTCTCTGCTCAGACCCACGATACTGAAATACTGGTGAGGGTGAAAGGGAACTGCAATGCAATGCAAAAAAAAAACCATGATGTGTGAGTCTCCAAGCTTTCCTGCCCGTTTCACGCCCGACCGTACTCTCCTCTTTGTTCCAACATTTACTTAACCTCATCAACACGAGAAGATCTTCAGTCATGCATTGAGGGACGGCAGAGTTTCATACAAGCTTTTCTACTCGGATAATCGCTAGCCATTCCGACCTAGAGTCATGCAATTTGAGCTTTGGGCTGAACTTTCTCAACGTGGGTATGCTAAAGAAAGTCTTGGATATCCGCCCCAACCTCAAGCGGCTCGGATATCGACACTTCATGTTTGAACTACCATGGAAACATGACGGCTTCGCTGGCAAGATACATGGTGTCACCGGAGCGCATATCAGGGGCTTCGACAACCACTTTGCCGCCTACGCCGGGGTTTTGGCAAACTTCCGTGAACTGGAAATGGTCGTTGCATACTTCGAGCCGTACGACAGCGATGGTGGCTTTATCAAGTCAGGCTCAGGCGGCGACGCTCCTCCTGAGGATCCCATGTATCAACGGCTCTCGGATCATATTCTGCAAGAGATCCGAAAGGTAGCCAGTAAGAACGGTGTGGCAGAGTCGAAGTTTGCAACGATGGTTCTGCATGACAAGGCTCTCGCAGGTGAGGATGTCCTCGGTGAAGAGGATATGGTAGATCAGAACCACTACGAGAGGGAACACAAGTACGAGGGCGGTGCTAGTGGCAAGATGAGCTTCCTTACATAGACAAGATGGACGCGTGTAGACTAACACGTCTTGGATAGTTCCAGATAGTAACGGTGTCTACCTAATCAACACGACTTCGAAGTTTCTTTGCCACATGTATCTTAAAAGTCATACTTCATGCGCTACCATTCTAGTTGCCAGCAGCCAGCCTCCAGCAAATGTTGATCAGGGCCGCCGTGGCAGTAACATGGGCAGCAGTCCTCGGCAGAGCCACGTTGCTCAGGTAAGACGGGTAATGCACGAGCAACTTTGCAATGACATGGTAGCCTAGCAGGTTCACGATCTGTGCATCTCGAGGTGCAAGGACCTGCGCCAGCGCGGCAGCAAGGGCGAAGCCTGCAATCACGTTTACGTTAGCGACAATGTTTACTGATAGAGGGCACTGCGAGAAATGTCGGCTTACCAGGGAAGTTCTCCATAAGCGCATAATGCGCACTCCTTAGCCTCAGCGGCAGTCCGTCGAGCTTGTGAATATGCTTCCTCGAATGTTCTAGGTCGAGACCCTCTTCTCGGCCCATGGCTTGTCCTGCTGCGGAGAGCGCGCCCGATGCGCCGAAGGTCCAGAATATGTATAGAGCTGAGAGGGCGGGGATTGCGCGACCGGATGTTATAGCTGTTGTCTGGAGTATCCGTTAGTAAGAGACGATTTGCGGAGCTGAAGCAGAAAAGAGAAGGAATCAACGTACTGTAACTCCTGGAATCAACTTGATGAGCGCGTGAACCAGAGATTGCGTGACGCTGTCCGGCTTTGTGAGGAAGGAGCTTTTCGACACAGTCAGTTCCAGTCCGGTTTAACGAACGGCTTCGAGAGCCTGAGAAAGACGTACGTAAGAGGTATGGCAGCGAGATACATGGGCGCAAAAGCCGCGATCATCGCACCCGAAGGATTAGCACTACTCCTCCATTAGCAATCCATTACATGCTAACTTCACAGCGACCAAAACTCACATTCCATTCTCAGCAGCCACACGCTTCACCTGTTCTTTTTTCTCGTCGGCCATATTCTCGGGTTTATGTTCGTACATGTAATTTCGTAAGTACCACTCGGGAGGGTTGACAATATGCAAGCACGCACGTCAGAAAGCTACAGACCCACCTTGACTATATAGGCCTGCCAGGCTGCCAAACAATGCCCATTGTCGTTTCTAGACTGGAGGCCTATCGATGACGTGGGGCCGAACCGCGGCGCAAGTAGCAGGGGAGGGAGACAGGTGGCGGAGCGGAATTATATCCCTGGTATGCAATTGGCTGGCGCGACTGCCACACCCGGATGACCCGCATGTCCGTGGTCGGAAATGGGAGTAGCCGCCGTGGTTCTGCGGGGTTAATCGGGTGTTTGTGCAGGGTATTTGGAAGCATTAAAGTTGATAGGCGCAGTGCGAGTTTTGCTGTCTTTGTTATCGAGATGCAGTATTCAGACAGGCTAAGAAGCTGCTTGTTATGTGAATGAACCTGATTTGCTCTATGATCCTATCGCTTACCCTTCTCGAATTCATATTTGACAACACTCTCAGGAACCAATATAATAAAAAAGCAAACTCCGCGAAATAACATATAGAATCTAGACCTTGTAGAACGAACGAACACACGCAAAAGCAAACACACCCGCGGACCATCTACACCCCATACCCAACAGCCAACCTTATATCCTCCCTCTCCGCCCTCAACTCCCCTCCATCGTCATACTCTCCACTTCGCCGATGCTTAACCACCATCCTCCTCGCTCTCACAACGAGATGCTCTACCACAGCATCTTCCAAGTCCTCCTCAAAAGGATTGACATCACGTACCAGCATAACGAGTTGCGCGCGAGTGATGCTACGTGAACGTGCCGCATCGTCTGGTGTTAGCGACCAGCTTTCTGTTACGAGATCCCAGGTTCCGGCCCAGAGGTCGGTGACTAGCGTGTCGATGGCGAGGGCGAGGTTGAGAGTGTGGGTGGGTGTTGATGGGGCTGAGAGGGTATGCGAGGTGATTGATGAGGATGGGGAGGGGGATGGAGAAGGCGAGCGGCGACGGCGGTGGAAAGAGCGAGGGGGTGGTGTGCCGAACTCGTCTGAAGAAAAGGCTGAAGACGATGGTCGTGATAGAGAGGATGCGGATGAAGGCGTTCTACGGCGACGCGGGCGACTTCCCTTTTTTTGTCTTGATCGCTGTCGTCCACGTTCAATGTCTTCCTCTGTCTCGTCTTCTTCACTGTCCTCATGCTCATCTCCATCTGCGTCATCGCTATCCTCGCCATCGTCATCGCTATCAGTCTTTCCTAAACTCCCAATCCTGCCATTAAACAACACAGCCCTACAAGTCGGACAAGTACCACATGCCGCACTCCCAGACCCTAACCACTGCAGCAGACACGTCTCGCCAAACACACACTGGCATTCTGGATGTGCAGTAATCTGAACGACTTGGTGGTGGTCGGTGCAACGCTGGCGACAGATGGAGCAGAGAATTTCTTGCAGGGCGGTAGGAGTGTGGATGTGGTGTCTCATGAAGAGGGCGCGGGATGTGGAGTCGGGGTGGTAAGGCATGGTGTATGTGTGGCGTTCGTTTGGTTGGATAATGTTCTCGTGGTGCTCTGGTATCGTGGTTGCTGTTGTGTACATCTTTACGTGTGAGCCCATGGTAAGCTAAATATATCACTCTTGGTTTTGGTCGGTCTGAGACTTTTGATGTCTAGAGACATGTGTCTGAGTATGTCTGAGCATGTCTTGCAAGGCGACAAAGAACTACAACAGCGTCATGATCCAGAGTACCGAGACATGCGCTCGTACCAGAAAAGTCTTACGGGCTATCAACTTCAGTCTCAGAAGACAGTGTCCCAATGCGACTAGTACACTTCCTATTCTCGAGACTACCAACACCAAGATGTTCAAGAATAGATATTATGTTGTTGTATGCTATTAAGTCGTAATTTCGTCGCTTTCATGCATAGACAATACCTATACAAAATGCTCCAGACATTAATGGGAAAAGACCAAAATCTCTGACGAAGACAGATACAAGAAGTATAGCAACTCCAATCCGCACACAGTGCGAGTAAGGAGAGGGACGCTGATGATGTGAATGAAACTGACAGAAAGGAAACGAATCAGAAGCAGAGAAAAAGGGGTAGGGGACAAGTTACCCAGCAAACGCCTTTCCCGCACGCTCCATGTGCTATGCAAGATGTTCCTAGGCTGATAATGCGAACAACGTCCAATGGTGTCTTCGGGCAAAGCAAGCTTTTCAACATCTTCCAAACGTATCATCAATCTTCTAGTCAAAAGATCTCATGGCCCAACCCTCCAAACCCATCATCCCCAACCTTGACCCTCTTGCCCTTACCCTCCATCTCGCGCGGTATACTAGGCACGTCAGGGACATCCCTACCATCGGGCACAACGCGCACAGGCTCTTCGCTCTTCAGATTACTCCTCGAGAAGCGCTTGGTGAGCCTCGAACTAGATCGTCTGGGGCTCTTCTTGCTCGCGGTGCTCTTGACGCGTTTTATACTGCGCTCGGTGCGCTCCGACACTTCGGCTTCGGAGGCGGACGCAGCGGAGAACATGTCGATGTCGCCTTCGGAGTCGGTGGGTATGGGTTTGTACTCGCCGTCCGAGTCATGGAGGGTGGCTTTGCGCTTCTTTACAATCTTGCCGATGCTGACGGGTGGCTCAACTTCGACTGGGGTTGTGTTTCGTGATGGGTCTTCGTTTTCGCTAGGGGTGACGTCCGGGGTGGGTGGTGCGAAGTCGGGGATGCGTGGGACGGGCGGTATGTCGCTGTAAAGGACGGTCTGGAGCTCCTTCTTCGCAGAGGCGAGCTTGTACTCGAGGTCGGAGACGCGCTTCGTGAGCTTCTTCTGCTTGTGCAGGTCTTTCTTGCTGGGGGTGTGGCGGAGGGTCGGTGTTCGCGGTGTGCGGATTGGAGTCGCAGCCTCGGCCATGGCTGCGGTCAAGCCAAGCTGCATCTTCTCAGCGGCAACAGGCTGATATGGTGTACCAAATTGCCGCGACCTCATAGCGGGTCGTACGAAGACTTTTGGTTGAGGGAGAAGGCCCAGGTCCTTCGCTTCATGATAGGCGATTTCGGCATCCCTCTTGCGCTGCTCTAGTAGTTGCTGGTGCTGGTCCTTCTCCCGCTCTGCGTCTGCGTTCCCAGCTTTGCGCTTGCCCAGAACACTGCCGAACATGGAGGCGAACGCGCGTTGTAGGCGAGCATAAGTCGTCTCTGTCGGCGCGGTTGCCGATGCCTGTACGGTTGTGCTAAAGCTGGATTCCGTAGGGGTCCCACTACCGGAAGCTGCCCTCGAAGAAGCCGACTTGACCAGGCGGGGCATGCGGTTCGCAGAGCTCTTTCTCGACGTCGGCGGCTTCGCGTTCTCCTCGTTGAACTGCTCGATCAGCTCTTCGATACCGATGTCTTTCCATAGCTCGTCTGGCGGCGGTCGTATGCTGCCGTTTGTGTTTGTGTGTTCCTTGAAGCGCGACGCGCGCGGCTGTGTCGACTCTTCGGCGTCGTCGCTCATGGCCAAAGCCGTTGCGCGTGTAATGGGCATCCGTCTGGGGTGCTCGCGGCGCTAAGATGCAGTAAGGTGATGGAGATAAGGGAGCGCGCCTCGAGGAAGCGGCGAGGCGGCAATAAGGCGGAGAAGGGTCGAGGGTGTAGAGCGGAGGACCGTGACTGTTTGTTTTGTGCAGAAATTAGTCGAGAAGTTGCTTCGCTGGTTGCAGCGTCGGACACGACAATTACTGGCTACGGCTTCCGAGGTGAGGAGGACCCTGTCAATGCGTGACTTGGCGCCCACTGATTGCTCGCTACCTAGGTACTCTCCACTACGGCCCGTGACACGTTGTCTACTATCGTTCACCGCTTGCAATTTTCATCCTTTCACCAGCTCATCAGCCGGCAAGGCTCCATAGCGGTCGTGATGAACATGTTCAGTTTGTAGTATTACCGCTACTGTACACTCAATCGACCGATCTATACGCAGTTCCATGGTACCATGACTCGCACAGGGTGCCTGAGTACCCGCGCGCTAGGAAAGCAACCATGCAATCACTGTCTAGGTATCCTCGTACGGCCGCCAGACGCCAAACATGCAGTTCCACTCTCTACAACTTCGCCTTGGCCTTCGACTCCTCGGCCAGTGCCTCCTCATAGCAGTCATCCAGTTCCTTCCTGAAAGCCTTGACAGTTTGCGGGCGCTTCAACTTCAGTCTGTATAGTGTTAGTATGTCAACCATCTGGTATCGTCAAGTTGAACTTACGTTGGGGTCAAAAGTTGGTTTTCGATGGTCCAAGGATCAACAAACAACCGCACAGCCCTGACGCGCTCGTAGCTATTGAACTTGTTCTTTCGTCCCACCTTTTCCAGCTCCTTAAGTACTGCCTGTTCGACCTTCTTGTTCTTGCAGACCTCCTTCAACTTCTCGATATCGCCTTCTGGAATCTTCTCGCCGAGCACCTTGGATGCGAATTGTGGGAAGATGTCAGGCGCGACACCGAAGATGGCCACGAGGAAGGATTGATGCGAGTCGCCATGGACATAGCCAGAGGCGAGGTAGCTGCAGTTTGCAAGGTATACATTCTCGATCCGCTCGGGGGAAATGTACTCGCCCTGCGCGAGCTTGAGGACGTTCTTCCTGCGGTCGATGATCTTGAAGCGACCGAGCTCGTCGACGGAGCAGATGTCGCCAGTGTGGAACCAGCCATCAGCGTCAATCGCCTTGGCAGTCTCCTCCTCGTTGCGGAAGTACTCCTTGAACTGCGATGCAGAGCGGATCAACAGCTCACCACGAGGATGCGGCTTATCGGTGGACATGTACTCCATGTCAGGCACATCGAGCAGCGCGCACTCTGTGTTTGGTCCAACACCACCGCAGTTGCCAGCGGAGAAGTCACCCTCGTGCTGGACGAGTGCAACGGCGTAAGTCTCGGTAAGACCGTATCCTTGTGTGAAGTTGCTTCCGAAGACGATACGGAGGAATTGATGCAGACTGGGATCAATGGGCGCAGAGCCACTGACTAGAACCTTGCAACGGTCCAGTCCAAGACCAGCAGAGACCTTCTTAGCCCAGATGCGATCGTAGAGCATGTGCTTGTTAGTCGGGTTTTGCTTGTCGTTGAGAGCCGCCAGCTTGGTCGATACCACGTGTCGGGATAGTGCTCCCTTGACGCCAGTGGCTTGGATGGTCGCTTCCTTGATCTTAGCTCCGAAGCGGTTGTACAGCCTGGGTACACCAGAGAAGATGGTAGGTCGCAGCATCTGCAAGTCATCTACTAGCTCTGCGATGTTTCCATGGAAGTAGCCAATAGCAGCACCGGTCGCCAACCCACTGTGTTCTCCCAGCCGCTGATAGATGTGCGCCAAGGGCAAGAAAGAGCAGATGATCTCATTGGGACCGCTACCCATGATGACCATAGATGTGCATGTTCCAGCATGTGCGTTCTTGTGAGACAGAACGACGCCCTTGGGGTTTCCCGTTGTGCCAGATGTGTAGTTGATGGTAACAATGTCTTCAGGTGTAGGAGGGTTCATCGGGATCGGTTGCCTCTCGCCCAAAGCTTCCACGTCCTTGATGTAGTGGATCGTTACACCTTGTTCGCTCGCAAGCGAGTTCAGGATGTCGCCCTTGGACTCTCCGGGAAGCTCGCCAGCGGAAAGCGGATCGAGAACCACGATGATCTTCAGCGAAGGCAATCGAGGTTTCAGCTTCAACAGCGCGGTAACGTGGTTCACTCCAGCAACCACGCAAGACAGCTCGGAGTGGTTGATGATGTATTCGGTTGTGTCTGGGCCCAGCGTGTCGTAGATGGAAACGGTGTAGAGTCCTTGAGACATGCACGCCAGATCCGTGATTTGCCATTCCGGCCTGTTCTGACACCACAGTCCAATACCGTACTTTGGCGCGGTAACGCCAGCTTGTTTGTGCAAGTGTACCAGACCGGCACCGAAGTTCGTTCTCCGCTTGGCGACTGTCTCGTAGTCTTCCCAAACGTAGGGCCCGAAGGTCTTGGTAGCTGTGTCGTAGGGGCGATGGCCCAGGCACTTGTTCTTGGGCCATTTGGCGACCGAGTTCTCGAACGCTTCGTGGGGTGTCCTGATCTCAGGAACCAGGTGATCCAGGAGAGGCTTGTCCGTAAACCTCCAATGCCTGTAGATGGCGCTCCTTCCCTCTGCCTCTGAGCCTGGCAACGCCACACTGTATGGCTGTCCTTTCGCCGGAGGCCCATGGAGCTCCTCCGCGCGGTCCATCTGGGCATCTATAGATCCGAACATCTTCGCGTATGTATGTGTTCGGCTAGGTCGGTTTCGAGTGGTCGCTCTGTCCGGTTCGGTCGAGGACGACTTCGTGTAACGTGCAAAGGTGATATCAGCGAGGTGATGACAGATAGTCTACTCTATATTAAACGTCAGCAGAGCTCTTGGTAAACACGCCGCTGATGGGCGAGGTCGGCGTGTCCGGACAGCCCCAAGCTTCTAGCTTCCAGCTGCGACATGGCAGATGACCTCACATACCTATAGCTTTACGCCCGGAATTCCGCTCGCTCCTCAGCTATAGCTTGCTGTAAAAAGAAGATGCAACAAGTCTCGATAAAGTGCAACGCGCTCAAACTCAGCAGTGGAGGATGGGAATCAGGCGCAACGAACCCTAAAGCAAGGGTTGTAATCATACGGGACTAAGCCAGAAACTCCACAATTTCCCATGGCGGCGCAAAACGTGCCTCGGCAAAGTCGTCATGTCGCGCTCCCGTCCAATTGCGACCAAGATGAAAACTGGAGCCAAGTTCCTGCACCGAAAGCTACCGGTCAGGTGCGCTGGATGCAGCTGAAACCCCGATGTCTGGGCATCCCGCTCTTCTCCAGACTCCGGAGCATGCGCCTTTTGGCATGTGTTTGCGGGGAATGAGATGGGGTGCCGCGCTGCCTTTGATGTACCGCTGAGCAAGAGGGCTGGTGTGTATAGGATGACGAGAGCGTTTGGATGCGCACATGCGTCGTGTGCTAGATTTGTGGCTTTCACATGTTGTCGAGATCAGATCCTGGGGTAACGATCCTTGTTTCGCGACCACGCAGACGGCTCCATGCTGATTGGCCGACCGGTCTCGGTACTGGAGCCCGCCGATAGGGAAGATGCCTCGGCTTGCATTGCTGCGTGTGCGCTGCCAGGAGTTAGAAGAGACATGTAACGACTTCGTACGAGGACACCACGGAGAGAGTTCACGCTGCGCAATAGATAACAAGTAGTGTAGGTATCAAACATCTGACCTATCAGCCACAATATGGCCCAGGACTGCCATTAGGTATTCATCGCACTACAATCTCGGAATCGCTGTTCGCGTTTCTAGAGCAACAAACTCAGTACCACATTCCTATGTAGCTCCCGACAAGGACGCAGAAGGCTCACCGCCGCCTGTTTTGGTTGCATTCTCAGGCTGACCCTTTTCAGCCGGCTTCGTGTTAGACTTATTGAACGACTGCTCAAAGTCGGCAATAATGTCGTCGATGTGTTCTGTGCCAACTGAAATACGGATGAGATCCTACAATCTGTCAGCAAATCATCACTTTGATCCCATAAGCACCATTTGTTTACCTCTGTAACACCAGAGCTGATCTTCTCCTCGTCACTCAACTGCTCGTGCGTCGTCGTCCAAGGATGGATAGCCAGCGTCTTCGAATCGCCAACGTTCGCTACATTGGAGATGAGCTTAAAGTTGTCTACAACCTGGCTGCCTGCTGCACCACCTCCTGTTACACCAAATGATAGCACGCCTCCAAAACCACGCGGTAGGTACTTCTTCGCTAGCTCGTGTGATTGGTGGCTCTCGAGACCTGGGTACGATACCCAGCTTACGTTCTTGTTGTTCTCAAGCCATTTCGCCAGTTTGAGTGCGTTGTATGCGTGTCGCTCGGCTCGTAGGGAAAGGGTTTCGACACCAAGAATGAGCTGTTGTGCAGCGAAGGGATTCAGCGCTGCGCCTAGATCTCGCTGGATCTCAACGCGGGCTCGGATGATGAATGTGATGGCTCCAAAAGTCTCCCAGAACTTGAGTCCATGGTAGCCGTCTGACGGCTCAACCATCTGCGGGAAGCGCTTGCCATGCTTGCCCCAGTCGAACTTTCCGCTGTCTACGATGATACCACCAATCGTCGTTCCGTGGCCTGTCGTCTCAGTCAGTATACTTTCTTTCGAGGAATGAAGTGAGCCTTACCTCCAATCCACTTCGTAGCAGAGTGCACCACAATGTCGGCACCAAAGTCGATAGGCCTGCAGAAGTATCCTCCAGCACCAAATGTGTTGTCAACAATGACCGGAACACCAGCCTCGTGCGCAATCGCTATGATCTTCTCGAAGTCGGGGACGTTGTACCTTGGGTTGCCGATACTCTCAAGCTTCGAAACATTAGCCAGCTTGCAGGTAATCGTTTGCAGAAACTCACGTAGATGGCCTTCGTCTTCTCGTCAATCGCAGCCTTGAAGTCATCCGGCTTGTCGCCGTTGACGAATTTGGTCTGCACTCCCAGGCGTGGGAAGAAGACCTTGAGCTGGTTGTATGTGCCTCCGTACAAGTTCGAGGTTGCAATGATGTTGTCTCCGGCATGTGCCAACGCAGCTATGGCGATGAATTGAGCGGCCTGGCCAGACGCTGTTGCTAGTGCTGCAACACCGCCTTCTAGTGCGGCGATACGTTTCTCGAGGACATCGACGGTGGGATTCATTATGCGACTGTAGATATTGCCAAACTCTTTGAGTCCGAAGAGCCTTGCGCCATGAGCGCTGTCATTGAACGTGTAGGACTGTTTGTATTAGCATGATTGTCATTGAAGGCCCACTTTGTTCCACAACTTACACTGGTCGCGTAGATAGGTACGGCACGAGAGTTTGTCGCTGAGTCTGGCTCATGACCTGGAGAGGTTGTATTAGTACATACACCAGGAGAGCAGCTTGAAAGCGCTCACCAGCGTGCAATTGCAGCGTCTCGAAGTTCTTGGACAGTTCCTCAGCCATGTTGCTTTACAATGTAACAATTATGCACAATGGCGATGTGAATTGGGTGGTAGAGTGTCAGATATTCACGAGAAGGTTTGGAAATCGAGGAGAGGAAGGAGGAAAGAGGGGAGAACCAAAGGATCAATTGTGCCAAAAGTCGCGTCCGTCACGTCATTTTTGCCCACGCGGGTGTGGATCACGCTTATGTCCACAGCAGACCTTCGTAGCTTCCCATCGCGGGAAGTGTACTTGAGGCCCGTCACACTGTTACCATCCCATCATAGGCTAGCTACAGGTAAGTCGGTCTTCTTTGCGGCATAATGCGAAAAGCTTGAAGGTCTACGTTACCTATTATGTGTAAGAGACAGTCACATTGTACTCGTCGGATGCATGGCGCGTGTTCTGGTAGGACGCTGGCAAATTGCGTGATTGTGTTGATCTGTATTGGGACGCGGGGTAGGTAGAGGGGTACTCTGGAGACGGACTAGGCAACGCGAGATGTAGCCGTTCCGTGGAATGTGCTTGGAGCGGACAAGCTGCGTGTATTGCTCACGCAAGGGGACCACAACTAAAGTTCAACAGCGCACTTTGTGCCATGATTGAGCCTACGGAATCTATGCAAATCACAAGCAGCCTCCCTTGTCGCATGCTCATGCGTATACTATCTGGTCCGATTATCCGGACGGCGACATGAAGCCGTGGAGGGTAAAGCCACAGTTCCATTGACCAATGGAATGAAATGCCAGAGCTCTCAATTTGCTGAGCCGCGTGTTCCGTAAAGCACATCCAAACAAAATACATGGTAGAAATAATAGAGTGAAAGGAAACATGGGGCGTGTTGCCTTGATGTGTGTGGGGGATGTGGGGTATGTGGGTAGTATATTTTGTGTAACAGTGAAAAGAAATGGTAGTGTGCAGCTCAATAGCTGACGTATGTGTAATAAAGCATAGAAAGACAGGGCTTGGATACAAAATAGGAAAGACTGCCGTGGTGAGATCGCGCATTCGTCGTACTCGAGGGTATAGATGATCAGAGCACATTAGATCCGTAACAGCACACATAACGCCGTACTCCTACAACAGATCCTTATGCAGCGTACATACTGGGGGCCGGTCTTATCAGAGCTACGCGGCCGTCAGTAGAGAAAAACTCAATGGCCGACTGCGGGTACATGACGTTGCCGTTGTGTCCCGTCCGCACGCCGGTAGCTCATAGCCGCTCGGTCCATGGGCTCCTCCATATCCGGAGAGTCGGCAGTGTCGTAGCTGTACCCAGCACCAGAGGGTTGTGGCCTGCTGCCAGAGACCATGCGTTCGTTCAAGTGGCGGGAGTCGAATGTGCTGGAGAAAGAACGTTTGTTGCTTGATCCAGCCGACATGGGCGGAAGACCCTGTGCCTGGGCGTTGAACTTGGGCAGCGCATAGTTCTGGCTGGACCCGTCAGAATTGACTGACATGGTAGCTGAAATAGTACCGGGCGGCGACTGGTAAGAAGGCGAGACGGGCTCCAGTTTCTCAGCAACGATGGGCCTCAAAGATGGCAGCGGCTGGTGGCTGGGAGTGTGCACAGCACTAGGTGTAGACGAAGCATATGCCTGTGGTGAGGTGTGCAAGGGCTGCAGGGGTTGCAGAGGCTGGCTCATTTGCTGCGGCCGACTGTACTGATCCACAGAGCTGTAGGATTGCACTGCATGGCTGGGCGCGGAGTACTGCTGAGGCGACGATTGGGTCACAGACGAACGTCGGTAATCGACTGGTTGAGCGTACTCGGCGGCCACGTGTTCCTGACGGGAAGGAGGAACCTGGTCGTAGTGAGCCGGCTGCTGGTAGTTGGAGTAGCCGTATTGCTGGCTTGCGGGCATTGCGGGCTGAGGTTGCTGCTGGCTCGAGTAGCTGCCGTGTTGGGCATGTTGCGGGTGTTGCGGGTGTTGCGAGTATGCAGTGGAATGCTGGGGAGGTTGCATCATGGAAGGCGTTTGGGGAGCGGAGTACTGCTGCGAGTATTGGTGTTGTTGGCTCGAGGCATACGAAGGCATTTGCGTGTACGTGGGGTTCTGCGGCGGTGGCATCTGCTGCTGATAGCCATTGCTGGCAGGGTAGCCATGTGCCATCTCCTCCATGCTCGGACGGCGGGGAGGTGCCAGCGACGGATTGCTGGCGTTGGAGACGGACCGTGGACGGTCATCGAGAGGGGCGTTTGGTGGCTGGCCGTAGTTGTCGGGGGTCGCTGTTCCTCTCGCGCGGTCGTAGCCACCGCCCTCCTCATCATACTCGTCCCATTCCTTGGACGACTTGTTCTCGCGGCGCCTCATCCTCACGTCGCGACGGATACGGACACGACAGCCCTGCTCGGCAACCTGACGACTCAGGGCAGTGCTCTCGGACAGACCAGGGAACTTCTTCGCAGAGAAGACGGTGAAGGGCGATGATCTGACCTCGGCACGATGGGAGACAAAGTGGTTGCCGTCGAAGATGACTTCTGGGTCACCAGGGTCCAGGTCCTTGACCTCGGCCAGGTTTTCAAACAGAGCAAAACTCAGGCGGTACTTGCCCTCGTGGCGGACTGAGAGGTCGGGAAAGATGAAGTAGCCGGCGGGCGTAGGGCGCTCGAGGTAGGCCATGCCTGCAACGGGGGTGCCGGTAAGGACAGGAAAGCTGGGGCCTGCAGAAGACTGGGTGCGTCCATGTGCGATGGCGCGCGCATTCTCCAGACTGGCATGGAGGAAGAAACTCGCATTATAGGCGAAGGTGATGTCCTGGTCGTTCTCGTAGATACGAAGCTCGACAATAGGCGGAGGGTCCACTGGGCGGCGATCGGCACTGGACTTTGCGCCGCTACCACATGCACGCGCGCGTTCGGGCTGCTGGATCACCTGCAGATTGTAGCGAATCGTGCGGCCATCCTTGGTGGTGCGGATGAATTGACTCTTGTTTTCGTGGCTGACAGCAATGTTGGACATCATGAGTGCGATGGGTCGTGTCTGTAGCGAGTCAGCATGCGGAGTCGTCGTGGAGTTGGGGTGAGGCGATGCCAGGGACTGCCTCGCTGCACCCACCCAAAGGGAACACTTACATCAGCGACCACACAATGGGTACTTTGCACGAGCTAGAACAACAGCTACTCTGGTGTGAACCACGGTAGCAGACGATCTGGACTGGTCAGCACATGTGTTTGACAATGCCATTCCCACAGCTCGTGGACGCCGCAGGGCCGACACGGCATCGCTGGCTGACGCGTGCCCAAACTGTCGGCATCCCAAAGGCGCGGGAGAGACTCGCTGGGAAAACTTACCGGCAGAGACGTGGAAAATCAACAAAAAAAAATGATGCGCAAAGCGACAGGTCGAGCAGAGGAATCGTGCAGTGGGGGATGCGCAGAGATGGATGTCTTTGCGGTGCTGCGGTCGATGGCTGGGTGGTGCTGAGGGCCGGGTGCTGGGGGCCAGAAAGCTTGGGAGACGCGACGGCGAGGCTGGCTAAGATGATGCCAAGTCAGGTGTGCTCCAAAGGATCCTCCGAGACAGATGGCAGAGCGAGAACAGCACCGGTCGTCGGGAGCCGCAATTGCAATGAGGGTGCAAGAGTCGGCGGTGGATATGTGAAGAATGGGGAGAGCTGAGGGCACGCGGCTATGAGAGGGGACGGCTGCGAGGCCCGCTGGGTCAGGCTCATCTGCACTGACATTTTAGCCGGACAAAGGCAGCTTAGTCTGCTGTGGCTATTGGTTTGAAGCCTCACCCGCGTGCAACCCAGGAATGCTCCGCGGACGCCTCGCGCGCAGAAGCTGCGTCTCTAGTACCACCAGGGCATGGCGCAGCATTGTGTTGCATCGCGAGAACCCGGCGAGAACCACAGCTCGCTCTGTGCATGCTCCCTCAGGCTCTTTGGCAACGAGCTCTCTGCTCTCCACACCTTCCTCTCTGCAGGCCCGCCATCCACCACAACCACGCGCACTGACTCGTGTGCCCCGAAGCGAGCACCAAGCGGGAACCGAAACATATTGGCCCGCGTCTTGCCAAAGTTGAACTAGCCGGCTAGGCCACTGGCCACCGATCACACGGTTCCAGCTCCCGGCTCTCGATGGGCAACCATGGCGTCGTCCCATCACATCGCCTCGGGGTCTGGCGCAATGCCTACGCTACGAGGCACACGCATCGCCATGTTACGAGCACAAAATACTGCAGCCGCCATAGCTAGTTGCTTTCGCTTTCGCCTCTCCCTTGATGCTAAATTGCCAATGCTACCCATCCTCAGCTGGGCGCCACGTCTGGGTAGAGAGCCGGTTTCTGTAGTAGGCCCGCCTGGGGATGCATGGTGCCAGGGTGCCCGGGAGATACCGCCTGGGCCAAGCACACTGTGCCGTGCGACAATGGCTGGCGCACACAACAGCCAGATGGTCTGATGCTCGTCACTATCCATGCCGACACCTCGCGTTTCTTTCCAGCCCCATCTCGTCCTTTTGCCAGAGTGCTGACCGCCCCCATGAACGGTTCTCCAACGGTGCTTTTTATGCACTCGCTGCTGACAGACTGCCCGCTGGGCCGCTGGAAACCAATGGCCAGCGAGGCGGATTCCAGCAGCGAGCAGTGGGCAACAAACGGCCCACTCTCAAAGGATCATCGTGGCCGACATGCCCCTGCTGCCCTTCTGCTGGATTGCGCCAAGTGGGATCCTTTACCCGTCGTTCCAGCCACCTTGATTCGCCCCCTCCATCATCGGAAGCATGCAGCCCCAGTATTCCTGTGTTCCTCAACGGCCGGGATGCGCACTCTCCCGTTGCAGCTTCCTCAGGGCCTGGGGCGATCAGATCCGCTTCCTGTTGCTGCCAACATCCTGCGCGCTGTTTCGACGTGCTGGACATTCAATCGCAGTAAGACGCTGCCCTTGCTTGTCGATGCCGAGTCCATCTCATGGTGATCACGTACCGCCGAATCGTGCATGAGGGCGCCCGTTCTATCCGCAGCCCGGAGCGACTCGCAAAAGTAAATGCCATTAAAGTTTGCGGAAAGCGGAGGTTTCACCCTTCATTGATTGGGACTGCCGCCGCGAACCCACCACGCGCACATGTCAAACGCTCTGTTGGTTGACTGCTGTCGCACTTGGGCTCCGACAAATACTCCGGAACTTACCAATCGCTTCACCCTGGCCGAACACAGCGTCGTCCTCCGGTCTTTCGCACTCGACCCTGATGAACCCTGTTGCTGAAACCTTGGTCGGTAACTTTGGATGGTTTGGTCGTTTTATGACGCGGTCTGCCAGTCTTCGCGTCTGAAGTCTTTCAGCACCTTCAAAAGTCAAAACCCTTACCCTCGGCAGTGGCTACACAGAGTTGCATAGCGTCGTTGCTGAAGATGATCAAACAATGCAGTCGCCCGCCATAGCTTACACAAGAAGACACATTATGGCACCAGTCGTATATGGTTTGCAGCATTTTGCGCAGTCTCTTGCAAAGGTTCCTCAGCCAACTTGAAATCACTGCATCCACTCCGATATGCGCTTGGTCATCGCCTAAGGCCTGGATCCCACACTCGTTTCACTTCTGTCAATTACAGCCTCGCCAAACAGCCCACAACCGTGCTATCTCCATCACGCGGTAATATCGCACGGACTTGCATGCCTCAAATCATGCTTTGCAACGACTATCGCGCAGAGCGTGACAGCAGAGTACACCCGAAGTCCTTGCATGAGCCCATGCTAAACCTTCAAGCTAGGTGCATGCCTACGAGTGACGTCTGCGCTCCACCGTCCAGACTTCCTCTGCCTGTGCTGTCTCGATATCAGGCCATCTTTCGCTCCACTCAGCGCCTTTGGAGGCACTACAGAGCCACGTTGACCTAGCGTGTTCAATAGACGCCGCAAAACGCAAACAGTCGCATCCAGCTCCCTGCGGCTCAGTGTACTGAGCGCCTCTTGAACACGAACGTCACACTGGCAAAAGCTACGCCTTGACCCTGGGCCATCTTGGTCAATCTACCGCAGGCGCAGCCTTATCCCCAGATACCGATCGTTCCAATGGCCAACCCTAGAGAAAGCCACCATGCAATCAAGATGCCAAACATGACGACCACCCCGCGCCCATGTGGTCTGATAGCAGCAAGCACATGCCTTTCTGTACATACCAACATACCTCATATTCCACAGGGTCTACTACATACGATGCGCTGACATGCTGCGCGCTCCTGTGGCCACAATCCGACAAGATCGGAGCGTACATCAAGCATCGAAAGGCTTGGAACAGTTCAACTTGTGCGCGTTACTCAAGGGTAGCCTTCTGGAAGCCCCTGTCTTTCTAGAAGATATGATCTGATCGGTGAAAGAATGTGAGAGGAACCATTGGTGCGTTCAACCCCTTACTTAACACGGGAGATTCGGCGGCTGCAGACGTTGAGTCCAGCGGCATTCGACAACTTCACATATACGAAGCTTGAAATAGAAGTGCGGATGCAGATCGTGCTGTTGGTACCGGGTGTGCGCTGGTCAATCAGCGTCACGGTGAGTGCAGGGCGCTAACACGATTTCAAGACGTTGCCTGTCTGTCGTATTGACTGATGTCTGTCTCCATTGGCGAATGAGAACATTCCAACATATGAGCTACTGCTTCACGGGCACCGTGACGCATACCAGCTGACCTGATACTTAGAAGGTAACCCGTCTAGATCTTACACAGCCTTCATTCCAAAGACAACTATGTGTCAATAGCAAGAGCGATGGTATTCGTTTTCGAACTTACATTCGGCCTCAAGAAGGGCATATACACGTCATCTTACGCGTCAGTATATCCGCACGTGTCAGTGTGCGCTTCATGCCGTATCGGATCTCTTCAACTCCGTCATGCATTTTGTAATATCGGCCTCTCGTCCTCTGCCCTTCTGCCAAGACCCAGTCAGTCAATTTGCACTGCGGAAACCCCCAAGATTCGGTCGTTTCATCAAATCTTGTCATGATACTGGTTCACTGTTGCTTATTCATAGGAACGCAATCTCCCGCATCACATCTTCACCAGTTCAAATGACCACATCCCTGACTCTAACACGAGATTCTATAGACTGCATTCCGTCCAATCGTCACACGCGAATCATTGATCAGCATTTTCACTCCATATGTCTCACTACTTCGCAACTCGAATATTCCAAGAACAACTGGATTTGCTTTGTAAGCCATGTCTCCTGCATGTTTCCTCAAGGTGCTCAGAATATCCTCAATTCTCTTTGTGAACCACAGGATAGCATCAAGATCACGCCTCGCGACTCCCTGTCATCTCGGAGAACCCAGGTAACAGGATACCCCTTTTCCTCATCAGCTGTGCAAGTAGTCAGTACTAGAAACTATCGATTGGAAAACAACCCACTGTAATACCCGTCGTCCACCGTGACCGAAAAGAGCGGATCAAAGACAAACGCCATTTTCACAACCCCCGTCGCACCAGTGGAAAGATCCAAAAGAGTTGGTCTCGCAGTCCACAGTCACGTTCTTGCGTTTAGCAGACCATGGCTCAGGGTATACGAGACAGTAGCGGCCTATGCAAGGAGGTCCTTCTTGTGGTGCTGGTGCTGGCGCAGCAACTGCACTGAAAGCAGCAAGAGATAAGAGGGTGAACGTAAGGCTAAGAAGCTTCATGTTGAGGTAGTCGCTTATTCGAGAGAAGAGGCTTGCAGCTTGAGCGAAGTCAGCAGTAAGAAGCTATTGCTTTGAAGAGATGTGTGAGATAAAGAAAGAGGAGGCAAACATTGGCTTTCTTATATGCGTCCTTCGGTGGCATCTAGGCAGATCATCGCTTCGCGTAACCACGCACTTGCTCCACTTACTAACTGCACAATAGTATCTCTTAGTGTATCGATCCTGCATGTGCGTCCTCAACTCCACATCCTTACGTTCAGCATTCTCGTCCTTCAGACGCAAAGGACAGAACCCATCACCTCGTGCATCGCCCTTGATTCGCTAGTACGTCTCATTCCCTCTCGTATAGTGTAGGGTGGCATATCGATAGCGGATCGAGACTGGATATAGATTGCCATCTAGCCGTCATCCTCATGTCCATTTAGTCGAAGCGACGCGGCGCAGATGATCCATTCCATGGTAGCACGGTGATGTCTCTCGTTTGTAAGACATTCCCGTTTGCCAGACGAGGAGGGGCTGTGCTTTATTCCTGTCTCGTGGCGTTTCGGCGCCTTCTTTGTCAATATACAAGACAATAAGAGGCTAATTAGACGTAGAAAGCGAGGCACGGTTTGTTGTAACTTTTGCATGTCTTGCTGCGGAATACTCTGTGTCTGCGGAGGTATGACTTAGGTTAGTGCATAGAGTGTTGTTTTGATGGCGCTAGAGGACATGCATATGACTGCGCCGTAGACTTGGACGTTGTATCAAGTCGGCTTGCACCAACGAGCTTCTAGAAAGTGTAACAAATCGCGAACACAGAGGGCCCTATCTGTGGCTCATGACGCACCATCATGTAGGATACTGGTCAGCCAAGTGTTTCATATTTTGCTTAGCACTAACATCACTATAACGAGCTTCAGCATGCACTCACTTTGCGCAGTTTAGATTTAGCGCGTCACGTATGTTGTCAAATGGTTTTCTTGCGTAGGATCGTTTCTTTGAGTCTGATCAGGATGCCATCAAGTGGACCCATTATACTAATATGTACAGGTAAAGTCGTATAGTAGAGCCAAGTTCATCTATCATATGCGCATCCACTCATTAAAGAGTTCAGATCGCAAAAAAAAAGGGGGGGTTTCAGCAAACTACCCCAGCGAATCCGCGCTTACAAGAAGAAAGCAGCAGCGCCAAGAACAGCAGCGACCTTTCCGGCGCCAACGGCCACAGCGGCGTTCTCGGTCTGCTCAGGGAGAGCGCTGGACTCAGCAGCGGACGCAGCGTCTTCGCCGGTAACGGTAGCAGTGCCAGAGACGGTCTCAGCAGGAGCGGTGGTGGGCTCAGCAACACCAGCAGGGCAGTGCCAGTGGTCGCCGTGGGGCTCGCAAGTGCTGGCGGTGGCCTCGTGGTCGTGATCGTCCTCATCATCGTGGCTGTGGGATGCGGAGGCAGTGATCATGGTGGATCCAGATGAGACGACAGTGACGGTAGTGGAGGCGATGGTAGAGGCAGGGCCGGAAGTGGCCTCCTCAGCGGCTTCCTCAGCGGAGTGCGAAGCAAGCTGCTCCGGGGTAGGAGCACCAGTGGGCTCTGGAACGCCGTCGGGGCAGTGCCTTGATCCTGTCAGTTTGGATTTGAGAATGGATGATATTCGGATCGCCTTACCAGTGGTCGCCGTGGGGCTCGCACTCTCCACCGGCAGTCACAGAGACAGTGTCCTGTGCTACAACGGCGGCAGCGGCAGCGAGAAGAGTGATGACCGAGAACCTCATGTTGAATTTGTGGAAACGACCGTAGTTGTCTTGTCGATTTAGGTATATGTAGGTAACGAGGGAATGCTCCGAGGGCTCGAGTAGGAGGTTTCGTGAGAGGTAGTAGGGTAAGGAAGTAACAGCAGCACCTACGGGCCAAAAGTTTTATATCCTTACCTTCGGGTCGATGCTGCAGAGCATACACCTACATGGCTGGGCGCCGAGCCAAGGCGGCGGATTGCCTTGGCGATGGACATTGCGGTACTCAGTTTCCGAAAAAGAAGGCAAAAACTTGCTCCTCGAGATGAACGATTGGTAGAAGACGGTCCTGAGTAGGCGGGTTTACCGAGTGTGACGCTGGAGTAGCGTGCAAATGCCTGTTGGGGGTGGCGTCCATGCTTGGCATGTGGGATGTGGATGTGGTGGTGGAGTTGGTGTGCACCGAACAGGCAAACTGTCCGGAGAATCGTTGAGAAATTTGCGAACAGAGACTTGAGATCAATGCTGAGGTGCGATCTCGTCAGTGTAGAATGTCAGAATCGCCCTATTGCGAAGCGTGGAGTGTTTACAAGACGAAGACTGCGAAGACTGCGTCGATGTGAAGACATACAACGCTGCAGCTTAGGCGAAATCCGAGTTAATTCTTGACTTCTAGGTGCCGGAAAGAACACCAAAACTAACGCAGGTACCGTGCACTGCCATCAGTGTCTCCGCTTGCTGATCAAATCAGCAGCATGCTCATTCTCAGTCTCGTGGGATCGTTTGCCACACTAAGGAAATGCTCTGACCCCAAGACTAGACATACTGCTTTCGCAATAGCAGACGCCGTCATTTGTACCGGCGCGCCCGATAAGATCGGCGTGTCGCTTGTGACTACACAGTGGACCAGTAGCTACAAGTAGTGAGTTCTCTTCTTGACAACTCCATTCAATACCTTCGTGAGCGGCGTACCGACGACATACAAGCCGAATTCCGGTCGATCTTCCGTTTGAACATTACTACGGGAGCAATAGTTAGGGAGTATAAGGCTCGCATATGTCAACATGGTCGACCACCATTGGATTCCTCAGGAAGCGCGACCGTGATCGAGTTAGCCTTCTTCGTTCGTTTGAAGGTACCCTCAATCCACAGGTGGAATGTCGCTTTGTTACTTGCTTTGCTGGAACTGAGTGCGTTGCCAGCATGCGCCTTTTCGCTGTGTAGGAAGTTGGCTCATATCCAGACATGCACTGGTTGATCGAGCGAATTTGCCATAAGTCTTTACGCTCTTTTCCGGGCTTCGAATCCAACAAGCACGTGTGGGTGCGCATGTACCGGCCTATATTTAACGGCATCGTACACTTTTGTCTGAAAACCAGCCAACCCCTCGTGCGATAGAACACCAAGAACGGTCTGCGGGTCTGCCGCCCGTATCGGTGCTGGTTTGTGCATGCTTATGCGTCAAGTTACAGTAGAATGCACCTCTTCTCGTGGAAGCAACCTCGAAGTCCACCATGTCCAGTTGCATTGACGACGTTTGTGATGTGAAAGCAAGCTTCCGGCAGTAGCCCGCCAACCGTCTCGCACGGGTGTTTCAATGAGCTGAGCCAGGAGCGACGCGGGGCATTGCGCTGAGGAATTCAGATATGCCGGAAGGAACCCAATAGGGAGAGGAGATGATGTCTAGATGCTGTGGGCGCCCGAGTTGCGTGGTGCATGGTGCATGGTGCAGGCTAAGGATGGCGTGTCGATGGCCTGAGCACGCGAAGGTTGGACCCTGAAAACAGCGCGGGCAACGGAAATATCCGGCAACGCTCGACATATCCACGTCGGAGATTAACGCAAAGCACGTTGGCTCGGGGTATCGATAAGTTAGTGAGTCTGTCCGAAGGTACATTGCCGACGTTTAGATTGCCTAGCTGCCGCTTCTCTCAAGCTTCTGCGCTGAGGACGTGCACGTTTTCTACTTACGAGGCGAGACTCCCGGTATCCACTACCCGGTGGCAGCCATGTAACGAACCGACCGCGCCCCTTTTTGCTCTGCTCCTGTTACCATGGCATACAAGTCAGGTTTTTGTGTCTACAGTGAGTCAGTAAATCAAATATGCGTAGATTAAAGTCAGGTGCAGAAAAGGGGATATGCAAATATCGTGTGTATTGCTCGTAACTTTTCTTAGAGGTAGCCTTCTTCGCTAATTATGCACAAAACAAAGGAGATAAAGGTCTACAAATCTAACATCATCATGAAGTGAACACGCCAGCAAAGATCTACTGCTTCCGCGCCTGCGCGTACTAGTGCAATCCACTCTCGCCAGTCTCAGCCATGTGGTTCTGGCATTCGACCATGATCTTAACCATCTGCGAGATTTGCTCTAGGCGGCTGATGACAACCTTGTTGCCCTCGACAAAGCCGTAGCAGTTGTACTTGACGCCGGTCTTGGACGAGAACTCGCGGACCAGCTCTTGGCCGCGGCGGAGGTTGTGGCGGGGCACACGGGGGAACAAGTGATGAACAGCTTGGAACTGCAGACCACCGTGGAACCAGTCTAGCCAAGCCGGGCAATCGACGTCCATGGTTGTGCGTAGTTGGCGTTGAGGGAAGGACTCGTTGGGTCCAAGGTCAGATGTGGGCATGCCCCAGTGAGAAAGGGTGATTTGTACATGCAAAACCATGGTGACCATGTGCGAGACGATGACGAATCCGACACGGATAGGCCATGTAGGAAGATAGACCCAGCAGAGAAGGTAGCCGAAGAGATACCAGTAGCAGCACATGAAGAGAATTTCGACGGGGCGTGTCCAGGATGCTGCACCCAGTTTCTCTGCTCGGGGTGAGACCAAATGCAACCAGCCTAAGAAGTATAGGTTGAACCTAGCGAAGGCCATGATCGGGTAGTACAGGTACTTCTGGTAGGGGACGATAACATCGCATGCAGCATCCCATACAAACTGGAAGTTGTAGAAGGATGATAGAACGGACTTGATGTAAGTAGGAGTGGTGGAGAACAGAGGGATGTTCTGGATATCCGGATCGTGCTCCGGCATGTTGGTAACGAGGTGGTGGACGTTGTGGCTGGACTTCCACCAACCGATGCTGAGGCCGCAGCAAAAGTCTGCGATGAATGCGCCGATGAGTGTGTCGGCAACGAAGTTGCCTGTGATTCCGCGATGACCGGCATCATGTGCTGTGAACATGATTTGTTGCTAGAGTAGATTAGCATGTGTTGATACAGACGAGTGGCGAAAGACGTACCCAGAAAAGACCAAGGAAGACTGCGGAAGTCATGTACCACTTAGCGTAGAGGAAGCCACCGAATGCGGCGAAGAGCACACCGTATCGGATCGACTCTTTGGCATATTCTGAGTAGCGGCATTGGTACAGGCCCTCGTCTTTGAACTGTTGGTGTAGGTCGCGGTAGTTTTGGACAATGGCCTTTTGTGTCTCCACGTCGAGCGAGGGGTTGTCGCGGAGACCTTCTTCTATCTCCCTCTCTTCTTGCTCGATGGCATACTGTTCCCTGTGCCTCTTCTTCTCCTCGGCAGCAGACAAGACTGGCGTCTCAATCTCATCTTCGCTTTGGATTAGAGGTAGCTTTTCAGGGTCGCTTGCAGGTCTGCTGCCTGAGCGGTAGACACAAGTATCCGGCTTTCCGATCAACTTCTTGCTGATGATGGCGGCAGCCTTGTTCATGTTAGCGAGGCCCGGTAGGGTTGCATGCACCACAGTGACGGTAAATGCGAACGGGTGGGGGGTAGACCCACGGATCCCAGGTCGACGCTCCTCCCGCGACGTGACTTTTCGGTCTCTGGCGCCGCGGCCAATCGTTTTCTCTCCGCAAGATTTATGTAGTAGTCCGGCGAGCGGATTGGAGGGTCCATGTTGGCCCATGGCAACTGGACACGACCGATGCGATGCTTTGTCATCATAAGCAGTGCCTTATTGGTGTGGTAGCTGTTGTGAGGTCAGTATTAGGTCAAGCTGGGTTGCTTACTCAACGCTTCCGCAGTATCCGGCGACATGGTGTGGCCGAACTTTGCCTGTTGCGGAAGGGCTGGTAGGGCTGGAGGTATTTAGGCTCGTCCCGCATTACATACATATTGATCTCGTCTGTCGCGTCTCTTCCCACCATGTGCAGGATGGCGAGACGACCGCCCGGATGCCTATCGATCCATTCTCCGAGATGCAGGACATGGCCCTCATGGATTACGATTGGCTCGCCCTGGGCAATCCTTTGCTCGATCTCGGCGGGCGCGATGATTCGGTGTCGCGACATGTTTACTGGCGCTGGGTGTGAGAGGGGGAGGGTGGGCGTGTTTGGTTAATCAGCGGGACAGCAGGATATATACGAATGCAGGAGCGGGCCAGCGAGTGTGCTCTGGCGAACCTGGGTACTTTTGGGGGAGATTTCCCGCCTACGCCGTGCGCACGGTTCGCGGGCCAGGCGAAATCTTGGAGCGTTTGCTTGCGAAGGGGGCGGAGCCGTTTGGTACGTCACTTTGGTGGCACGCATACGCACGCGGGAGTCGGAGGTGCCAACGAGTGGAACAGCAACAAAGGAGGCACTCCCAACGGTACCGCACAGTGGGCCCGCCCAAGCCCCTGTAGCTCGCAAATTCACCCGCCATGGTGCCTGCGCTTAGCCAGGAGCGACCAAGCCCCGCGAGACCCTGAGGCAGGCGGGAGATCAATCTCGCAGCGCAGCGTATAGATGGGCCGTCGTGTGCACGAGAAATAGGAGAGTGGGTAACGGCTGCCTTTGCTCCAGCTGCCCACGGGCCTGCTATAGGCAGGTGCAGCGCAGCGTCGCCCTCGCAGTGCGCGCCAAGCCCTTGGAAACACGAATCGAAGTCCCGAAGGCCCAGATGAGCCCGCATGCAGCCTAGCGCAGCCAGCATCCTGGGGACTTTGGACCCTTAAAGACCCTTTTGCGGGAAAGTCGCCCCGCACAGCGAACGCCTCTGACTGGCCATGAGAGCCTGGACGCGACCCGCCAATGGACCGCGGCAGCCAGGAGCGAGACAGCCAGGGCAGCCATCTCAGCAGTCGGCCCTGCTGCGCTCCCCACCACCTCGAACCATCGCAGGGCAGGGAGATACTTGTCTGTCACGGTACGGTGCAATCAACGCTATCACCAAACTACAGCGGGTGACACCCCTTGGCGCAGCGCCACCGCGTGCTGCACGCCTGTGCACCGGGCAACGGCCTATCTGTCCCGATCGTCTCAAGCGCGTATCCAGTATCCGTAAAAGCAGTCTCAGTCGCCAACCTAGGTCGTATTGCGTATTGATCCCCATGCGCTATATCCAGACGCTCCACACACTTGCGCCGCGCGTACTCGCAACAATCACCCCGTGCATGTCTAGCAGCGCACATCAAACATCAAGCTGCTTTTCCTCCATCCTCACTGCCGCTTCCGCGTGCTTTTTGAAGGGCGGACTCGGCCCCTCCTGCACTGCCCAACTACCTATACGTGTACGACGAAATCCGTTTCAACTCGCAATGCCCCCGCTCTTCACTCGCCACTTACACACCTCGAAAGCATAACCACATCCGAATCACCTCGTAGGATATTCACCGGCAGAATATTATTCATGATACCTATGGTTGCGTCAGCATGCGCGTCATTAAGTATTTCGGGCACCACGAAAAGACCGAACCGCCGTTTTGACCTGCTGGGTCCATCACGCATAACCTGCATCTGACGAGGTCAGCTTACCGCCGAAGAACCTTAACTACAACGTGTTCCCATATGGTTCCTTGTAGACTTGCGAAGGATGACCAGTCTGCTGCTCGGGCGCGAGACTAGGCGCTGAGCCACCAAGTTGCAGCCGAACCCTACCCTTCTGAGAGCTCACCATCGCGCAGGCTGGTTCAGGATTTACTCATACTACGTACCAGCACTATGATTGCTCAACGATAGCTATAAACCTCGACGCATCTCCTCACGCCGTGCGCGTCCTTCGACAACGACGACGAGAGTAGCAACCTGGCAGCGCAGGCATCGGCATTCGACAGCTTCAATAAAGAGAGAAGAGGTGATTATAAGGATCACCCTGTTGAACCGTTGCTACCGAGATGGTTCATCCGTGTCCTAGGCGTTATGCTGGCGGATCACACAGCGGAACCGCTAGCATGGAACAACAACGTTAAGCAATAGGAATAACAGTCAACAATTCAACGTAGGCGGAGAGAGCATTCTCACATGCATTCGGAAATGTAGAGGCCGTAAGATCCAGTATCCAAAATCCTTTTGCTGCGCATTTGGTTTGTCTTCAACAAAGTTCAAGATGCCGAACGTATAAATGGCACGCACACGACTAGCCTAGTGAGCTATGCTAGCATCCGCAAGCTCTGCCGCTTTATGCGTACTTTCGCGCCGTGATAGCGGCTACGTCAGCGTAATGAGCTCCTCGCAATTCACGAGGTGCACAGCGGGGTAACCGCGTTGTGGCCGCGCTCAAACTCAATCTGTAGTTGTGCAAAGTTGCACCCAAGTCAACGTCTTGAAATTTTGGTCTCACCACCTGAGCACGTGTCGTATTTTATGATTAGCAGGAAGAAGGCAACGCAGCCACCGGCTGCAATGTGAGAACGGGCAAGTATACGACAAGCAAACATGTATGACGCTATCGACGTTCTTAGTTGACCATGGTAACTCGTCCGACCAAGAACTAATCTGACCTGACCATGCGAACAGCTGAGCTGTCCTTCAAAGCCAAGCAGAACTTAGAAGTCGAGCTGACCTAGGACACAGCTCGCCCGATGACGGCTGAAAGTTCACCCGACCAGGACTAGCAATCCATTCGGCCATGACTAGTAGCTCATCAGACCATGACTAGCACTCATCAGGCCAGGGTCATCCCCGAACGATCGAGACTAGGAGTTCACCCGACCATCGCTAAAAGCCGGGCTCACCTTGACTAGGGCTAAGCCGACCATGTGTATGGGTTCATCTGACCATAAAATTGGGACGAGCCAACTGATATTTCAATTTCAACCAACTAATGCACGTGGGTTGCTCGTTCAAAGTCGAAGTAACCATGCCTTGGGTCCTGAACGTGGAACCTACGTGCAAAACTTGATCGAACTTGTAGCGCTGGTTTATGTGGCAAGATTGTATTACAAGTGTAAAGCTCCTTACGAAGACTCGCTTATCCTCCTCGTCTTCGTTATCAAGAATCTAGCTCATCTCCCAGTTACCGCATCATAGTTCATTCGATCACCAGGCCCATCCTACAACTCCTCCTTGTCTTCCTCATCAACCTCAGTATCCTTGATAGGATCCTCTTCAGCATCGCGAATAGCCTTGGCAAATTCTTCCGCCTCCTTCGGACTATTCGCAAACAAGTGCTCCCTGACAAGTCTCTGCGGCGTTTCGCCAAGCCACTGGAACAGACTGAAATCCTGGTACTTATCTGTACGGAAGATTTCCAGCACCTCGACGTCTTCATCGTCGGACAGGTTCTCGATAAAGTGGCCCATGTTGCGGGGGATGACGCCTACGTCGCCGGCTTGGAAGTCGAATGTGCGCGCTGTGCCTTTGGCGGCGAATATTGTTACGCGGGCACGGCCAGCGATGAAGAAAGACCACTCGTCAGCGTTGGCTGTGGTAAAGAGTTAGTATGGAATCAAGGATGGGTAAGTGGATGGCTTACGGTGCCAATGCATCTCGCGGATTGCGCCAGGCTGAATACTCAAGTGTGCAGCAGCAACGGTCTTGGAGATGGGGAAGTTTGTTGAGTCGGTAATGCGGACTTGACCACCGGTTGTGTTGACAGGCTCCTGAGCAAGCATCTTGTGGGTAAACTGGATCTTCGACTTCTTGTATCCCTTGCCGCCGCTTGGAACCTCATCGTCGATGGGACCTGGCTCTGAGCCCTGGAAGATGTACTTTTCCTTCTCAGGGATGGCCTTGAAGACCTCTGGCGAAACGCGGAAGTTCTCACCCAAGACGGACTTGGGCGTCAGTCGCATCCAGTCGGTGAGCAGGAAGGTAGAGTCTTCAGAGAAGTTGCCATCGTCGAACACGAGTAGGAACTCGGTGCCGTTGGGGCTCAGGCCTTGCAGCGAGTGAGGGTGGCCCGAGGGGAAATACCATAGGTCACCCTTCTCTAGGTCGTCGACGAAGGAGCCGCCTTCAGGGTCGAGAGCAGTGATGCGGACCTTGCCTTCGAGGACATATGCCCATTCGGCTTCTTTGTGCCAGTGGAGTTCACGAATGACGCCTTCTTCAAGCCGCATATTGACACCGGCTAGCTCCTTGCTAGTGCCCAGCTCGCGGACAGTCGTCTCGCGCGTCCAGCCACCCTCCTCGATGCGAATATGCGAGTCGGCGAAGGACCATCGCATGTTGGGAATCGCGCCATGGTCGGTGCTGGGTGGGCGGACGAGATCTGGGTTCTGTCGTTCACGAGCTCGGTTGCGAGGCCCTAGGACACTTGCTCCGTCACCATTGCGCTGGAACCTTTGTTAGTAGGTTGATCATCTTTAAGCTAGATCTTTGTCGTTCCGCGGAGCAAGTGTTTCAATGATGGACTCACGTAGGGTAGTGGCTGAAGCTTGTCGCCTTGTGAATCAATCTTCTTGTCAAACGGATCATTGTTGCCGGGTTTGTACGGATTGAAGACTTTGTTAGGTCCTGCGTGGTGTCGCGCACTACCAGCCAGCGGCTGTTGTTGCTCCAAGGGCGCAGCCACGGCACCACATACGCCAAGCGCGACCAGTAACGATGGAAGATGCATGCCGGCTTCAATTGACCTCAGGTGAAGAAGCTGAAGGGGGTCGCGAAGTCGAGAGTTTATTCACCCGGCAGACGACGCCCTTTTGACATGCCGCGTGCATTGCGCGTCCTGCAATGCCGTGTGCCGATGACGACAGTCTAGCCATGATTATTTATGATGCTTGCTCGACACTAAGCAATCAACCATCCACTCCTACGCCATCTCCGCACATCAAATCACCATTTTTCCACGCACCATACCCGCCCAGAACCGTTTCCCCGCACATCAAACACATTGCATGTACATGTGAAGCCACATCAGGAAGGTCTCCAAGCCACACGTCCTGAGGTATCCTGCAATTGCCGCCGCGGGCGTCCAAAGCTTAACTGAAGCTTGAGTCGAAGTGCCTGTCGATCTGCACGCTGGCTCGCGTCTTCCCGGTTGTGCTGACGCGATTATCTGCACCCCGCCCCAACTGACATAACTACCGGTCCTCGCAGCCCTCGCCAGGATACGACTACACGATCTCCTCCCACGCGTGCAACCATGAGCAGCGTAACGCGCAGAGACGCCACGCGCAGCGGTGCAGACGAGGAAACGCCGCTTCTCGGCCGAAATGGACCAGCCGGCGGAAAATCGGACAACAGGGGGGCTATACAGCAGCTCAAACGGCACATGAATGCGGATGTCACGAAGAACTGGGCAGATCTTGTATTGCTGTATTGCTATATTGTTACTGGGCTATTAGATAGCTCGGCTGTCTTCATATGGGGCTCTTTCGTGAGCATGCAGACGGGTGAGTAAGACGCGCCATCTCTCTTGGACTAGAAGCTTACTCAACATACAGGTAACACCGTGTATCTTGGCTTGGGAATCGTTGCACCTTCTGAAGGCATCCGTTGGATCAAGGCATTGACTTCCATCGTCGCGTTCTGTGCTGGCTCGTTCTGCTTCGCGCGCTTTCATCGCTACTTCTCACCTGCCAAGAGATGGGTGCTCATCGTATCCTACACATTCCAGATGCTACTCATTGCTGTCGCTGCATTGATTGCGACTGTTGGCAAAGACACCAAGGAAGGCCTTCATTGGCAGATGCTTGTTCCGCTCGCTTCGGTTGCTTTCCAATCCAGTGGTCAGGCAGTCACGTCGCGCGCCTTGAAGTACAATGGTCTGACAAGTGTTGTGCTCACGAGCAACTACTGCGATCTATTCTCCGACCCCCAGCTATTCAAGATTTCGAATGTGGAGCGCAACAGGAGAATCGCTGCACCTGCGATGCTGCTGTTGGGAGCCTGCATCGGCGGATTGTACGCGCACAGCAGTGTAGGTCTCGCAGGTGCCTTATGGACTGCTTGTGGACTGAAGCTGTTGGCTGTTTTCGCATGGGTCTTTTGGAAGTCGGAAGTTATTGTGGAAGAATGAAGTATCGCTCCGACAAGAAATTATGGTCGTCCTGTAGAGGTCATCCGGTTAGTCTCAGTCAGCCACACCCAACCCTGGTACGACCGTCGCAACAAAACATACACTATATTATTCGATATGGTGTCCACGGCCTTTTCTAATCATCATCTTTCCATTTTTTTTTGAATTTGTATTTTGATAAGTACCTCTACCCGAAAACAACCTGTGTCCACAATCCAAGATGCGGCCCAGCAGAGAGGATGTTTACGGCTTCGTCAAGAACCCCGATGTGAAGCCTCTGATAAAGTCGGAAATTCGAGGCCTCGCTAATTTCCAAGACCGCCTTGCTGGAGCCATGGTAGTAGCGTTTGATATGGAAGGAGTTAATCAACATCCTGATGGTCGATACCGCTTCAGCGGGGAGTCAAGTGAGCTTAGAGTCGCAGTACTACGACCCAGTTCAAAGCCACTCCGCTTCTCCTGGTCTACTTGCTGTAGGTCTCAATGCGATTGCAGTAATCCTAGCAAGAGACAGAAAAATGATATGGTGGGTATCGTTGCTAGCAAAAGAGGCGCTCGACGAGTTCATTGTCAAAGTGGATGGGTCACTCTGTGAGGGAATGAAACTATGCGTTACACCAATGGCTCCACCAAACCTGTATCTAGCGGCCAAAATGTCGAATGAAGCGCCTGAAAAATTGCCTAGAACCGTCACTAAGTACGATGGCGATGATCTGATAGCAGCTTTCGGGTAGGCAAAGGAACCGACATGGACTCGGGTGCACTCGGGCTAACTTTTACAGTATACTCAGCACCACAGGTGAATGTGAAGAAGAGGCTCAAAATCAGCAATACACGCCTATAGTAGCGGCCTGACCTCCAGAATTACGCGTCACCGAGGCGTTTGCTGCCTCGCGTACTGTAACCGCAACTCGGACAAACGCTCACCTGACCCCGCGATACCGACGCAAACAGCTCTGCCTTTAATCCACTATGGCCTTCCGATTCTAACACTACTACAATACACAACCACAACACTCGCCAGACATCGCAATATCAACCGCAAAGCATGGCGTTCGAATCACTGAAAAGGTCCTTCGGGACTATGATGAACATAAAGAAGGAGAAAGAGCCGTTCGAAGATTCCATCAAGACAACAGACTCCCCCGGTCAAAGCTTTGGGAGCCTAGGCTCGTGCGCCATGTCCATTGATGGCGAAGACGCACCACAAGACAGCGGCGTCGACATCAACAGCCTACCAGTACCGCCTCCCAACACCCAGTCTAGTGAGTGTAACGACACAGACACTGTAAACCCACACATCGACCCAAACCCCATCAAGGCGACATTCTCCGGCCTCCCTCCCGCAGTTCGCGCAGGAATCTGGTCCTACGCGGCTCCCACGCCCCGAACCTGTTTCCTCGAACTCCACACCTACAACACCATCGACCACGTCCCGTGCCTCCGCTACATACCCCCGCTCTCATCACTCTTCTCCACAAACCAAGAAGCCAGAAACTTCAGTATCGCACATGAAGGTGGAGAGCTTGTGAATTTCACTTCGGAGACCTTTACCGCATTGTTCTCCTCCCACGGCCGCAAGATGAGCGTAGAGAATAGGGAGAAGAAGTTCTACTTCAACTTTAGCCGGGATATCATCTGGTTGAGCGCGAGATTCACAGCTGCGTGCAACACCACTGAGACGGTTCGTCTGACAACCCTGTCTTCTATCCTGCCGCGGGCAAGTCTGTCCCGTATCCAACGCCTCGTCATCTCGTACTCGGGCCTGGACTCGTATGCGTTCGTCGGTCCTTACCTACGCCCCTTTTCCCATCTCGAGACATTGTATCTATGTATGAACGATGTGCGAATCAAGGAGAATGTGAAGAAGCTACTCAAGAAGGGTGTTCCAGCTGATAGTGTGACGGCGGAGAAATTGAGGAACATGGTAGAGCAGACTGAAGCTGATGAGACGGATGATGATGAGGAGAGCGAGGAGGTTGCTACGGAGAGGTTGGCGACTAGGGCGAAGAGGAGGGTGCTGGAAGTGTATTTGAGGCTGGGAGAATAGCTGGCGTATGCCTGAGAATCAGTGTCAGTTGAACGGCATATTGATAACTTTGGGCATCTTGAGCTAGGCGTACTACCTGAGCGAAATGACATCTCAGCTTTGGCTTCACGGCGGAATTGGATGATACCCAGCAGGAACAGTACGTAGCAATTTCCCGTACGGTTGATACTAGGAACAATGTCATCGTACCTAAGCGTGTTTGCCCAATCCTTTGACCCTGACACCGTTGCTATCGCAATACCAGATGTATTGAAAGACGCCCACCGTCACCAGGGGTGGCAAGAATGTGTAGGAGTTTGCAGTATACATAGTATTAAAACTTAATAACTAGATAGTTCCTAAGATGATGTATACTTCTGCTCTAGAAAGTTTTTTTCCCATATTGCGACACGAATTCTTGCCTCCCTGTCAGAAGTTCAACTATCCTGACAGTCCTTCACCATGCATGATTGCTTTATTTCGCATCGCTTACAATTAATCTCGCAGAATACAACCAGTCTTCAAGGTGCTAAACGACCATATCAGCCAAGCTTGGCGACTCGCCCACCCTCCGCTTCGACAACTCAAAGCTCAATACAGTATGATCCATGTAGTACATCAACAAGCGCCATCGGCGAGGCTGGGGCAACCCCCCTTGATCTGGTACTTCGATATCTTCTGGAGTGTCAAACATGCCTGAGTAGATGTCAGCCTTGCGATATACGCAGCAGAGAAGGTTCTCAGCATTATCCTACCTTGTACAGGCGCGACTGCCACACCAAGCAGCCGTTCGTTCGGCCCTCCCGCTATCTCCGTCTCGTTGCCTGACCGAAACGGCAGAAGATATTCAAGTCTGAAGCCATACCGCGGCTCCCCAGTGTTCTTATCTTTGGTATAGTACAGACTAAAGACGCTGGCACGACCGGCCGGAGATCCGACTATGAAGATGCCCAGCTCGGGTATCTGGGAGAAGAAGCAGTGTCGGTCGCATGACATAAGGGAGTCTATCCATCGGCCCGGATGCAGCGGTCGTCTTATCGCGACGATGGGATTGAGAGGTACATTGAGTAGCGTTGCGGAAAGGCCTTGGATGAGGAATATGTCCTCTTTGGTGAAGATCAGGAATGGACCGTCCATCCGTCCTGCGATGGGCCTCGAGTCTTTGATCAGGCGGTACGGCGCTCTGTTAGGGCTGCGCGATGTTTCGGGTCGAATTGAAGACAACAGCGTCTCGCTTATACCAAACTGCGCTGTGTGTCAGTCACCTAACGTGTCTTTAATTTCAGACATGGACGAAGAGGAGATTTGTTCCTTATAATGATGTACAAATATGACCTGGAAGCAAGCCGCACCCTCTGGCTACGTCCTAGTTGGATGCCACCGACAAAAGATTGCTTTATATACCATGTTGTAAAGGATACAGTAGAGACTCCACTTACAGATTGAGCCAACTCCTCAAAGGTCATTCCGAGAAGCTGGTGATTCGAGTCACCATCTTCTTCGTCGTTGTCTGTCCCGTTGGCTTCGCTGCCTACTTCGATTTCTTCGTCATCTGTACTGTAATCTTCGTCGTCTATGTCGGGATGATACTGATGAGAGGTGCTTTCGGAAACCTTGAAACGTTTCTTCTGGTCGGAGACATCTAGGAAGTCGCTCGAGCTATGTTTTGGACTTGCAGTCATGTCTTCGTCCAACGGCAACTCGTATGCGGATCGTGTATCCAACGATATAGTGCCCCAGGCTCCATGAAGGACATTTTGCGCGCCTGGACAGTTGCACAGGAACCTGTGACTTGTGTAGCGAGGCGGCGTCGAGAGATCGCTCGCGCTTGCGCACCAGCCTAGCTGGAATGTAGCCACCTCTTGTTTGGTATGTAAATCCCACATTGACGTCTTCCCATCAATGCAGCTGCTCAGGAGCCAGCGACCGGAGTCACCGTAGAACGATACTGCGGGAACATTGTTTGTCGCCTGGAGGGTAAAGATACCGTCCTCTCTTCTACTATGCGGGAAACCAAGGTTGGTACCGTGGTCTGAGACATCCAATTCGCTATCGGAAGCGAGCGCGAACGCGACTATCGTTATCTGATGAGTGTTCTGTTGCGGTTAGCGGAGCAGAGTGTGTGAAGTGTAAAGGTTGTCATTACCGCACTAATCGCGATCATGCGAGTCTTGCGCTGTACAGCCAAGCCCCATGCACTTCTACCGACATTGCAGTGGAAAAACACATGGATACCGTCCTCGTTGGCAGGCTCCTGCACGTTGGTACGCCGTTCCAATGCTTGGTGAATCTCTCGAGTTCGATATATAACAACGTCGCCATCGTCGCAGGCCAGCATAAGTATCTCTTCGTTGCCAAGATAATCGACCAAGATGCGAGTGATAGAGTGAGGGTTTGAGGGGTCAATTCCATACCCACGAGTGCCAGATTTTGGCGGATGAAACACAAGCTCAGGCTTCTCAGATAAGCTCTGGTCGGGAAAGCTTGGTTGATAAACATGAAGCTCATCGACAGAGGCAAGAAAATAGAGGTTATGTTGATGCGAAAGGGCCGTCAAGTCGCAACGCCAACCTCGCAAATCCGGAGGCGCGACACCATCGGCGAACTACCTTGGGTCAGCGACAATCTTGGAAGTTCAAACTTCAATAGGCCGGCGGATTCTGAATGGGAGCTGTATAGTTGTGTTACGCTTTAGAGTCACGGTAGACTCTCGCCATGCTCCCAGCAACCCAGTAGGTCAAGCATGCAACATCACAACTCACCCGTTTTCCTCCGTAGTGATCACCCGTTGGTATACAAGCGACATGTGGGGACATGGTGAACACCGCATTCTTGCTCGAAAGGCGGTATTGAAAATGCGAAGTTTGTGTCGGATGGTGGCCGAGAGAGAGCTTGGGATGGTTGGTTGTGACGTGAGCTAGCGCCATCCTACCTAGGTAGGTATGGTTGGACGGGTACCACGTGCTAATGCATTCACGACTGCCCAAGTGCAATGGGAAGGAAAGGTCATGGAGAACAATTCACAGTAAAAACAGTCTGTCATAGGGAACCAGCGGTTGAAAATAAACCTCAACGTCACGAGAGTTTCAGCCTGTTCAGTATTATAATCTTATAGCGCTATGAACGTCATAGTCATATGTCTCTCGTCATGCTCTCTCATCCCAAGACCACGACCAATGCCAGACCACTTTCATAGATCATTGATAGAACATCAAACCCGTTAGATCCAGTATCCGAACGCCGTCTAATGCTTTGCGGTGACCTTGTCGCCAGTGAGCTTCTCAACGGCCTCCTTGGCACTACGAATTCGTTAGCGGAGGTTTGAAGAGCAGTAACGCCAAAACTTACACATCGCCCAGAGCAACCATGCAGACCGTCTGCCAAACGCCAAGACCGATTCTAGGAGTAACGCCACGGTAAAGACCCTTGATACCGTTGTTCGAGTAAATGTACTTGAACGCAGATGCAACATTCAGATTCTTGGGGCGGTTGGGGTCAACAGTCTTGGACTGAAGCTCCACGCGGATAACCTCAATAGGCTGGTTCCACGCACTCAAACCACCACCGAGAGCCGAAGCGGTGATCTTCTCAATCACGCTAAGCTTCTCGCCGTGCTGCTTGTCCATAACCTTGCGAATACCGGTTTCCGCAACACGGGACAGACCAAAGCGAGATCCCCAGTTGGTGACCTGGCGCACCGCGACGGCATTGACACCACGGTTGATACCGCGAAGACCCTCCGCACGCCAGATTCCCATGAACGTCTCGAGCGTACCGGGAGGCTTCGCGCCGGTGGCTGCGACCTTGTGCTTTGTAATCTCGACCGTCTTCATGCAAGTGCAGAAACCCATGGTGGCATAGGCTTGAGCGAGACCACCCGTCATTCCACCAGAGATACCGGCGAGGAAATCGGGCGCGCCGAACGACTTGGCATAGTATTCGGCTTCGGAAGCGACGAAGAGAAGGACGGCTCCTTTGGTGGAGGCTTCGATCCAGGCCCATGGAATGAGACCCTGGTAGACTGTCCGTTCGTCAGTGAGGTTTTCTAGAAGCTGTAGAATGCACACTGACATCCAAGGACACCTCCACGCGCCCAGATGCGACCAATGGCTCCCGAGAAGCCTTCAGACCTGTTGGCAGCCATGGTAGTCTTGACGACCTCCAACGGCTATCGTTGGTCGTTAGTGTATTTCCGGAAACGTCTGTTGCCCAAGATTGCATACCTGTCCCAGAGTTGTCACTCTGTTGTCTTCGTTAGCTTCAATTCCTATCTTCATGCTGAAGTGGGCTGTTTACTTACTCAAACATGTTGAGACCAGCACCAACTGTGCCCACAGTCAGCATACATCCGCGCCCTCCATCAGCACGCAAACTCACGCAACAAATTGCTAAACTTGACCGGCTTCTTCTCGAGCGATGGTGGGCCGTTCCTCGCCATGCTGGGGACGCCCGTCGCAGGTGTGGAGCTCATTCTCTGGGATTCTCTTGTCGAAGATATGCGGCCTGACCAAGGCAAAGGGGTGCTCCGTCGCAAATGTGAGTAGTATCAAGTGTGTGAGCAAAGCGAGGAAAGGGATGCATAGAAAAACGGTATAAGCTTGCGAGGTGGTCTGTGTTGCTGGTTGACCGCCGTCCGGGCGCGCTATAATTGGGGTTGTCCCTGAGGCTATCGGCCACTTGGCGGAAGGGCCATGTCCCGCAGCTGCTTCCCATCCGCGGCCATGTAGCGGGCGAGGGGTCTAGCATTGCTTTTGCCTTGAAGTACTCTCCGAATGTCACTTTCTCCAATGCAAGTGCCCTCATGTTTGCTTTTGCGATTCTATGTACAACCATGTAGGACACCACCTGAACAGCGAATTGTTGGGTCGGATTGGCGTCGGGTCGCACTGGAGAGCTCAACGATCCGCATCGGTTCCCCATCGCTCAACGAAAGTTACCCACGCTCCGAATATCCCGGTTACTTATCTCACCGTTCGTTGCTTTTTGCGCCGATGCGATTGGGCCCTTCTCATGCACCTGGAAATGGCCCGAACCCACTCACGACAGTCTTCATCGCAACAGACACATAGTATGAACTTCATGGAGAGTAGATTTCTGGTCATCAAGACGTGAGAATACAGCAATTCGTTCACTAAAATGTAGTGATGTAGCGCCGTAACGCTCCCATTCCCTATCCTTACATTGCAATTCTACACAGGACAAGGTATCTCTGAATGTTAAACAAATTCCTCCACATTCTCCTGGCTGTAGAGCACGTTGCAGTAACGCGCTTACAACTTAGCACCAACCAACTTGGCGTAAGCCTCAGTGCTGAAAGACTTGGGCCTCTCAATGGGGGCACCGACGGCACGGTCAATGATAAGCTGGGGAAGGACACCGAGCGCACGGGATACACCGAAGAGAACGGTGTAGTAGTTCTGCTCAGTGAGGCCGTAGTACTGCAGGAGGACACCGGAGTGGGCGTCGACGTTGGGGTAGGGGTTCTTGGTCTTGCCGTGCTCGGTGAGAACACCAGGGGCGATCTTGTAGACCTGGCTGACGAGCTTGAACATTGGGTCGTCGGGAAGGTGCTTCTGGGCGAACTCGCGCTGGGAGACGTAGCGGGGGTCGGTCTTGCGGAGAACGGCGTGTCCGTAACCGGGAACGACTTGGCCAGCCTTGAGGGTGGACCACAGGTAGTCCTTGATGGCCTGATCGCTGAGGTCGTTGCCGATAGCCTTCTTCATCTTCTGGAGCCAGACGAGGACTTCCTGGTTGGCCAATCCGTGGAGAGGACCAGCAAGACCGTTCAGACCAGCAGCCAGGGACAGGTAGGGAGAGCTGAGAGCGGAACCAACCAAGTGGGTGGTGTGGGCGCTGACGTTTCCACCCTCGTGGTCGGTGTGAATGGTGAGGTACAGGCGCATCAGCTCAACGAAGTCCTTGTTCTCGGAGAAACCGAGCTGGTTGGCCAGGTTGAAGGAGTAGTCCTTGTCCTTCTGAATGGGAGCAACCTTGCCGTCCTTGTAGATGTTGCGGTAGATCTTGGCAGCGAGGGTGGGGAGCTTCGCGATGAGGTCCATGGCATCCTCAAAGGTGTGCTCCCAGTACTGCGACTTGTGCATGCCCTTGGCGTAGGCCTTGGCGAAGTTGGACTCGTGCTCGAGAGCAGTGACGGCGAGAGAGAACTGGGCCATGGGGTGGAGGTCGCTGGGGCAGCGGTCGATGAGCTCCTCGACGAACTTGGGGACATCGGAGCGGGCAGCCCACTCGGCGGAGAGGTCGCGGACCTGCTGCTCGGAGGGGACCTCGCCGGTGAGGAGGAGCCAGAAGAGACCTTCGGGGAGAGGCTCCTGGCCACCAGGGGCCTTGGGAAGGAGCTCCTGGCATTCGGGGATGGTCTTGCCGCGGAAACGGATACCCTCCTCAGAGTCGAGGACGGATCCCTCCCAGACGAGCGACTTGATGCCACGGGCACCACCGTAGACCTGGTCGAGAGTGACCTCGCCGACAACAGTGTTGCCGTGCTCCCTGGGATATGATGTCAGTGGTGCACTGGGGTGGGCGCGGGGCCGGCAGCACGTACTTGCGGAGCTTCTTGATCTTCTCGATCTCGCCGGGCAGCTTGTTGGCGAAGGTCTCCTTCAGCGACTGCAATTGGCCTGGTTAGCGCGTGTCTTAGCCTGTCCAGAGAAAAGTGGCATGCCTGAGTCTTGCCGGTGGAGTAGCAGCGGAGGCCATTGAAGGCTGTGGTCCGCAGAGGGGCGGCGGCGCGGAAAGCGCTCGACAGTCGTAGAGCAGAAGCCATTGTAGTGATGTGTGAGGAAGGATAAGAGGGCGGGCGGATGGGGGGGAGTTAAAAGGCTTCGATCGGGACGATGCGAGAAAATATCGGTGGAGCTCGCACGGTCGTCATGGTCGCGCAACCTTGCAGCGAAAGGAATGCTACCCGCGCGGGCAACGTTCGGAAGTCCCTCAGTTCCGGTGCTGTGGAGGGCCAATGGTGTAGAGTGAAGGGTAGTCTCACACAAGGCTTCTATTTGGCGAAAAGAGCAATTCGTGATGCTAGCATGTTCATGTTGATATTCAATTTCACTTGTTCGCAAACAGGTACGCAGCCGCTCCTACCGGTTTCCGAGCATACAGGCCATAGTATGGAGTACTAAGCTTGGGACATGCAACAGGACATGCAATCGCCTCGGCACAAGTCTTGGTGCTTGCTGAAGCGGGTAGAGAATACGTCAAAACGGCGGTGCCCGCATGCAAGGCACAGTTTCTGCTGTGGGCCACACAGCTTAAGGCCACATGTACAGAAAAGTTGAGCGATCGCTGGGTCAACAAATGCAGGGCTCCAGATGCTGCAAGCGTCCGGCCAGCCAGCTTGCCAGTCCTTGCCAGTCCGGGCTGGGGTGGATCGTCTCCATCATGTCGTCACGTGTCGGCCGCTAGCGCTATTTTCTCAAACTCGGCACCAAGCACGCACCCATCCATCCCTCTCTGTCTGGACTATCCCACAGGTCTTACTCACCTGCCACTGCGCCCTTGACGTAGACCAGCCCCAACTCTGGCGACTTATTCCGCTGCTTCTTTGAACTCTGGCTCGCTGCGACTCTCGCACTTCGTAGTGAAGAAGACGCCTCGCGCATTCCAATCTCAGCGCGTCGTCGCATCCTAGATTGAATCGCACCACAGCTCGCTCCCTACACACCTCACCAAACACGTCAGCGCAATCCCCCACTGCGCATTGCATCTCGCGCGCAGCTCGCTCAACTGCACCTTTCTTCTACAGTCATCGTACTACCTAGATCTGCCCGCTTCGGCTGTCTTCTGGCGAGCTCAAGTAAAGTGCTTGCGCGTTTGCCATCTCGCTTCTCTCACCTCGCGCTTCACCCATAGCGCACTATTACCGACACTTCCTTTCCTTTCGCATCAAGTTTGACCTGGTCCGTTGAACCTAATCATGGCAGCCATGGAAGAATTAGGCACGCAATTGCAGTCATTACAGGCCCTCAAGCCGCCGGGAGTCACGCCCACCAAGATCAAGGCTATCACGCAGCTATGCGTCGACAACATTCAGGTATGCCAGTCGCCAGGATATCCTACACATCTTTCGTGCACATGGGACCTCGTACTAAGTATCTCTATTCATCTATAGTCTCACTCCGTAATCGTCCAAAAGATCGCCCAACAGCTCCAGAACAGCGTTGCTACACACAAGCTCGGAGTATTATACGTCGTAGATGCAGTCGCCCGTCAATGGGTTGAGAGGGCTAAGCAGGCTGGCCAGGCTGTGTCAAAGAACGCGGCGCAAGGAACCTATGCTTCGGGTGTGCAGATGATGCGAGACGTGCTTCCGGCCATGATGCACAATTTGATTCAATCAGCACCAGAGACACAAAAAGAGAAGATATCGAAACTCCTAGACATCTGGGAGCGTGGTCAGACTTTTCCACAGGACATGCTCGCCGGCTTCAAGCACCAACTGAATGGAGGCCAAAACAGTAGGTCAAAACTCGTCTTTCAGGCGTTATCTAGCTAACCCGTAGTCAACGTAGATGCATCAGCACCTTCAGAGCCATCTAAGAGTAACGGCACAGTACCAGTATTCAACGGGCACACTAACCAGCAGCCAACACCTCCTGTAGCTCTGCCACAACCTCCACAAGACCCAGGTGCTCTTTTCGCTGCGCTCGCTGGCGTCGGTCAGCAGAATGGACAAACTAACCCTCCACCTGCAGCAGCTTCTGCGTTTCCTTTTCAACAGAACATGGTACCACCACCACCCCCTGGATTCGTGCCTCCGCCACCTGCTGGAGCAATGGGGCAGCCTAACGTGCCTGTTCCCCCCGCTGGTACGAATGAGATTGTGACTCAGATTCTAAAGGCTATGAGCGCTGGTTCCATCCAACCCGACCAAGCAATACAGGCACTGAATACGTTGGCTATGGCCCAGAATGGCGGAATGCCTATGCCACCTATGCAGCTCCCGGCTGTTGCGCAGACACCGCCACAGGTTCAGCCTGCTGCGCAAAACGGTAACCAGGGAGACAGATATGACCTGAACGACAGTAGAATGCGCGACCGTAGCAGATCGCCTGACTATCAACGTCGACGATCACCCGTGCCTAGATCTCCACCAAACCCAAATCGGCGGGAAAGTCCAACATATGGTGTGTACGACCCCAATGCGGGTCCCGAGGGCAATGCACAACGCTTTGAGCGAGGTGAGCGCGGTCGTGGTCGTGGTAAACAGAGGGGTGCTCGTAATGATCGTAATGAGTATCGCCAGCGTTCTCCGCCGCGACGACAGCCGAGCCCGCCTAGGGCAGCGTATGGCCAGTCGAAGTATATCGAGTGGGATGACACTTTGCCGCGCGATCACATCAGAGTTCTCAGCCGTACATTATTTGTAGGTGGTGCTGGCGGAACTGAAGGTGAGATCCGAAGCATATTCGCTCGTTTTGGTAGAGTCCAAACATGTATTGTCAACCAGGATAAGCGACACGCTTTCGTCAAGATGTTGACCCGTCCGGATGCCGTTGCCGCCAAGCAAGGTATGGACACTCTCCAGGATCCCGCTGCACAGTCCAAAGCGCGCCAGGTAAGGAAGTTGTTTCTTGATGTCTACTTTCCTCTACTAACAGCACTAGACCAGATGGGGTGTCGGCTTTGGCCCCCGCGACTGTAGTGATTACACCACTGGCATTAGTGTAGTTCCCATCTCTCGTCTTACAGATGCTGATCGCAAGTGGGCTTTGACCGCTGAGCACGGTGGAACCGGAGGTCGGCCACTAGAGGGAGGTATGGTGATCGAGGAGCCGGATATCGAGATAGGTGCAGGTGTTTCCTCAAAGGGTATGTACATTCATCACCTGCTTGTTACATGACTAACATAACCCAGCTATCAGCCGACGTGTACCAACTGACGTACCTCGCGGAGGTCGTGGAGGCTTCGGCAACCGAGGTGATTTCAATGCACGTGGAGACCATGGCGGACGTGGTAACTCCAATCAACGAAATGACTTCAACGAGCGTGCAGACTTCGGTCGCAACGAGTTTGCTGGTAACGGCGGGCGCGGTGGTTTTGACAACAACGGCCCGGTCAAGTTCCGCAAGCAAGATCATCGCCCCGTCAATGACCCACGTCACATCTCGCCTCGACCTGAACAAGGTGTCGCCGTCCCGCCTGCGGTCCCTGGCTTCGGATTTCAGCTCCCAGGATTCTCATGACTCCCATAGGGGTAACCCGCTTCTCTCGCAGCAGATGCGCCGACCCTTGATCTAAATTAATTTCCTGTACACAACAGTTTTTTTGATCGACTAGTCTCGACATGGCAGGCTTCCAAAGCTGGTCTTTCCGGATCTCATCCTTTACATATACGTTATGGTCTTTACTGGAAGGGTGGTAAGCCACAATAATGGTGGACAGTTTGCTTTATCTAGTCAAAAGCATTGCGAGGCGTTGTGGCTGCGAATGCGAGTCAGTCGATCCAGCACTGGCATACGTCAGGGGCAACGACGGGCTTCCAAGGGTTTTCTAGTCTGGTTAGTCAGATGTACGATTACGGTGATTCTTAATCACGCTGCGGCGGTATATCTTTAGTACAACTTAGCTGCACTACCTGATCTGGCCTCATAATGAAAAGTAAAGTCTTACAATTTCACTTGAAACATGATGAGCAAGGCGAATGACAAGCCATGCACTTCGACAGTAGCCGCACTCCGACAAGTGCTCTTTGACAACATCACGAACTTCGGATTTCTATTTTCCGTGGTATTACAGTATCTTTTATAAATAAACAACTTAAATATACAACATCACAGAGCTGCTAGTCCCATGTGGGAGATCTCCTGCCTCGTCGGCAAGAAACACTCTACTTCCTCTTCGTAGCACCACTCTTCTTCTGACTCCCGGTCGCCTGACCCTCCGCTTTCTCCTTCTGCACCTTCTCCAACTTCTCCTTATCCGGCACCTTCAAGCTCTTATCGCCACCAGGATGAGCAGCTAACGGCTTGTTAGCATCCTTCTCCTCGACCTCCTCCTCATCGCCACCCTGTCCAAACTCATTGACACGGTTGTAATCAACCTTGTACTTCCAAGTCTGGAAAAGATAGACGAAGAAGATGACGTCGTCACGGAGGGTAGCCAAACGATGCAGAGTGGGCATCTTGATGGTGAAAGCGAACAGGTCGTCGATGAAGGTGTTGAGGAACTTGTATGTCATGGCGCGGCCGGGCATGTGAGCGACGGACTGGAGACGGTAGTTGATGTAGAGGGCGGGGACCATCATGAGGAAGCCGTAGGCATAGACGGAACCGACGAGCGTGGTGATGATAAAGGAATACCACGACTTGTGGGTCTCGTACATGAGCGAGTAGATGGCGTAGGCGATAAGGAGGGGTACGGCGACCATGTAGAGGTACCTGAATGCGACAGCGTCGTATTCCTCTGTCTTCTTTTCCGTGTCGGATAGGACGTGCTTGTCTTCGAATACGATGGTGTAGGGGAGCAGAGAGCCAGGCATTGTTTGGCGGATGCGCACGTTGACCGACTTGGTAATCTTCCATGCTTCGATTGCCATGCCCATGCCCTGGCCGAATAGGATCATGTAGGAAGTGTTCTCGTTGTTGTCGATAAGGTAGAGGAAGATGACGGCTTGCATGAAAACGTTTGCGATGATGGTGCGGACTGAGGTTCCAACATTGTCCTTCTTCTTGCGCCAATGCTGGACGTCGTTCTTGAAGGCGAGCATCTCGAAGATCATGTGGAAGATTGAAACGACCGCCGTGATGGCGAGGAGATACGAGTTGCTGTCGATAAGAATTTCCTTGAACATCTCCATCTCAGAGCCATCGCCACCTCCGGGGGTAGATTGACCTGCAGCTGCGGCTCTGGCGTTGGCGTTGAGGTTCTCGTCAACTGCGGCGAAGATGTTGTACTTCCAGTGTGCAAGGTTGTTAAGCTTGACGTTGAGCGGAAGGGTCGTAACGGTGTCGTTCAACTCAATCATGTGCTTCTTGAGCTGCCAGAAGGTGTTGGTGAAGACGATGGGATAGTACCAGGTGTGCTGACCACTTGCATCTCGTGCACCGGTAGCCTCGAGTGTGATGAAACGCCTGGGACCGGGGTGCATAGCGGCATACTGCAAAGTGCCCGCGTCGGGAATCAGGGAGACGGTGAAGTTGGGATGGTAGTAGGAGGCTACAACCTTTGGCGCGTTCTTCTCCTCCTCGGTTTCCACCTCGGCTCTTTCTGGCATGTCGCTGAGCAAGTTTCTCGTCTTCGCGATCTTCTTCTTGGGCTGGTATTGGGACAATGGGCGGATGAAGTGGTAGGCCTTGCTGTGGTCGTAGCCGGGCTGCGTAGGGTCGAGCACGCTGCCACTCTGCGCTACATAGAAGTGAGCAAGCAGAGTAGCATTGTGCTGCACCTCCCTCGGGACCTTGAACTCAGTATGAATTTCTCTATTCTCTTTGTAGTCTCCAAACTTGAAGTTCTTCTCCTCGATCAACAGCGACTCCTCGGGCATCGACTTGAGCGGGGGCATTGCGACGGACGAAGAGATGTACATGGCGATGTCCATCTCGATGCCGGCAGGCCACATGGGCGCGACGGCATATGGGATATGGCTGTATTGAGCACCAGGATCGAGGGATTGTGGGCGCTGTTCCCACGCGGGAATCACGACATTGCCAGACGGTTTGATGGCGGCGACAGGACCAGTTTGCGCGGGATCGTTGACGGCGGGGGCCGTTTTGGGAGTCTGAGGCATGAAGTACTTCATACCACCCTGGATAAGCAGGAACAGGCCCACGCTTTGTGCAATAGACTTGACGAGCTATCATGGAGCCGTTAGCTATCACCTCGGAGCGGAGGGGTCTTGTTCGCGACTTACACTCTTGCCCTCCTCGGGCGGCGCGGCGGCTGCTTGTGCCTCTGGCATGATGGCAACGTACGGAATCTGTATTCCGACTTGAGCAGCTTGTTAGGTGGAGAAGGAAGATGAACTCGCGATGAAGTCTGAACACATAATCTGGAGACTTTCCGAGGAATTGGCGGTTCCGCCGAGGGCCCGTGCCTGTCCCGCGTCAGGGTCTAGCCACATGGGCCTCGAGGTCCCGGCCCAGGTGGCGGTGACCTCATGCACCTTACCGAAATGCATGCCCTTTAGAGCCTACCCTTCACCAAGGGATTGCAGCTATGGGTTGATGATAATGTTGCGCAAAAGGTGCTGCCTAATATCACCTTGACGACCTTATGATGGGGCTACCGCTGCCTAAACCCCTCCTTCGTTGGACACGCTCCTCTCAAGCTTTTGTCACCGCCCCTCCTCAACACGTCAATTACTTTTGACAGCCCGCGTTCCGACTCTAGTTCCCTCGTTCCGAGCATCTCTAACAACCATCCGAACAACCATGATGGACAACAACGCAACAGCTAGCAACAGCTCCGCCAAGCAGCCCGTGGTTGCCGTATTGTATGTAGAAAGGATGACCACCAATTGATGGATCCAATGGGCTAACTGTGATACAGCTGCGGCTCTTCCAATGGCACATCGCCGGTCCACATGGAAGCAGCGAGGCAGCTTGCGCATGCCCTCCACAAAGCCAACACCAAAGTCGTATATGGCGGCGGCACTGTCGGCCTCATGGGCGAGGTAGCACGAACCCTCGTCTCGCTTTCCGGCCCTGACTCAGTTCACGGCATCATCCCCGCCGCCCTCACTCAATTCGAGCAGCACAACGACCTTGCCAAGTCTGACGGCCACTCTATCGACGCGGACAAATACGGACGCACTACTGTCGTCAAGGACATGCACACGCGAAAGCAGATGATGGCTCAGGAAGTTGTCAAGGGTGGACCAGGCGGCGGCTTCGTTGCTCTGCCTGGCGGCTACGGAACATTCGAGGAGCTGATGGAGATCACCACCTGGAACCAACTGGGCATCCACGACATGCCTGTCATCGTATACAACGTGGACAGCTACTGGAGTGGTCTCATCGAATGGGTCAAGAACGCTGTGAGCAGCGGCTTCGTTGCGCCTACCAACGCTGGTATTATCTCTGAGGCTCTTAGCGCTGACGAGGTGGTGACATGTCTGAACGAGTATCAGAGTGCGCCTGGACGCTTCAACTTGACCTGGGAGGAGCAGTAGAGAGTATGTAATGCAAGGTTACGGACAGGCTCGAAAACTCCACTTTTCGATTGTGAACAATGGTGCAAGGCACATCGGCAGTAGGCGATTAGAAAGCATTTCGCAGATGGGATCTGTATCAGTAAATACATCCGTGTAGATTGTGCTGACCTTTCGCGCTGTAGTCTAGTCTAATCGTCCTCTTGCTAAGCGTATTAGCGTATCCGAACACCCTGACCGTATAGTGGGATACCCTCCGACAATCCCTATAAGCTGACGACATCTTCTGCAAAACTTTCCCGTGTCCGAGCAACTTATCTTCGGCAGTAACGTCGCGCAGCGAAGCTGGTTAGATTGCATACCTTAACGAGCATGGTACCGGTGCTGGTCGACTTCCCTAAGCCCGTTGGGGCAGGAGCGAAACTAAGTCAGACGCGCGAGCCCATTTCATTCGACAACCCCGCCAAAAGTCAAGATAGTGACCTCAGCGCGCGTATACGACAAGCTTTGACAAGCCTTTTCCAAGACTGCTTAAATACGCTAGGGTAAGTAGCTTTCACACTCTTCTCACTGCTCTTGCGCCATTTGTTTGCAGCTGTCAGCATGTTCACCAAGTTGGTAGCCACGCCTTTGTTGGCGCTTTCAAGCCTCGCCCTACAGGCTGCTGCTGTCTCTCAGAAGCAGTGGACCAAGAGGAGCGACCACTTGTACTTGCCCAAAGAGACTAGTGACTACAAGACCGCGACCGCGCCGAACAATGTCACCATCCGGTACAAGAACCCTGGTATCTGCGAGACTACTCCCGGCGTGGACAGCTACTCTGGATATGTCGACTTGACGCCTGATGTGCGTATCAATCTCACCCATACATATAAGCGCTCATTCTAATGCAGTATAGGTCCATGTGTTCTTCTGGTTCTTCGAGTCTCGTAACGATCCAGCATCGGACCCGTTCACCCTTTGGCTGAATGGAGGTCCTGGATCCGACTCGCTGATCGGTTTATTCGAAGAGAATGGACCTTGCATGATCGATGACAACCTCACAGCAGTATACAACCCGTATAGCTGGAACAATGTATCGAACATGCTGTACATCTCGCAGCCTGTCGGAACTGGTTTTAGCTACCAGAAGCAAGGTGTCGGAAGCTTCAACTCGTTCTCTGAAGACTTCCACTACAACTCTAGCGAATGGCCCGCTACTGGTCGATGGCCTCTGCTCGAACCGCTGAACACTGGTACTATTGACACTACTGATCTTGCCGCTGTTGCTGTGTGGGTGAGTAGACATCTGTTATTGAATGCCTTTGACCCGCGCTAATCTCGTTCGATACACGTAGCACGTTTTCCAAGCCCTTTTGGCCACCATCCCCAAGTTTGATGCCAAGCTCGGAGACCTGGATGCTGCAAGAGACTTCAACCTCTTCACCGAGTCATACGGCGGCCACTATGGTCCAGCATTCTTCAGCTACTTCTACAACCAAAACCTGAAGATCGAGAATGGAAGCATGCCCGGATACCCACTCAACTTCAACTCGCTCGGCATAATCAACGGCATTATCGACGAGGCCATCCAAGCCGACCACTACCCCGAGTTTGCTGTTAATAACACGTACGGCATCAAGGCGTACAACGACACCGTGTACTCGTACGCCAAGTTTGCCAACAACATGTACAACGGCTGCCTCTACCAGATCGCCCTCTGCCGAGCTGCCGCCGAAGGCAACACCACCTACTACCACGCCGATGCAAAGATCACCGAAGCCGAGCTAACACCAGGCGAGATGCAGATTTGCAACGAAGCAGCAGACATGTGCCGTGACAACGTCGAATCTCCGTACTATTACTACTCAGGCCGCGGTGTCTACGACATCCGACATACGTACGAGGACCCGACACCCCCCTCCAACTACGGCGATTACTTGAACCTTGCAGAGATTCAGGATGCCCTAGGCGTAACGCTAAATTACTCTGGTAGCAATGGCATCTACTATGCTTTCCAGAATACGGGAGACTTCATCTACCCCAACTTCAGGCTCGATCTAGAGTACCTGCTGAGCCAGGATGTGCGTGTTAGTTTGGCGTATGGCGATGCTGACTACATCTGTAAGTCGTTTATCATATACCAGTGATCATGTATCTCTAACATGTTCAGGCAACTGGTTTGGTGGAGAAGCTATCAGTCTTGCGATGGAGTACACTCACAGCGACGAGTTCCGTGCCGCAGGTTACGCGCCTATGATGGTTGATGGCACGGAATACGGCGAGGTACGCCAGTATGGCAACTTCAGCTTTGCGCGCGTCTACGAGGCCGGTCATGAGATTCCTTACTACCAGCGTAAGTCTTCTTGCTACCTCTGTCCCCACCAGTCTGGTCAGACAACGTGTTTTGCTAACCTGACTTTTAGCTGTTGCCGCGTTGGCATACTTCAACCGTACTCTGTACCACTACGATATCGCGACTGGCGAGGAGAAGATCACTGCCAACTTGACATCCTCTGGCCCTGCTAATGCAACGCACACGCAATCATTCGTGCCGATTACATCGTCTATCATTCAGGCTTTCCCTTCGCCTATCTATCCTGCGACGACATCGGCGTACTAAGCCGTACTGTTGCTACCGAGGTCAATGTAGCCTTGGTCTCCAGTGCGTTAGGCTTCATCAAAGTGGTGTGCATGACTATTACGAATGAAAAGAAACTATGAATCAACTCTGCTTAGTATGCATGAATACAAGTGATGCGTCCATGGCTTATTCCTAGTACCAAAGAATCCATCATATCTTGCCCTTCCCCAGCTTAGCCCATTCATCGAAGAGCAGACTCCACACGGGTTGCTCGGCACGCTCATCAACGCTGCCTACAGATCTCAGCCTTGAACTCCTCATCGTCTTTCCGCCATCCGATCCCGGCGTCCTCGCTATCGGGTCCCTTCCAAAAGATGGTACCCTCGGCATCATCGCGGATTGCCTCAATGATCCTGTCCTGATGATCATCCTGCAGCGTTGTCAATAGCGCCAGCTGCACCAGCGACAAGTGTCGTCGTACATCGTAATCCGGTTCGCTCTCTTCAGGCTTGAATGTATTGAGGTCGATACCGAAGTCCCCTCGTAGAATGCTCTGGTACGTGCGTTCGATCATGACGTCTGTCACGAGTGCGTTTTTTGGTGTATATGTACCTAGGGCCTCCTTGGGGAACTGGTCGGTCTGACCTGGTGGAGTGATTTTCGCTATGTCGATGGTGGAATTACGTGTGGTATCGATAGGAGCAGGTCGCTTCGTTTCCTTTATGGCCTGGGCGATTGAGAACGGGCTTCTGTCAGGGTCAGGGATGGTAGGGGTCTCATGCAAATCAGACTTGGTCAATGGAATAGCCGACGAGGATTGGTCAGCAGCGGGGGCTTTTTCTTGCATATCAGACATGGTCGGTGGGATAGATAGTGAGTTGTAAATTCCGTCTGTGGCGGGCCATCAATGTGAATCCATGTTCCTGTTGATATGTAATATAGAAGTTTGCTGCAAAACACAGAATACGATGTGGTTTGTGCAAACGACGCGTGGAGCAATTTGTCGAGGCCTTGCGGTATGTAGACACTGATGCTGAATGTAGTTAGAGGCGCTTCGTTGCAAAACTTTTGTATTCAGTAGATGAAATAGGACAAGTCACGGAGAATTGAGGCGTATAGATATACAGGACTTCGATGTCAAGGTCGTCAATCAGCGTTTGCACCAGGATCTGTCTGTACAGGCCTACATACGCCAGATGTGAACGCCAAACTCCATGCTAAATGTTGCAGATGCTTCGAAGGAACGATTTCATTTCGACGTCGTAGGAAGTGCGAACAGCTGGGGCTGCATATTGATCTTGCACAGGCGCGCAATACAGCCGGACAATTGTAGAAGGGTTTGTACGCCTTCAAGGATGCGCATATGGGTAAAGCCAATTTCCTGATTACTGTTAGTCTCTGTAAAAATCGCCCGTTGCAAACCCTCACCTTGATGAATTCCAGCTTTGCATGCTCACTCAGCGTGTCAATCGTCTTTGTAACTTTGAACATTGTGCTGATGATGTCGTGACACGAGTATCCCAGGTCCCACAGCTCTTTCAGTGATGTCAGAGCATCGTCAATACGCTGCTCATGGCACGCCTTGATCATGGCTTGCACCTTGATGGGATGCGGGCTGTCGACCACCCTGAAGACATTATCGCCATTAACGAAACCGAAACCAGCAAAAGTCGACTGGAGATTGTTAATGGCTTGTCGCATATCACCCTCTGCTGAAAAGACTAGTGCCGCAATTCCGTCGTCTGAGTATTTCACGTCCTCGGCTTCGCAGATCTGCATGACGCGGCGCACGACTTGCGCATCGGTAAGGCGGGCGTATCGGAGGATGGCGCATCTCGATTGCAGCGGCTCGATGATCTTGTTCGACTGGTTGCAAGCGAATGCGAATCGGGTTGTTGCGCTGTATATCTCCATCGTCCTCCTCAGAGCTTGTTGTGCACCACTGGTCATGCTGTCCGCTTCGTCGAGGATGACCAGCTTCTGCCTGCCCGGGGGAAGTGTAACTTTCTTCTGCGCAAAGCCCTTTATCCTGTTGCGAACGACGTCGATACCGCGTTCATCTGAGGCGTTGAGTTCGAGGACAGCCTCCTTGTAGGCATCACCAAGGAGTTGGCGTGCGAGACAGAGGATAGATGTGGTTTTGCCGATACCAGGCATACCGGAGATGATCATATGGGGCATGTTGCCATCTTTGGCGATGATCTTGAGGCGCTCAATGGTTTCGGTATTGCCGACGACATCATCGAGGTAGACGGGACGGTATTTCTCTACCCTGGGAGGATGTCAGTCTAAATCAGCTGGCGAAGGCCACGAGCGGTGAACTACCATGGCAGCTCGTAGTTTGCACCGCCGGCGGCATTAGGGTTTGGTTTAGCACCATTGCTGGCTGCGGCTTTGGAGGACTCGGCTTTTGACATTTCGGGCTGTGGTGGTTGACTTGGAGGGGTGACGCGAAACACGCGATGCTGCAAACGCGCTTTCACGGGCCATCCATCTTGGGACTAGTGCTCACGTGAGCCGGGCATGATCGACGCGCAGCCGCGGCAGCGAAATATCAGGCCCTTGGCACTAAACATAGATTCGTCCGATGCGACGTCACTTGCGTAGCACGATAGACCAGATCGGGATTTTTCTTCCAGTTCACACACTGGCGTCGGTACGGATCGAGGCTATGTTCTTGCCCATCTTATTCTGCACGCATGTGCGCGCAAAGTGCGAAGCGATCTTTTCGAGGGATCTTCATTACTACCACGATGGCACGCCGCGCAGATGGGCTTGCAGGCACGTACCGACCAATGCTGCAGGTCCTGAGGTTTCAGCCTCAAACGTCTTTTTCGAGAGGCGCAGCCATCAAGCATCGGGCGCCTGAAGAAACCACCCGATCGCTCGCCAGTCGCTAATATACGGGCTATTTGCATTGCTTTAGTAGCTGGCGACATGGCGACGGCGTCAAGACACTGGGATGCTGTTAGTTGACAGGGTGACGTATGCGGCTGACGGAAGCGGTCCGCAACCTACCATGTCCACAGCACGTCAGCGAGCTATTTTGTAGAAGCAGCTCCAGACGTTTGCTGATGAGGTTGTGAATGCTGTATGTCGTTGGTAATGATGGCCTTGTCGGCGCAGCCTTCGAGCGCGAACAAGGCGCATGCGGCGCACAGCGGCAAGGGATCCCAGCATCGGCACCAAGCGCTTGGCTTTGCGATACAAACGAATCGTCTCGTAATTGAGGCAACGCCACGCACTGCGGATCCTCCAGCAAGGCACACACAAGTCCCGTTGGCTGACGATTTTAGGCCCGGAAATGTCGGCGGCTGCCCATGCTTGTTACGTGGGCAGGTGCACTAAAGGGCCACAGAATCCGTTACAGGTCCAGACTTGACCTCATCATACGCGTCGTCATCACAAGGCTCGAACGCCCCCTGCGCCGACTAAAGCCTCGCTGCCTGCGCCTCTACTTCGCATCGACTGGTTTCCTAGTCACAGCTCTTTTGTTCCTGCTTTGTTGCTATTATTCCCTTGTTATCCTCGATTTGCACTGTGCTTGGACAGCGCTCTGCTTCTCGCGACTTCAATTGCAGTCTCAAACACAAGGCCTTTGCCGCCTTCACCCAACTCCGACCACTCGTGCGTCAGATTCTACCAAGCCACACCAGGGATCCTCTTATTTGTGTGGTATACATCGATTGCACATTCCTAGAACCTTCCTCGCAGAAACCACATCATGAAATATTCAACGTTTGTGGCGGCGCAATTGGCGTCGTCGACTGTAGCAGTAAGGCTTGCACCGCGAGAGGTAAGTGCGACTCTTGGCACCCCCAGATTCACTGGGAAGCGAATCCTCCCGCAGCGCCTCGTGCGCACGACCAGAGCTTTGTGGAATGCGACGCTGACTTCTCCAGAACCCAAGAGTAGTGCGTCTAGACACCCAGCGCCGGAATGTCAACCCCATCGCCCACGACCAGCTCCGAAGACGGCAAAACGTTGTCCAGCAAACGCTTGACAACCTCGAGACACTCTACTTCGCGAACGCCAGCTTAGGCACCCCCGAACAAAACTTCCGCCTCCACATCGACACTGGTAGCAGCGATCTCTGGGTCAACTCGGTCAACTCGAACCTGTGTAGCCAAGGGGGCAACCAGTGCGGCGAATCGGGTACATATAACGCGAACGACTCTTCGACATACAACTACGTCAACGGCGCATTCAACATTTCATACGTGGATGGGTCAGGCGCATCAGGAGACTACGCGACAGACAACTTCCGCCTCGGCGGCCAAACAGTAGAAGACCTGCAGTTCGGTATCGGCTACGTATCGAGCTCACCGGAGGGAATCCTCGGAATAGGCTACACCATAAACGAGGTTGCTGTAGGACGCGCAGGATTAGAACCATACCCCAACTTGCCTCAAAAGCTAAAGGACGACGGTACTATCAACTCAAACGCATACTCTCTATGGTTGAACGACCTGGATGCATCGACCGGAAGCATTCTTTTTGGTGGCGTAGACACCGACAAGTATTCGGGTGAACTACAGACACTACCAATCATCCCAGAGCGTGGACAGTATGCCGAGTTCATTATCGCTCTGACTGGCATGGGGCAGAACGGCAAGAACGGTTCTATCTTCAAGGATTCCAACGTACCGGTCCTGCTTGACTCAGGGTCGTCCTTGATGTATCTTCCCGATAACGTCGCGAGCTCTCTGTACCAAGCCTTCGGCGCCCAGTACCGTCCCTCGCAGGGCGCAGCCACTGTTGACTGCGACCTTGCAAACCAGGAAGGCTCGCTTGAATTCGACTTCTCTGGTGTCACAATCTCTGTCCCACTCAACGAGCTTGTCATAGTCGCTGCTGTTAGTCGTGGGCAGCCTGTTTGTATTCTCGGTATTGCACCAGCGGGTTCCTCTGTCGCTGTTCTGGGCGATACTTTCCTACGATCCGCATACGTTGTCTACGATCTTGAGAACAACGAAATCTCCCTTGCCCAAACAAACTTCAACGCCACCTCAGAAAACGTCCAGGAAATCCAAGAAGGCTCTGACGGCGTACCCAATGCCACAGGTGTTGCCAATGCGGTATCTACTGCTGCTGTTGGCACCGGTGGACCCAGGATCGAGGGCCCCAACATAACTGGCGGCGGTGGAATTATGACCTCTACCGGCGCTGCTATGCCGGCCGCAACTGCAAACCCATGGGTTGGCGGTGCTGCGGTCGCTGGTGCGGGCATCCTTATGGGCTTCAATGGCTTCTGATGTACGGACTACAATTTTCCTAAAACCTGTCCAGCGTAATGAACTTCTTTTTTACATATGCACACGTGCATCGTTGGCGTTATCAAGAGTGGCATGGATTACAACCTCTCGGTTAAGGGATTTGCATACTCATAAACTACCTGGAAGTAGGTCTTTTGCTTACATAATTGCATAGCATACTTCATGAATATTATTAACGTCTATTGCATCTCTCCTCAAATCGTTCATGAGTAGTAATCGTGATTCCGGCGACGTCGCGCTGAACTAGATGGTGACGACACCCGCAGGCCTGACAGGACGCGTAGCGCCTGCCGCGTAATAGCTTGAACGCCTGGAATCACTAAGTCGCAAGTCGCGCATCGTCACATGCATGAAGACTTCAGACTTTGCATACCGTCAACTGGTATTTCCACCAATAGATGGAGATGTCTACGTACACTCGCCTCGATGCTACAAATCCCATACGCGTTCCCTTCGGCTTGAACTCCTGCCGAGACTACAACCCAAAGCGGTCGTCCACGCCCATTTGACCCTCTCCCTCTACCGATTCAATCTCATCATGTCGCAACTCAGTTGAGAAATTCCGCCACTCTGGAACATCAAGATCTATGGTCGATGACGTGCATGGTCTCTCAGACGACTCTTCAGTTTCCGGAATCTGCTCTAGTCGATGTGGATGGTGCACCGGCGTACTTGTGGTTAGAGTGTCCAACGGCAACGGCTCTGATACCTCGCCAGTATCCGGACGTCTCTGGATCTCGATATCATCTTTCGTCAGCGTTGGCTCTGTTGCAAAGGGGTCAGCGTTGGAAGCCGCACTACTGCGTTGCGTAGGGTGTTCGATAGCCAGGAGAAGAACCTTGGCCTGTTGTAGTGGATTGCTGCGATACCGAGAATGAGGAAGAAGAAGATCGAGCCAAGGAATAGCCCGACGCCCAATTTGTTGAAGACAGGTCTTGCCATACTCAGGTCAGTGTGAACTCTGTCCCGCCATGGGAGGCCTGGAAAAGAGTAATTATAACCGTGTGCTTGATTGCTTGATGGAAACTCTTCAATGTTTGTCTCAACGAAAGGCGGTTCTGGAGACTACGAGGATGTACAGAAAGTAGATAAGATGAAAGCATGAGATAACCAGTCATGATAGGAAGAACGAGAAATAGGTAAGGAGAAGAGTCCATAGATCTGATCATCATTGGCGCCACTCCTCAGACTGCCTCATCTATACGTTTGCCGCTGTACTTCTGATGCTCGACGTGTCTGAGCTGCACCCGACCCTCGTTGCTTTTCGCGCTGCCTCTCTTGTCTTTCTTCAGATACCTGCCAATGTATCCCCTTTCACCCCAAAGATGAAAAGGGTCGACCAAGCCCTTAAGTACTCCTCGCTTATTCCTCTTCTTCTCTGCCCTAGCCGCCTCCAGTTCTGCATCACTCATATCCCAGAACTGCGTCTTCTTATCCCTCCCCTTGGCTAAGCCCCAAAGATCAAAAGGGTCGAACATGGTAATGATCCACGGCCTATCATCACCCCAGCCAGGTCCTTTGCGTTCAGTCACGCCATCGCGAGCTAGGAAAACGGAGTTGGATGGAGGTAGACGTTTACCCGGATGCCACAGATTGAGTAGAGCAGTGTTGAGGAACATAATAACAGCTTCGAAGATCCAGAAGTAGATCTCGTTTTGATATATGGAAGACTCCCAGCCGAGGATGTATTCCACGAGGCGATATATGCAGCGTATTGTTACGATAGTCGCACTCACGTACATGACGTATAGTACGATGCGCAGGTCCTGCCTGAGTACTCCGGCTTTGTTAGCACGTCGATGAAACTGTGCAGCGAGGAGGCCAAATGCGCCGAAGAGTGCTGCCTGGAGACAGAGCGATGCGGTGACGAGATCCGAGCCAAGCTGTCGTTCTGCGTCGGTGGAACTAGAGTTGGCCATACGCCATGCACCCTGTCCGATGAGTATCTCGCATACGCCGTCGAGGCCGATGAACGTCGTTGCTACACGACCTGGGTGAAGAGGTGCCAGGTAGGGTATATAGTAGAGTAACCTTGACAATATGAAGTAGTTGATGAGTGCGTACACTGGTGGCCCAGACATGATGAGAACGGTTGAAGCTATGAGGTATGCTAGATTATCAGTATCGTATGCGCCTGCAAGACGCACTGCGAAGCCGCTGATCATCAGAAGAGCGGCCCATGGCAAGAGGATTGTTGTTCGCCATGACTTGTGCTTGCTGAGAGACATCAGTAGTGCACGATTGCGACTATCGAGGTGTTTACATTGTCTGCCACGCATGTAGCGCTCCGGAGATGGAGAAGAGGATAATGAAGACTATGGGTGCGGCTTTGTTTGGTGCGTAGTACCAAATGCTGCCAGGTGAGTAGTCTCCCATCCCCATCTCGAGAACGATGAGTACGATGTCGCAGCGATAAACTAATTGATGGCTTGATTCGTGTAATTGATGGATCAAGCTGTGCCAAAAGCCGGAGAGGCAAAGAGCCGTTGCTGCACAGTAAGGGACAAGGACAATATGCGTCAAGGCTTCACATACGTCCAGATAGAGTCGCTAGCATGCTTGCCCTTCGACACATGGGCTACGACATGGGATTTATGAGATAAAGCTCACGACAACACGTCCAAATGGCGCAAACGTCAGGCCCCTCATGGTACGGCTAATGCGATGAATGCGACGCTCAGCTGAGGGGTTGACACGACTTCGCAAGGCATAGCACAGGGCTGAATAGGCGCATCTACCCATCGGTAACAGGGTGAAGCGAGATCGTACCGCTGTTGACCGGTGATGGGCAGAGGGTAGGAGGCTTGCGCAGCGACCACCTGATGTAAGGACGCTCACACGTGATGTGGCGGAGGCCTTTGACGAGACTTCACCAAATTTGGATTAGTCCAGGCTAGCGGTGAAGCCGCCGAATGCGCAACGTACATCTCGCGACGGCATCATTACCCGCGCACTCAAGCAAACGTCGTCTATCACATAATCCGCCGTCATACCGCCTTATCCCGTCGTGCACGTTTCATGAGTGTGGCTGGAAATGGTGCACCAGCCCTGGGTGCCACAGAGGATGGTTCTAGGCAAACTCCCGCCGAACCTACGGTGATGGACGGGCTATCGAGCTCTAAAGTGACGGGTATGCACCCCTGCAAGTTCAACACCCCTATACTCATACTTTACAGTCGAGTACCATGATCCTTCGGGGGTCTTTCCATTGATACAGGAGAACTTGGCTGCGCGATTGCCACTTCGTAACTTGCACTGGAAGGCTCCTACACGACCACTAAGATCTATCGACTCTTTACATGTTGATCTCGTGCCCAGTAAAGAATCAGCACAGGCTGCAAGTGCGGCTTCGTCGACTTCAGCACCTGGCCAAGGTACGCCTACTAGGAACACGGATGAAATCTTCAGGCCGGTTAACAAAGAGAAAGAGAGACGGCATCAGATCCCAGGACTGCGTCAAACACCTTATCTGAAGGTCTATCTGTTGAGATGCGACGATTCAGAGACTTACAAGGCGACTGCGCGCAAGCAAGTTCGCGAGTGGGTGAAGGAACATACACCACCCTCTCAAAGCAGTACGGCGAACACGCAGGAAAATCATGATGCATATGAGTGGTTGATCCTACATGTCGTAGTGCCTGAGACGCCGGCAGCAAGCCAGCCTCGTGGATCCTCTAGTACCACTACCGGTGAGAAGGAGAAGTCCGGAGCAGCATCTAGATGGACGCGCGGGACGACGACCTTGCTTGAAAAGCTTCGCGCCGACTTCAATGTCTCATCAAAATCGGCACCCGATAGGGTAGCTCAGATACGAGTGTCAAAAGAAAGGGTTCCCCCGCACATGCTTCCAGCCACAGCACCTGCTGCCTCTCCCGCTATCACTGAGAGCCCTCAGGAACAAGAGCGTGCCTGGGCTGATGTTATCGCTAAGTTTAAGGTATTGATCCTCCTTTCGTTTGACCTCCGGGTGAGTCAATATGAAGAGGATATTCGGAAGAACGACGCTCAGCGCTCGTTTCCTGGTTGGAACTTCAACACATTCTTTATCTTGAAGGAAGGGCTGGCAAGAGGCTTCGAAAGCGTAGGTCTGGTTGAAGATGCGCTACTCGGCTATGATGAGCTTTCCATCGGTCTAGACAGCGTCATACGTGATCAGTCGAGCGAAGACGCGCAAGGAAGCGTTTTGCTCAGCTATTCAGACGACATATATCAGACAGCAGCAGAGATCGCACAGCAGGATGGTAATGATGGATCAGGACCATCCATACACGATGATAGGCCAATCAACGCGCTGAAGAAAGACTATCGCGGTCTCATCCTTGCAAACAACATTTCGATCTTCGACTTCAGGCTTTACATCTTCGCTCGCCAGATGTTCTTGCTCTTAAGGCTTGGAAACTCAGTCTCAGCACGTTCCGACCTCGCAGCCAAGCTACAACCTCGACCGAATGCCGGAGTGATACAGCGCTCGGCTGATGACAGCGCTATTGGTATGAAGTCAGGCGGCCAAGGGAACGACTCAGAGGATCTGTTCTCTCTTGCTGAACTCTGTTCACGTGCACTGAACTTCATCACCTTTGCTGGACGGCTCTTGCGAGATGATCTAATTCACGGGTAAGTCCATCTATACCCAGTCAAGCCACAGCGCTAATCCGTCGCTGTAGTGCGAAAGCTCACGATACCACGTTTCCTGATCATCTTGTCGAAAGCATCGTTCGTTCGTGGACTTTCGCTTCGCTGGAACAAGTGTTGCGTGAAACATCTACAGGATCTCTTCCATTTACTAAGTTCTCTGGAAACCTATCGGCAGGCTCTTCCGGCAAGAGTCTTTCGTTTGGTGGCCGCAACAAAGAACAAAAGATGAAGGTCTCAGAGCCCAAGTCCATGATCCATCCATCCAGATCGACATCTCTGAATCATGGGCGACCATTATCAGACATGCCATACTCACAACCTGCAGCCAATGCACAAGTCGTATTTGAGAACGGCCAGTATCACGATCGACCACTACCTGGCCAACAGAGCACAATCCCTTCTGCCAAGAACGGCTTGCAGGAGCTGGCTGGTACCAGAGCGCAGCTGCTCGCAATTCAGCGACGTTTGCTCGAACATGCGGGCAAGAGCATGGGTTGGAATATTGGCTGGAATGCTATATTGGCATCTCTGAGTGCGAAAGAAGAACTCACTGAGGTTGGTCTAGAAGACGAGGAAGAGGAGGAAGATGAATCGAAGCATGACCAGTCTCGTACTGAAACGGAAGGGGAAGCTTCGAAGTCACGTCTCGGTATATCTGCTGCAGCGCTGGTCACTGCGATGACATCCATCAGGCAGTTCAGACAATTCTATGAGGTCAGAAGACATGATATAACCCCGCATGAGGTTGCTAACCCTCACAGGCCTTGAGTGATCTTATCGTCAAGCACTATATGGCCGCAGGCCAGACCAAGTCAGCAGAAAGCGTGCTCGGGGATCTGGCTGCCCTCAGGTTGTATGTTTGCCACCTGTCAGGTTACATCAGCCCCAATACTGATATCACTATAGTGAACTCGGTGACTTCGCGGCAGCCGCCATGTACTTCGGACGTATGGCATCGTACTTTGCGGAGAGCAGATGGAACACGGTTGAGACAACCATGCTCAAGATGCACGCACGTTGCCTCAAGAAACTCAACCGAAAAGATGAATATGTGCGGACGGTACTTGATCTCTTAGCTAAGTCTGCGGCGAGCCGAATGGCGTTCAAGAGTGCCTCGAAACGAACCAGTACAACCGACGCAGGTGACATGCCTGGTGACTGGCTGAACGACGACAAAGTGGACACTACTGATGTATTCCATGAACTCATCAGCTATTCGCAACAGCTACCCTACGATGTCACGGTCCAAATGCCGAAGTACTTCGGCGACATCTCGGTAGATCCGTACGTTCGACACTACGATGATAAAGATGGGTTCCAGTTACGCCTTCAATTCAGACACCATCTCGAAGACGAGATTGAAATACGCGCAGCCAAAATCCGATTGGTCAATGCAGTCTCGAATCAAGCCAAGGACATATGGCTCGAAGAGACAGGAGCCATACAGTTGAAGAAAGGCTTGAATCGCATGTGGATCGGCTGCAACGTGAATACGATCGGACCGTACATGGTCGACAGGGTTGTCCTCGAAGCAAAGCGTATCGTCTTCGTACACGAACCTTTCCAGAAGGCAGAGGCGACAACTCCACTTGGCATCATCACTTCGGTCTCTGCGCATTCTCTCAAAGCCGCGAAGAAAGCTCGGATACTGTGCTTCCCCCGTAGCGAATCCTTCCAAGCCCGAATCTATCTCTCGCACTTCATCCACATCGACAAGCCGCGGCACATAGAGGTCGAGTGCTCAGCTGGCTGGAATGAGATCACACGTGCAGAAGTCCGCCTAAAGTCTGCCTCTGCAGGTTTACGACTGCGAACGGCAAATGCAAGCGTGGCTGTGGGAGAAACCAAGATCGATGACAGCAAGCCAACACCGGGTGTCATCGCTATTGGTGGCATGCCGGCAGACTCCACAGCGACATTGAAGGTGCCTTACGACATGGAAACAATATTGCAAGACCTCACTGTCAAGATCGATGTCGACTACTTTACCGCCAAGGGTCAGTTCCAGTATACCTCGACCTTCATCATTCCTGTTGAACTGCCTCTGGATGTCAACGTTCATGACCATTTCAAGAGCAAGTCGCTTTTCTCCAAGTTCAACATCAAAACGGCCAACCATGTACCACTGAAACTTCTGGACGTCGCACTAGAAGGATCAGAAGAGTTCGATGTTCATGCGCCCAGGCGCCCGAAAGAGGCCGTCCATGTCTTCCCGAAGCAGCCCGTCGCAGTCACGTACAAAGTCACTAAGAAAACGATGGACGCCGCCAAGAAGCGACAAAGTCGGATTTCTACCACCGGCAGTCTATCTCTGGCTGTTGAGTACCGATGCTTGAACGAAGACGTTCTTGATCGAGTGCGAGTGATGTTTGCTGAGGCTGTGGAAGACAGTCCAGTCCATCGACTGGCTCGTTTGCTTACCGACCATTTTGCTAGTCAATTGGAGCAACATATCTTGCCACCGCAATACGAAAAAATCGCGTTACTACAGAGGTTCGACCTAGGTGCGTTCGAGGAGGTTGGGTGGGCAGACTGTTTGGAGAGCTTACCGCTTGTCGTCCGTGATGACACACAGACCTGGCTACAGAAGTGGCATGAAGTAAGTAGTAGTCTCCTCCACGTGAACTGTACATACTTACATGTCCACAGAAACACCGAACCATCTTGCTCGCCGAAGACGATGCTAAAGATACGACGCAACAGCCGATCGCTCCACTGTCGCCAAACCCACCCCGCCGGATGATTATCACAGTCTCGATCCCTCAGACCCACATCTTGCACACCGCATCACTGTCTCTTAACTCACCTCCTTCGTCTTCACATTCCACAACCGCGACCGTAGGCCAGCCTATCATGACCACCCTTCGCATCTCGCACACCCGCCGCTGGGCCTCACCTTCCAGCCTTCTCTCCGCGGCTAACCTCACCGAAGTCGATGAGCCCATAGATTTCGTCTACACCATCGACGCGAACCCGGAAGTATGGCTTGTCGCCGGCCAGCGACGTGCGCACTTCACTGCCAAGGAAGACGAGGAACATGAGTGGCCAATCATGCTTATCCCGCTCAAGTCAGGGAATACGCTGTTGCCGAACGTGGACATCCGCGCGAAGATCAAGCCAAAAGAGGAGGAGAAGGGGAAGTCAAGTACTACGGAGGCGGAGATCTTGAATTGCGAGACTGATTATTTGAGCTATGGAGAGAGCGTTATGGTTGTGCCGGATGTGAGGAGTAGTACGGTGGGGGTTGGGGATATGAGTGTGGGTAGTCCGAGGAGCGTGGTTTGGTTGGAGAGTAGCGGTCAGGCAGTGTAGAGTTGGGTGGGAGTGCAGCGAAAATGTTGAAAATGGACATGTCGAATGATCATGAAATCTAGGAACTTGACTTTTTGTTCTTAGTTTGAGGTTTAATATGTCAAATATTGGTAGTTGGGGTGATCGAGAAACAAATTTGAACTACTACATGCGTGTGCCATTGACGTTCTAGATGGTGGACTCGGCGGTTGATACTGTTGCTCAAATATCAGCCAAGATAGTCAGTCCATGCGGGTTTGTAGGTTGCATGTGAGTCCCACTGGGAATTGTAGAAGTAAAAGAAGGCGCAGAAAGTATGGAACACACAGTATGCAGGTAAGTACCCCATGAAAAAGACCTCCAAGCCCGAATGTGTGAGCAAGACGTCCCGCGGGGAGCTGCGGGAAACTAATGCATACAACATGCTGTACAGGCCCAGAACCTGTCCATATCCAGCGGAGATGAATATCGATGGAGTCAGAAGATACTCAAAGAGTCGCATCAAATATGGCGGTTTCGAAGCAAGAAATGGAGCAGGAAACTTAGAATAACCGAGCCATGCCGCCAAAAAGAAAGGCACTAAGATCATGTGAAACGTGATCATATCTAAGCCGTATATCCATATTGCGCCGTGTTCCCACATCGGTCTGGCCCAGGTTGCTTCGAGACAGTATTCGCATGTCGACCTTACTCTATGATAAGATGGCAGAACCCGACAGGTTAGTAAGCCGAGCGCGAGGGCGACACATGCCGCAAAGGACAAAATCGTACGACAGAGCCATGTTTGGACCAGGCCATGGCTTCTACACTCTGCAAGTATAAACACGGTCCAACTGTGACATACCAAAAGAGAGAGAGCAGCCGAGACGTACAGCATAGCCCTCTCAAGTTCAAGAAATATCTCCTTGTTGTATACAACAATCCGTACTGGTGATAAATTGACGTCATTACTGCTTTCGGTTATGAACCGAAACAATTCTGAGATCAAGAAGGCTATGAAGTACGTCGAAGTTAGGGCTGTCATAAGAGGAAGGCCACACATCGCGAACACCTTTAAGGCTTGTGGTACTATGTCGACTATAAAAGCCATTATGTCGAGTCGCCAGTTCCTAGAGACGAACTGACCCCGATGCGGCTCGTGGGCTGCTACCGCAGGTCTTGTAGGAACAACAGATTTGCCTTCCAATAGAAATCGAGTAGACCAGACTTGTCTGGCTGCACTGGAGATAGAGTGTTTGTTGGTCAATAGATCGATGAATTGGGCAATCATCATCAACGTGTCGAATAGGCAGATCAGCGGCGACGCTCGCAAAGCAGCACTGAGCACGAAGGGTGCACCAAGCACTCTGCCAGTGTCTTGGACCATGACCCCTATCATGCATGCAATAACAGGCCATCATGCGCTCTGCCACGAGACTTCTCGAGCGGTGCTTTCGCTGAACGCTGGTGGCCGTTAGTCGCTGTTCGAAGACTCTTGATATGGGTGTCTGATAACTCACACGAAGTGCCATTATGCGTAGTACTTTCATTCTAGAGTAATGGGGTGATCATAGCTGTACCGCGCTGTCTGCATATGCGAACCAGTGTATATTTCTTCAACGAGCCCGGTTCGAAATAAAAGTAATTGATAGTATACGGATACGCAGTGTATTTGAATAAAGGTGCCTAGCTTGAAGCTGTAAGTGTACTTCCTACGGTTCGTCATTGACAAACTTGACGCCCACATGACATAGTTCAGCCTTCTCGGGATACGTCATGTGGACGCTGAGGTGCTGGATATTAGAGCCTTGTTGGCCGAATCTTAAGCTACGCCCGCAAAAAGACATCTAGACGAGGTGGCTGAGGTGTTCAAGGCAGCAAGCAAGGCAGATCTGGAAGGGGGCAGTGTTGTGCTGGCAAAAGCCAATGACAAACCACGCTACTCGTCGGCACAGTGCATGCTATCGCAGCAGCCACGCCGGGCACGCTTTCCTTGCAAGCAAAAAAAAGAAGGACGATGCATGCTTGCCACACATAATGCAAGCATCCACAGGCAAAAAGAAGAGCAAAAACATACAACAGCGGGGATTCGCTAGTGGTCACCCACCTAACTACTAATCCGCCGGTATCATGCTTGTATATGGCTGAGCGGACGGGAAGCCTAATTTTCATGATCCTATGGTCGTATGTGAAAGAGCGAGGACTTATGACCCATATAATGTGGGTCGTATGAGATAGCGAGCTACTGAGATGTCAGCCATAGACCAACGCGACAACACCAAGGAAACACCAGAGATATACACGCCCAGTCACTTTGTGAGCTCCATGTTGTAATGAGATCGATTCTTCGAGCTGTTGTATCATCTTGTGAAGGCACCCGTAGGTGCGCTTTTACCATAACTCCGTCGCTGAAGATGCAATGCAAGTATCCCTCTCCCTATCATTCATCGCGTTCGACGCATGTATAGACCCTTCTCTTCACTTTTCTACCTCTAGTCCTTGGGAAGCATATCCTGCTCACTGCCGTCCCTGGGCACGTAGTTGATACCTGCGCTCTCCACCGCTCCGATCACGTCTTCCGGGAGGATGCCCTCGACCTGGGTCGCGTAGACGCCCGGAACGTAGCCCTCAAGACGCTGATATCTGGCAACCCAGCTCCTTGATGTATCCGCGACAGTGATGAGGCCTTCGAAGACTTGGGATGTGCAGTCGTTGATCTGCTCGGGGTTGCCGGCGAGCTCGATGATTTCTTCGCAGTTGGGGCAGCCCTGGGTGAGGAACTGGTTCTGAGTTCTGACAATGGAGCAGACCATGCAGGCGCGCATGTTGCGCTGCTGGCCTGGCGGTATGTGCGCACCGCCTTGGATCATGTTCTGTGCCATCTCGGATTTCTCGACGTTGGGACGAGGGTTTGCGGGCGGCTGCTGACCTGGCTGATAGCGGGTGTTGGATGTGACAGCGGGGCGCTCAGTACGACCAGGGAGATTGGCGTCTTGACAAGTGGTGTCGCGACCTCGACCTGCAGCGCGCGGACGTGTAGAAGGATTCTGGGTAGGAGGATGGGGCTGTTGTAGAGGCTGTTGATGGTGATCCGGAGTCTGGTTGTCGAAGACGGATGCAGGCGACTCGAAATACTCGATGGGAGGACGGACGTCGTTGTTGAAGCTGGCAGGAAACAGAGCGTCCGCAAGTGTCCTACTTTGTTCCACGGTTCCGGAAGCTTGGCGAGGCTGTCGGCGCTCTGGCTCTGGACCTGACTCGGGTACCGCTTTAGAGAGGTTTAGTCGCTCACGCGAGGCTACGGGATCGACATTCTCCAACTCATGCGCAAAGTATGGCTCCTCGTTTGCCCTGCTATTTCCTCGGGGGCGTATGATGGCGCGAGGTGGTGTGTCATTAGGCTCGACTTCGTCGCCGTCAGAGTCGACGGTGATGTAGCGATCTTTAGGTGTCTTGACCGTTGCCCTACCCCTGCGCGCCATGATGTCTGGTCGGAGCCGAGGTCTCTGGTTGGTTGAGCGTTGGTGGAGGCGTTTAGCGGCAAGGCCAGGCGATGGCGGGACAGACTCGTTTGATAACTTTCGGCGGGCAGTGCGGGCGACAGGTCACTCTCATTTTGTTGCCGTACGTCACTGGTTTGCTATTCAAATCCTTTAACGCGCAGGGACACAACTTCCCTCCCGTCAATCAACAGGTGCACCAGCCCGTCGCGCCTTCTGCAGCTACACCCGCCGCCCGCGTGCCTCGCATACCCCAGCTTGTCCCGCACTGCGTCGATACATCATGGGTGCCCCGACTGACGAAGCCACCAAGCTCAAGGACCAGGGCAACAATGCCTTCAGGAACCAGGAATGGGACAAGGCCCTTGAGTTCTACACCAAAGCCATAGAAGCCTACAACGCAGAGCCCTCTTTCTACACCAACCGCGCACAAGTACACAGCCCACCTGCGCCTCACGAGCATCTACTAATCTGTCCTCCAGACATACATCAAGCTCGAACAGTATGGATACGCTATACAAGATGCCGACACGGCGATTGAATTGGACCCAAACAACGTCAAGGTACTATTATCGCAAACTCACCCCGTCATGATGACGCTCATCGCAGCACCAGGCATACTACCGCCGCGCCTCAGCGAATACCGCCATCCTCAAGCACCGTGAAGCGCTCCGCGACTGGAAGCTCGTCGTCAAGAAAGCCCCCAACGATGCTAACGCAAAGCTGCGCATGGCCGAGTGCGACAAGGTCGTCAAGCGAGACGCCTTCCTCAAAGCCATCGAGGTCGAGGATGCGCCGTCGGCAGCAGAGGGTCTAGACTTGGAACACATGGCCGTAGACCCCTCATACGATGGCGCAAAGCTGGGAGACAAGATGACATTGGAGTTTGTCGAAGACATGATTGAGCGATTCAAGAACGGAAAGAAGCTGGCCAAGAAGTACGTCTACCAGATCATCATCGCAGTCATGGACATTGTCAAGAAGGAGCCCACCATGGTCGAGCACGATATCGCGGATGGAAAAGAGATCACTGTCTGCGGTGATACTCACGGTAGGTCATAAGGAGAAAGTGTGGATAGACCGTGTACTGACAAGGCTAGGCCAATTCTTCGATCTCATGAACATCTTCAACCTCGCCGGCAAGCCCTCCGAAAAGAACGCGTTCCTCTTCAACGGCGACTTCGTCGATCGAGGTTCTTGGTCCACCGAGATCGCCCTGCTACTTTACGCTTACAAGTGGCTATACCCCGATAGCTTCTTCCTAAACCGCGGAAACCACGAGACCGACGACATGAACAGGATGTACGGTTTCGAGGGTGAATGTAGAGCGAAATACACAGAGCGCGTCTTCAAGCTCTTCTCGGAGTCCTTCTCTGCGCTTCCTCTCGCGACGCTTATTGGCAAGAAGTACTTTGTGCTTCACGGTGGCCTGTTCTCGGACGACAAGGTCACGCTAGACGACGTGCGAAAGCTTGACCGATTCAAGCAGCGTCAACCGGGACAGTCTGGGCTCATGATGGAGATGCTTTGGACTGACCCGCAAACGAACCCAGGCCGTGGACCCAGCAAGCGCGGAGTCGGTCTGCAATTCGGACCCGACATCACCAAGCGCTTCTGCGAGAACAACGGTCTCGAGGCTATCATTCGGTCGCACGAAGTACGCATGGAGGGTTACGAAGTCGAGCACGACGGACGCTGCATTACCGTCTTCTCGGCACCCAACTACTGTGACAGCACTCACAACAAGGGCGCATTCATCAAGATCGGCCCTGAGTACAAGCTCAAATTCACTCAGTTCGACGCTGTTGCGCATCCGAACATCAAGCCTATGGCATATGCGTCAAGTGGCATGGCCGGCATGATCTAATGAATTTGAGGTAAGTTGGTTCAGTCATTGTTCGCAGCGATGCATACTTGGGTGTTCTTCGGCGCATCAGCATACTCGGAATTGGTTGGGGCTGTGTTTGATCTTTCAGGATTGATTGGGAAGGAGCGCTGCTATACGAATGTACTATAGAGCCTGGACGAAGGCACAATTCCGACGCCGATGTACACGAAAAGCATCGAGCAGAAATCTAAGGGCAAAACATTACCTCTTGCGCGTCTGGCACGCTACCACGGGTAGCGCGTGGTAGATGCGTTGCCCCTCACACGCGGCCCCACGTGTTGCATCCCAATATGGCTAACTCTGTTGACAAACATGGGTCCCGCGCCTTCCATCTCATCGCGTCTTGCCAACCTGCTAACAAAGCGCCCTTTACGCCTGCTCTCGCCGTAGATCTACCATACCAACACCCTGTCGCATCCCTAATCGTTTCTACATCAGCAATGTGAAGACTAACCCACTTGCGCAATCACCATGTCGCCGTATCAACAAATCTTCTCCACCAACGCCGTCCTAAGCGTCTGGCGCAATCTTCGCAATACCAAAGATAACAACGACCTTCTCCTCGCATTTCAGTACCACCAAGACGATGCTCGTGGCCAGAAGGGCAAGAAGTATACCAAGGGCGGCGTTGTGGAGAGCTCGCAAGAGGTCGCAGATGGAAAAGCGATCGATGTCGGCGGTAAGAGCATTGGCTTCGTTGTACCATGGCGGGCCATGCAGGCTCAGAGACGCGAACTGAAGGAAAAGGAAAAAGAACTCGCTGAAGCACTAGTGGCACTGGCCGGAGAGGTTGCATTCACAGGTATGTATCTAGCGATAGGTGGTTTTTAGAATCTATTAGGGTATGCGTATATACTGACTACTCGCGATAGACCTCTCTTCCACCCTGCAGTCTTCGCTCACGCAAAACCCCCTCATCCAGATCCGCCACCTTGCCGCTGGTCTATCCCGTCAGATGTCGAAAATCGAGATACAAATGGCCGACAACGCCCCCTTCGCAAATGGAAAGAATCTGTACACTGGTGGCGAGATAGCGCAAAGGTTTCTCCCGCCGATACAAACACTCTTCCAACAGCGACCTGTACCGCAGCGCATGATCTTTGAACTGCTCATTGAGTTGAAAGACCTGATCTACATGGGCATGGCAGGATGTGAGAAGGAGGTCTTGGAGTGGGAGGTGGATGGCGCTGCGATCGGAGCGTTAGAGGAGCTGGATGATGCGATGGTCAGAGCGGTCACACCGATAGTACCAGCCATCGAACCGGAGCAACGGAAAGAGTCCGAAACCGGGCCTAGGCGCATACTCAGGCGAAAAGCGTCCAGCCTTATCTCCAGCTCTGTTGTAGTGCAACAGCCAGTATCGTTCCTCCTCGCTGCGCCAGAAGAACTTCTTTACAGTCTGGAATCGCTCGAAACGACAGCGCTCGCGCTTACACACCTCCCACTCCCTATACCGGATCTCTGCGCACACGCCATCATAACTCTCCGTCGTCTCACGCCTCGGCAAACTCTGACAGACTTCTCACAGCAGAAGAAGCGAAGGAACGGCCGGTGTGCAGAGTTCGCGCGTTGTATGAGGTGGGCTGATATGCAGTGGCGGCAAAACGGTGGCTGCAGGAGAGGTTGCCTGAACGAAGACGAAGATCCAGAGAATCTTCCTAGCTGGCATAGGAGTAGTCGCTGGTTCGACGATAAGGGTAGTGGGACATTTATGGTCGGTGGAGGAAGGGCGACGCCGAAAGATGATGGGTTTGGAGTCATTAAGATGACGCCTTCATAGGCAACCTGCGGTGGGATTTTGGGACTATTTCGGAACTGGCGTTATGAATGTACATGTACGAAGGAACGGGTTTGGATGATACTCGGCGTAACGATACCCTTTTTGATTTCTTGGTATATCTAGGGTAGGAGAACCGCTTCTGTGAATACAACTCAGGTAGTCTTCGGGGAGGACTTGAGGCATTGCTTCGTATCTAAATGGCGAAGGGAAGTGAACAGTCATTGATACGAAGAGGAATGGAATGTACTACTTAGTCATGTTGGACATGTTCCAATTTCTTTGTACCGGTACCTCATTAGGTCGCACGAGACCCGCACTTCTTTAGTCTACGAGAATGGTAGAGCCCTTGTGAAGAGTCAGTGAGCTATGGGTCAGTTAAAACTGCAATCTTGGGTGGATCTGGCATCTAGCGGCGATGCCGGAGCCTACCGCTCAGATCACATCTGGGCATCTCTGGTGGTGCATACGGCCATTCAGGGTCTGGTCAGTCGTGGACTCACATGTACACTGAAGTCATATGCCACGATGGTCTTGAGTCGAAGCGCGAAGGAACAATCACTGTGCGACGTCTGTCGAGTATAAAAGGCGGGTGTTCAGTACAGTATCCTACTTCTCACAGTACATTCCTACTCAAGCATCCATATCAAACTAACAACAACCAAGGCTTCCCGAGATCTTCGTCCAACGATTCAGCCCGCAACAACTGAGCCAGTCACCATGAGCAACAACGCTGAAGTCAGGGCTCCCGGCTATGATGAGGACGCGAAGTCGAAGATAGCCCTTACGGAAACCCTTCTTGGGACCCAGGCTTCGATCAAGGCTCGCCCGAACACAACAGCGCCGGCAGTGAGATGAGGAAGCAAATCAGAGCAGACGTACTCGTACCGAGTCGCGAACAGGGCAGTTTGGGTTCCCGCGACAAAGTTTAGTTGAGCCTGCCTGTTGTTAAGATTGAGGTGCACAAAAAGCCTCTGTGGGAGAAGGCGTTCATCGATTAGCTTAAGGAAGAAACTTTCTGCAGGATTGCAGTGAGGGACTACAAGAGATTCACGGTAGTGTTCCGATGGGCGAAGTGCGGACCGGGATGGTGTGGCCTGATGGTGAGGATTACAAGAGAATGCCCACATGGGGTGGTGTTGTGGCTGGATCAGAAGCCACGGGGTGGAGCAAAGACGGAGAGGGCTGGAAGGACGGAAGGAGTCCCTTTCAGTTGTATTACAATGGAGAGCACCATGGGAGGTTTCACTACTTTGACAACGAGTAGGGCGTTGTGATGAGAGAGGAGTTCGCGGTTGAGGAGGGTGAGAAGTTTAAGCCAGTTGTTTGGGTCAATGGATATACGATGTGATGGGATGTCTTTGGGATATATGGCACGGCTAGTTATGGTGGCATCTAGATGATGTGCAATACCTCTGCTAGACGATAGAAACGACATTTCATTGGGTCTACTTCAGGTTATACATTACGGGACCAAGACACGCACCATGCATGTGCTCTACAGATGCGACAAATTCATAACAGCTTCTGTCGTCTACGTGGAGAGATACAAGAAACAAAATGAACCAACTGAGTGGCCTGCCTATCCAAGGGTTGCTATTGATAAGTGTAGCATCTCTAGCCTGTCATCTTTCCCATGACCAAATCTCGATCTAGATGAGCCATTGTCGCGGTTTTTGGAAGTTCCCAATTATGATCCTATGGGTACTTGTCGCGCAATCTGGCTATTGAGTTAAGAGTTGAACCATCTGGATGAGTGGCGGGGATGAGTAGAAGTCCAGGGTCGTTCATTGGAAGCTCGCTCAAACTTCGTGATCGTAACCTTAGAAGTCTTGATCACAGGTCGTAAGCACACTTTATCCGTGGTCGGCTCACTGAATTGGTGTCGGACCATTGTGAAGCGAATTAGCTTTATTCCAGTCCTTCACTACGCATGAAGTTCAGATCTGCTCCGATAGTACTTTGTTGCATCACAGTGTAACCTTCCGGATTTGTGTTGCCTATGTTCGGCATGCACAACCTACAAAACTTAGTGCGCTCAGGATGTTGAACTCACATTGCATTAAAAATCGAGTGATGAGGAGTGCAGTAGATCAGGCGGAAGAGAGAATTATAGGAGGAAACAGAGTGGCTTACGATGATCGAAATGACGAGGCTCAGCCGCAATGTGGCTTAGGGGGAAGTTCTCATTGGTGTGCTCGCATGCTTGACCGGTCAAGAACACAGACTCTTCATAGGCGGCAGTGCAGAGCCTTGCTGACTGCGATAATATAAATGAGCCTTTCCTCGCAGAATTAGGGTACTGTGCAAAGAGTTCTAACATTGACCTAATCTTCCAGTATGCCAGCATCCACTGATCCGCTTGACGAAGATATCCGGGACCCGGTTACGGTCCAGGCCAGAGTGGCAATCGTGCAGGATTTGTGGCCAGGTCGAGTAACGCTGGCATCGAAGGAACTTCAGCTCGTATGGGGTGCATACTTTGAACATTACACTCGCAGTTGTGAAACAGTCTTCTCAGAACAATACTTCCGCAAAATCGTGATAAAGCACGGAGACATTTTACAATTCATACACCTGCTAGAAGGAACAGCTGACAGAGGAAAGATCAGAAAACTACCTCAGGATAAGACGAAGGGGTCAGAGGTAGTAAGGAAGATATTTTCAGCAAGGAGATATCAGATTTTGGATTATGACGAACCAATGGACGGTTTGATCAATTTGGGTGCTCGTATCCTCACAATGTCCGTGGTTGGGCAGACTGCGTCATCCCAAAAGTTACGTTCGACGTGTATCTTACCTTGGAATACAGGCTCGCTCCAGAGCGCAGTGCACAGCTATTTCAACCAACCACCAGACATACCACTCGAGGCCAAGGATGAATTCATCGGAGTGGGTCTGACCTTTTACAATATTGAGCGAGTGGCGGGGATCAAGATAATACCAACGGATAACTTGCTCGATCATTTGCTTCTTGTCGAGGAAGATAGAAAGCTGTGTGTATTCCACCATGCATCGTTTCTAAAACGAATGCTAGCTACTCAAAGGTACGTGACTTGATAGTCGAAGCAAAGAGTAGCAACGCTGACTCTGTACCCACGTAGTCCACTCTTTCCAGATGGTCTCATACACGAGACCCTAAATACACTCGCCATTCTGCTGCCAGAGCCGGATCGCAGTACGAAGCGTTGGATGTTGCATTTCTGCCGAGCGCACGCGCGGATAACAGTGGATTCCGAACTGGCAAAATGCGGCCACTTTCCAATCAGGCATCCGTCCAGACGCTATGAGCAACTCCGGTTCTGGCGCGATCGACTAATCGTGCTGGAGGAAGTGGTGGAGGATGCCATGCCACCATCCAGTCAACTGCTGTCCAGCCTGCAAAAGTCCAATCAGCAATTATCCAACTCACTACTCAAGGCGATGAACAGTAAAAGTGATCGGTGGATCAATTCATGGTTTGCGATTGTGGCGATAGCAGTTACTCTCTTCTTCGGGCTGGTACAGAGCATAGAGGGCGCCATGCAGCTATACAAAGCGTACCATCCAGAAGAGGAGTCGTCATAACGCCGATCTTCCTGGGTCTCGAAGAGGCGCTGAATACGAGAGGGGGAACTCGTGTGATGGGGTTGTAGGCTACCACCAATATTCTCGCGGACCATACATCCCAATAAACCGTTATCTCGTATTCCAATCCTGAAGTGGCGCAAACTCGGCAAGCCGAAGGAAACTGTACGCGACAAGAACTGGCGCGTAGAAAACACGAGTGGCGCAGTGGGACCTCTACATTAGCGGTACTGCGGCTAGATTAGCGCCGTCAACACAGGGTCCAAAAATCCCGGCTCGCAATCTCAGCCCATTTTCTGCAGCATGCAGCAAGTCCCTTACTGCTACGCGAACTCCACCACTCCACCCCAAGCTCGCTGCAGTTGCCCCGCAAGAGGCGAATACATCGTCATCTGTGTAATCATAGTGGATACAGGCGACCAGCTTTGTCGCGGCGAACTTGATCTTCTAGGGAAGGTACGAGAGCTGCAAGAGTCGATTGATAGACCGGAGAAAATGTTGTTGAGGAAAGGACGATGGGTAGCGTGGAGATAAGGATGCAGCCGCCTGCAGCAAGCACATTTGCGGTGTCCAGCGCCGATTAGGATACCACGGTCATGGTGACGTCATTGGGTCTCCGCGGCTTCCTTCGCGTGAGGAAGATCTTTGGTTGAAGGTGGAAAGATGGGGAATGATAGCTGGCAGGCCGGTGAGCATGGCAGACACCGCTTTTTCGTGAGTGTGTTTGTTGTGGGTCAGTGTGATGTTCGCCTGAAGCTCAGAGAAAATGGACTTTGAGAAATGTTTTCAGGCACTCGACAAATGGCCTTTTCATTCTTGGATGATGTAGAAGTGAGTTCCTGAGATACAATTCACGCACGACAAGACGGTAGTTTAAACGATCAAAGGCTGTAATTAAAATGCTATACAAAAACGCTCACTATAACACTTTCTTTTTGGGAAACGCCAGTAGAAAACCCATCTATCATCTATATGCTTCGCGTGCAACAATGCCAAAAAGTAAAGACTTGAAGCCTAGTTGAAAGCGACACAAAACGTTTGCCGCCCTGGGGGTATCTCTTTCTTTAAACGCACATTTAAGCGTACTTCTCAATCATAGCGAGAGCACCTTCGCGCTCGAGGCCCTCCAATGCGGCCTTGAGTTCAGAAACGAAGCGCTTGTCGTCACGGAGATCGTTACCGAAGAGGGTCTTGATCTCGAGTTGGGCCATGGGACCCTGGGCAGCGTAGGACTGGAGCTCCTCGACCATGGGGTCGTCGACGGTGAAGGCCTTGCCGGCATCGTCAATGCCGCTGTTGTAGCGGAACCAAGCGGCGGCTACGAGAGTGAGGCGGCGGAGAGGTCCGTTGGCAACGATTTGCTCGGCGATGCTGGGCATGATGAACTGGGGGATCTTGCCGGAACCACCAAGGCAGATACGGGGAAGCTCGTCCTTGAGGGTGGGGTTGGAGAAACGGCCCAGGAGGGTGTTGATGTAGTCATCGACGCTGACACCAGGGATCTGGGGAAGGAGCGGCTTGACTTCCTGGTTCATCATGTTGATGACGAACTGGCGGTAGACGGGGTGGCCGATGACTTCGTGGATGTAGGTGAAGCCAGCGAGCTGACCGGCGTATCCCATGGCAGAGTGGCTGCCGTTAAGGAGGCGGAGCTTGATCATCTCGTACTCCTCGACCTTGTGCACGTCGGGAACGATCTGGACACCAGCCTTCTCGAAAGGTGGGCGGCCATCGACGAACTTGTCCTCGAGAACCCATTGGTGGAAGGGCTCGGTGACAACGGGCCAGGCATCCTCAACACCGAAGTTCTCGGCTAGGCTGACCTTGTCCTCGTCGTTGGTACGGGGGGTGATACGGTCGACCATGGAGTTGGGGAAGGCACCGTTGTTGGCGATCCAGTCGGCGACCTCAGGGTTCTGGTGGCGGGCGAAAGAGACCAACATGTTGCGGCTGATGTCACCGTTCTTCTGCATGTTGTCGCAGGAGAGAACGGTGAAGGGTCGGAGACCAGCGGCGTGGCGCCTCTCCATGGCAGCGTAGAGGTAACCGAAAACAGTGCGGGGTGGCTGCTCACCAGCCAAGTCGGCGGCAACATCTGGGTGGTCGGTTTGGAGCTGGTGGGTGTTCTCGTTCATGTAGTAACCGCTTTCGGTGACAGTCAAGGAAACGATGTGAGTGTCGGGGTGAGCCATCTTGGCGATGACAGCCTCAGCGCTGTCGGGGGCGAAGAGGTAGTCGGTGATGGAACCGCAAACGCGGGCAGTGGTACCCTCAGCGGCACGCTCGATGATGGTGTAGAGGTTGTCTTGGGGCTTCAGAGCATCTCGCATGGGAGCAGCGAATGGCTGAAGGTCAACACCGCAGATGGACCAGTCCTTTACGGCAAATTGCTCAAGAAGAGTGTCGACGTAGGCTGCGAGATGGGCTCTGTGGAACCCACCGACACCAACGTGGACAATGCCTTGCTTGACACCCTCACGCTGGTAAGTGGGTACAGCGACATTCTGGAGTTGGGGGAGGTTCTTGCTGCTAAGCTTGAGGGGAGCTGCAGGTGTTTGGCGCTGCGATGTGGTGGTGCCAGCGGCAAACTTCTCCTCCTTTCGTTGGGAGAATGTCCTGGGAGGGGCGTTGTAAACATTGTTGTTCTCAGGTGTCCGGCGGACAGCCTCAGAGCTCTGGAACCTGACGGCAGCAGGGCGGGAGGGCCTAGTGGATTGGAAAACAGCGCGGGCGCGGGCGGCGCGCAGCAGGTTCCTGGGGACTTGAGGAGGCATGGTAGAATAATGTGAGATTGGAATGAGAATACTGGAATACGTGGATGAGAGCAGTGGGAGATACGGTGCTCTAGTATTTATAAAGCATCAGCCCAATCCTTTTTGTGGGCACATGCGTAGAACCTTGAGCATGGTGCCAAAAAAAGTCGGATTAGGGCCCCTATTTTTTCGGAGGGTCTAGACATGGTGGATTACACAGTATGAGTCGGGACTCGCAAGCTGATAGCCTGTGCTTTGGAAAACGTGGGTTGGCAAAAGGAGGCTGCGGCTTGCATTGTGTTGTGTACGTCGCGGCCTGGTGGTGCGTGCCAAAACGCCCCAACTGAGCCGCAACACCTGGGCAACTTCACGACACACCTCGAATAGATTCAAACTTTTTGCCCTGACGCGTCTCTACACACGACCCAGTTTTTAGACTGGACAGGGGTTTCAGACTTTGCGCTCCCGCTTCCGCTCGCAGATGGGGGAGCCACAATTGCGCCGTAGTGCCTGTTGGCAGGCGATTTTGTGCGAGGTGCACAACTATTGCGTGCTAGGTGAAGGATGTTCAAGTGACTACTGAAAAGGCTGTGGCTTGCGTCCACCAGAACCTCACCGCCGCCGGCTTGCGTGGGGGTGCGGTCCGCCAGGAACACCGACGCTTGGAAGCATGTCGGCTGCGTCGCCGACGCAAGGCTTGCATCTTGCATCGACCAGACCGCGTCTTCATCGACCTTGGCAATAATGCAACAACCCCCAACGTACATCGTCGTGGCGACTACAACCCGCGCGCATGGCCTCCGCTGTCAGGCTGGCTATCTATGCACCTGGGGTAGCGGGTCGAGGTTCGGGGCTTGGGGTTATCCCGACGCCCATGCGAATTAGACATGTCGAGACCGCCATCGTATCCGTGTTGAGACGATGCCCTCCGCCTCGCCTCCTCGTTTCCAGATTCTTCGATTCTGGATCCCCCATGACTCGTTCACCGACTTGTCCTTCTGCGAGGATCCTGTCCAACGGCCACCAAAAGGATCTGCGGCCTGCAGCTGAGCCTCATGCATGCTGTTGCACGGCACATCATCCCCGCCATAGCTCTGCGTTGCAGCTATCAGATCGTCCTTAGCCTAAGCCCTAAGCATACCGACCGCCCAACGGAACTTTCTTAGCTTTTCCGCGCTACCTGTACCGCGTCAGTAGCGTCTCAACTGCCACCGGTAGTACTGTTTTCGCACAATCCGAGAGACGACCAACTGTGGGCGTGGGGATGCGACCTTGCGACGCGGTCCTAATCTCCACCGGAAATCGCAACATCACTAACAAGCCCGAAGATAAGCCTCGCAGCGACCCACGTCCACGGTCCGGGCTGTCATGGATATTGCGAGGTTCCACAAGCCGCATGTCCTAGAAGGAAGGCAGTAGCGACCTTGGACCTTCTTCCCGGGCAGCCACCATGGAGACCAGCTGGTCCATGCCATGGGGGTAGTCCGGAGAATACCTCTCTCGGCAGAAGAGTTCGATGCGAGCTTAGCGGCCCGGCTAGACCCCAGCTCAGCAATGTACTCATTTGCTTTTCGCCAGGTCATGGCCGCTCGAGACGGTCACCTGGGCATGGTATCAGCGCAAAAGGGCCTGTTCGCGAATCATACGACGGGGATATTGAAACGTGGGCGTTAGTCCGTGGAGGATGCCGCATGTTCTCATGACAACATCTCGATATGTGCACACTGCGTGTTACGGTTTTTGCTTTGTTAAGTTTTGGAGGTTCGTTGGGTGAAAGTTAATCAACCCCACGAGTACGCGTATCGTGATCGAACGATCTTGGCGACGCTATTGAAGAACGCGCAAGCCTCTACCGAGTCGGACTCAAAGAGATGGAACGGACGGAAAGGGGGATGCCAAACGTTTGTTTCTAATTGTTGCTCTCTATGCGGGTCACTACACGATGCCGAAGAAGGCATCGTACTGCTAAACAAGATCATGCAATTCTAGCTCGGCATCTTCCACCAAATTCACCGAAATGCCATCTCATGGAAGTGCCAAGAACACTTCTCGCATCTTATCATACCGCGGAGTCCCGAGTCCCGTAGCCGGATCCCATCCCGGACTCGCTGGAAAGCCATTCGTACCGCATCCCGGGTTACTGCCCTCAACAATGTCATTGAACATCTCCGGATACTTGTATATGATCGGGTTCAGAAAGCCAACAGGTCCTTTCCCCGCCTTCAGTCGCTCTTCATTGAGCAGATTGACGATGCTGGCAAAGATCGGTGCTGAAGCCGACGTACCACTTTGAGGTCTCGTAGTGTTGAGGACTACAACTGGCATGTTGAGGGCGTTGGCTGAGACGTCTGGGTATGCGCGACCGGAGCGGTTATAGACTTCTTGACCGTATACGGGAGCAAAGTTGTCAAGGTAGTTGAGGACAGCGTCGTCCTGGTAGCCTGGGCGGGGAAAGATGTTAGAAAAGCCACCACCAGAAAAATAGATTGCTTTCTCGCCGCCAGCAATGGTACGATTGCACATTCTCGTTCCACCGACCACGGTGACCTGTTGAAGATTAATAAAGCTGCCAAAGGAGATCGACAGGCCGAAAGGATGGGTGCTTACATAGGGGCAGCCGCCAGGCAACATTGGTGAAAAGTGCGCGCCGTTCGCCCATACCAAAGAGCCCTCATCATTCATGCAGACGTCCTTGCCTAGTCCAGATCCAACGCCGGTGTCTCCCGACCCGACAATGACGCTGACGCCTTGCAAGGCTAGCTTCATCCACTCCTGACACTGATGCCTTGCGTGGGACAGAGGAAGTGCGGCCTCATCTATAACGTACGAGAAGGATATGACATTGCTCACGGGCGCACCGCCGCATTGCAGGTCGTCCGTGTTTCCTTCACCCTGCCGATTGTCGCCCGGGGAAGGGCAGTGCGAAGGATCCTGGATGCGTTAGCAGTAGCTGCGTCATGTGGGAGATGGCAAGATACTCACCAAGGCGTCCTGAATCGCGTTGAAACCACCAACAGTCTGCACACCTTCCGAATCGCCAGTTGTGTACAATCTTACCTGTTGAGGATAGATGATGGAGTACGCGGTCTGAACATCCAAAGCAGTCTCAGTTACATCTCGAGCTATTGCCTGAGACAGGTTCCCCGGTTTGCCGCCACCAATGGAGATGAACTCTGGCTCGACATCCAGTGGAACCTGAGGAGAAGTGTAGTTCTTGAAAAATGCCGGAAGGTCCGGGTAATAGAGCGAGTCCTTGAACGCGGCAATACCAAGTTCGTTTCCGGTATTATTGTGGCTGGCAACGGGAACATTGTACATCGCGCGCAAGCAGTGGATGGTAAAAAGAGACAAACAGTCTGAGAGATCGTCGGGTCCACCGAGGGCAGAAGCATTGTCGTAGGCGGCCAGATTCGTTGTCACTGTTGCTGCCCGAGCCACTGGATGCAGGCCGACGAGCTCGGTTGTGGGCGTGATGATATTGACATGCTCACTGACGTGCTGTGGAAGTTCGTAACCATCGGCCCCAATATGGTGTTCGCCAGATTGGTTATCTTGGAACATGTGGTACTCCGTTTGAAGTAGTTTCTCAACCTCACCGACAGTGGCTGAGAACTTGATTCTAGTATTTCCTACGTATCGTCAGTTCTGGTATCTCTCTGGCCGGATAGATAATGACATACCAGCCGAGAGCTTGATGCGACTCTTCTCGATACCAGCTGCATGGACCCAGTCGAGAGTGGTGTTGATCGTCACTGGTAGAGGTGCAAACTTTTTGTTGACTTGCTCGGCGGTCCAGTGCTTTCCTTTCCGGCGTGTAAGTATATCGCATGTGATGAGTACAAGTCTATCTCACCGAAGTTGGGTGAGGTTGGGTCAGAGATATCCTGGACAAAGCGGGCGCCATGCTCCAAGTTCTGCTGCTTCAGCTCGATCCGCACCGCTAGTAGTACGTCATTCGGTGCACGTGAAATTCTTTGCATTCCTATCGGGTCTGCATCTCGCTTCTCGTGGACGACATACGAGCCAGTTGGGTAAGAGACAGCGATGGTGCTGAGAACAAGTAAGATCAAGACTAAGAAGCGCATAGTCGTTGAGATATATTGGGAATTTCCCATGGTTGGTGTTTAGTCGTGTAGATCTGGGTAAGTTTGTGTGTAGGTTGGAAGAAGCAATGAAGGAGAAGAAGTCATTCAACTTATACACTGCTACAGGTCTTTCTTTCGCGCTGGTCATAAAAACTGTACTTAGATTTGTGGGGTCGACGACCACGGTACTATGGTGGATCATCAGATCCTCCAAGTTTTGCATTGACGATACTCCGCATGCGAGAGCATCTGGTTACATGGGTGGATGTGCAATTCTGGAGTCGTGAGTGGCTCGTCGGGCGATTGGTCATCGCAGTACCAACACTTCACACAAAGAAAAGAGTGAACAGGCCTGCAGACTGCACTAAGATAATACGAGCAAGATAGAGAATTTGGTGGTAATGTAGGCTCCATCATGTTCGGTTTTTCCGTTGATTGAGGTGCCGGGTTTATTATTAGAGCCACCGGCGAAACACCTGGAAACTCTGAAGGAGAAAGATCACAGTGCTCAGAACCGAATGGCTTCGACTGGATTGGATATCATGGTAAGGCTTGCGAACCAACATCAGGCATTTTGTGCTCTCTCGACCGATGACAATGAGTCGCAGCCAATATAATTTAAACCTGAGTAGACCTCTACCACTGATATTTAATCCACCTTGATCATTTGATACAGACGTTTTGATTCGAACACGTGCACGCTGTGCAGATTTCTGTCGCTACTTGGCGACTACATCCTCTTCCCTCGGTATGTAAGCGTACTCCACGGTGGAGCAGGAGCCGTCACGAGACATTGAATTGTTTTGATGGCGATGAGTGGTAATGCTCAACATACTCATGTTGACCTCTCGGGTATGTATGGATTTGTGTTCCGGACATGTGAAATGGCTGCAGACCACCTGGGGTCTTCGTGTATCTGGTGGTTAGGGCCCACAAAATACGCGTACAGTACGGTCGTGGTAACAGCGCCTGTAAAGGCGATATTACCGCTTTGTTCGCGAGGTCTGATTGCTGCACACCGGAGAATGATCCGGTTAGGCTGACTCCAGGAAGTAGGGTGTGACGACAGTGGAGTGTCGCCAAGTTGGGCGACTCCCATTTCTGGGGGAAGGAACGAGGAGGACGGTCGAGATCTCTGGCCGAGGCAACGGGCCCGCTGAAGCGATGATATATTCATTACAATAACGCTATGTACGAGCTGACCACTGCTCTGTTGACGCCAAACAATGTATGCCAACACGATGGTCTGAGCCCAAATCAATATATACCGAAGTTTAGCAGCAACCTCCCCAACCCTGTTGCTTGCCCTTTTTACTCGCATCATTCAAGTTGACGCCTGCCCTATTCGCCCCGCCTCCCGGCCCCTTGACTCCACTCCTTCGATCGTTCAAGTCGTATCTGCCAGCTTCTATGTTTTGGTATATTCTCTCTGCGACTTCCAAGAAGGCTCGTTCCACGCCCTCTCCGCTCTTGGCGCTCGTCTCGACGTACTGCATGACGCCATTTGCTTTACACCACTCCTCGGCCTCTTCCTTTGTGACCTGTCGCTTGTTCGCGGCTTCCGAGTCGGTTACGGTAGATGACCCCGCGAGATCGGACTTGTTGCCCACGAGCACCACCACGATGCCTTCCTCGGCGATTTGCCGCAAGTCGTGCAGCCATGACGTGGCGGAAAGGAAGGTGTTTTTGCGCGATATATCGAATACTAGCAGCGCGCCCGATGCGCCCCGGAAGTAACTTCTTGTGATGCTCTTGTACGTCTCCTGGCCTGCTGTATCCCATAGCGAAAGCTTCATGTGCTTCTGCTCCTGCTTTTGTTTCGACGGCGATACGGGCGCTTGCGCTTGTGAGGATTTGGAGGGGTTGTTGATGCTCAGGGAATGCGACGCTGGTGGGCCGACAGGAACGATGCGCGATCCGAACTCTACGCCGATAGTTACGTCGTGGTGTGGTGAGAAGCGGCCTTCGCAGAGGCGGACTGTAAGCTATGAGGAGTTAGCATGGAGGCCCTGGGTAACGGGGATGGTGTCGCATACACTTGATTTACCACATCCTGAATCGCCCAACGATACGATCTTCGCTATGTAGTCCCACGGCTGCGCCATGATGATTTGTGACGCCGTGTGGCTGGTGTAGCAGTCGACCTCAGGTGCAGGCTTATGGGGTGGTTCACAGCAGATCCAATAGACGTGTTCGAACAGTAATTATTATTCAGGATGTATGTAGTGCAAAGTAATTCACAAGTTAAAGCCTTGGTTGAGTTTGACAGGAAGCCAGTTGGACGATAGTGAGTGAGTGAGATAGGTCAGGGTCCCGGCCATGCGGTCATAGCTCGGCAGCTGCTTGAGCCGCAGTCGAAATCGAAGGATGCGTCCCATGGCAAATATCAAAAGCATGTCACACTTTACTTTGCGCAAGCTTCGAATATATGCCATCTTGCTTTTCTCTGTAGCTTTGATTGATTGCCACTACGAAACATGAGCGTGACAAACATGAGGTCGGGTTGCCTTGACTCGAACAACCACTACAAGGAGAAATTTGCTGTCAAAGGAGCACGACTAGAAGAGGATAAATTTGTCTCAAGACCCGTAGAGACAATTTTACCGAATGCTTTGCATGTGAGGTGGAGCATTGATGGGGGCTAGGGAATAGCGCGTGCCTTGCATGTTCACGAGGTACGTGAGCCCGACAATCGATAACCCGACGCGCTCGCTTGGCATGATGATGAGATGAGCAAGCATCACTCCAGCGCACCCGGCCAACCACTCAACCCACCACCTAGGCGGGCTAGAGCTTCCTGCTGTCCTATTGCTACCACCCTACCACCCCCATCTCTACCATCTCCAGCTGGACACTGCGCACTCTGCCGGCCTCCAGCTGCATGTCTCTTAGGCTGCGTCATCCGCGGCTGCCTCTTGTACTCCGGTACCCTTGCGCTCGACCGCCTCACGACCGCTGACCTCGCACCTGAGCCACCTTCGCTTCGGGACTTTCCTCGCGATAGATATACCTGGCCGCCATCGCCGAGCTCAATAGGCATATAGACATCTATCGCGCACTTTATCTATCATGTTCTCTGAATGTAAGTGGACCTGGTGCCTTATCGGGTACATGTGATAGATCCGCCGCCTGTGTCTTGGGTTGCTTGTGGACTCGCGTGACTGACGTGCGTGCTCCCCAGATGCATCCAAGTTCCTCTCCCAGTCTCAGTCACGGCTGTCACTGGGTCAGCCCGAGCCGAATTCAAACCGCAACGCCCCCGACAGGCAGCGCCCGTCCTCGCGCGCGTCCCAAGCTTACCTCCAGCGTCGCAACATGCCCAACCCATACAACTCGCAGGCTATGAGCCGCTTTGCCTTCGCTTCACGAACATCCAACGCGCCCGCGCCACTATTCTACTCCGCCACCGATGACTTTCGCGAGGAGGACGACCATGCCGAGCACGACAGAGACCTAGCAGACCATTACGCGCTTCAACGCTCGCGGCGGCAGTTTGGCGCAAGCAATCTATCCGAGTCATCGGAGGTCGATGATGAACATGGCCAACGATCCGATCATACAATAGGTGCGGACAGGGACGAGAATGAGGCCCCCGGATATGGTCTGGGGAGAGGGATTAAGAGCTCCTGGAAGGGCGACAAGCCAGTTCGTGGAAGATCGACCGTTATCAACAACCCAGAAGACGAGGAAAGAGAGTCAAGTGTACCGCTCTCTGAGACTACAGACCGCAGCAGCAGGGGGAGAGGCCACCTCGTAGATGTGGAGCTTGATTCCACAGATCGGGGGAGTATAGAAGAGTTGGACCGAGACGAGCTCCTGGGTCACCAGGACGAACCACCGCCACCGTTCCAACAGTTTCGCAATATGCCTAGGCCGAAACGCGGTCGCAGCCCACTACGAAGTACTTTACCGATACCACAGGAAACAGACGAAGACACTCTGCTCGAACACCCACGCCCAATAAGTCCGGATCGCCAGACCGTTCCCGACGACGTACCAGAGAACCCAACATCAGCGCCGCGACACAACTTTTTTTGGGCTGAGCTCTTTATAATTGTGCAGTGTGCCATCTTTGGCACATGGATCATCTCTTTTCTCCAAGAGTCGCCACAGAACAAGAAGAACCCACTGGGCGACACGATATATACTGTCTTGCATTCGTCGTTTCACCTCATTGGTGTGTACTCGCTGGTTTCGGTCATTGTCGGAGTCCTATGGCTATCGCTACTTCGGTCCTTCGCTCGGCCCTTGGTGCAGTTGATGTTACTGGCGGTACCAGTAATTTCGTTTTCCTTCTTTGTATACCCTTTCGCATCAAGCTTCAAAGGGTCATGGCATGGCGATAGCGTACAAGACCGGCTGATGCGCTGGCTTTCGTTTGGGCCCTTGTGCTTCGCTGGTTTCTGGGTGTACACCATCTTCAAGGCACGACATTCTTTAGACAAAGCTACAGGCATGTTGGAGTTCTCGAGTGAGATCCTGAGAGCGCAATTCCCACTGCTACTCGTGGGTATTGCAACACTAGCTGCTGTGATACTCTGGTCGTGGATATGGATCCTCATGTTCACACGTCTATTCCTTGGCGGCCATTTTGCTAGTAACAAGTCCCGATGGATCATCGATGCTAGTACGTGGTGGCTTGGTGTTGCATTCTTTCTGGATTTTTTCTGGGGGTTGGCGGTCATTGCGGGTGTACAACGCGCCACAACAGCAGCCACGGTATCTCAATGGTACTTCCACCGCAACAGCGTGCCTGCACCCGCGGCTAGAACGGTGGTCCAAGCCTCCCTCAGTCACGCGACCTACACCATGGCCGGCACGATCTGTTTGTCAACACTGATCTCACTCATGGTCCGCCTTCCCCTCATCGTACTTCCAAGGCGACTGGCGGGTATGATTGGCATGTGCGCATATTCAGTCGTGCCGACGCCCATCGCTGCGTTAACGAACCCGCTTACCTTGACCTACGCTTCCATCCACGGTGTGCCTCTTAATCAAGCTGCGCGCGGCCTGTCACAGATGAACTTCATTTCCGCTGCTTCGCCAACCACAACTCTTGGCCCGTCCTCGTTCAAAGACCACGGACGACCATCGATACAGTCATATCGTCTGGCGAAGTTGCTTCTCCACGCCATTCGCTGGGTTATAACATTATCTCTCGGGTTTGGCGGCTGGGTCTCGACTGCACGCATGCTCCAAGTCGGCGGTACTGTACCATACAAGGGCAGTCTTTATGCATACGTCGTTGGTCTTATCAGCGCGGCCATCGGCTGGGGTGCCCTAGGTGCAATGGAGGGAGTTCTCGGAGGTATCCTGGACGCAGTGCTTGTATGTTGGGGAAGCGAAGTTGGAACAGACGGGCAAGGAGAGGCTCGGTACTGTGTTGATGCTGGGCGGCTATTCGGAAATGAAGTCACGGGGCAAGGTCGGGGAAGATACGAAGTCTAGAGCATGGTTTTGTTTGCATCATCGGCGTTCAGCACCAGAAGAATCTGGATAACAGAAGCGGTTTTGGCGCTTGGGTATACCTATCGTTTATCTTTCTCAAATCGCTTTTGCTGTCAGCAATAGCACTCGTATAGTTTTGTTCAACTGAGATTCTTGTGCATGTTGCCTGACCACGATCAAGTGATGACCTTTCAATGCGTTTGGAGCTGCGGGAAGACGTACTTAGGTAGACATTGGTGTACGCTAATCACGTCACGGCTGGATGCGGCACGCTAGCCGGTAACGCTCAGCCCCAGCGCAACCTGAAAGCACCGCGACTTCCCTTCGGCTATTATCAATTTCTATTCTCTCACCGCTCTCCACCCAATCCTCCGTGGTGTGATTTTGTATCGGACTGCATCGCTTTATCCAACACGATCATGAATTATAGGAAATCTCGATGCTCGGACTACTGCGCCTGTGCAGAGACGTCGAACGGATGGCGTAGCTACAGGAACATCAACTTTGACGTAGTATACTGTGAGTTTCATCGAAATCAGTCATTAGAAAGGCGTGTATTGATAGGAATGAGTAGTAGTACGAGGTGCGGCAGACAGTCGCAGTGCCAGATAATAAGAGTGGTGAATATTGGAGCCTCCTCATACGTGTCCGTCTGCTACTGACACACCTAACGGCTGAATCGAGAGTCAAGGTTACGTGACAGTCACTGATTATATCTATGTCCAGACTTTGGCCTCTGCGCATGCTATGTGGAGCCGTCCTGCGGTCCCGCCCTGGTAACACAGAACTCACGTCTGTGCATGGCAAGGCGCGACTTCCCATATACCCGGGCTGACACGATGAATATCATTGAAGAAGCCTTACTCAGAGATGTGCAGCGGAGTGTCTGAATGCTAGCGAACTTGACTCACATTGACTGGTAATGTTCTACTGGTAGAATGGTGCTCGATAATGCTCGCGAGCTCTCTTTCTCGCTTGGTAGACCTCCCCTTGTCCAATCTACAGAGAACCAACTGCTGTAGAGCCTGCAGAGGCTCTCTTGAAGCGGCAGGAAGTCATCATAGACGTTTCAAGCGAGATATGAGCGTTGTCGCGTCAAACTACCTCTAAAGTCATCTTATGACTGGGAATCAACTTCAGTCAGTATATGTGACCCAGGGCTTTTCTTGTATAAAAGCTGGATCACATCTCCTAAGCTTTATATGCATGCCAGCTTCACTTCTATACTTCGTAAACGACCATCATCATACCTTCGCTCTCAATGTCTCCATCTCCACAGCCTGTCATGAGCGGTTTCTCCGAGCATACCCTATTTCAAGTCCGGTTCTATCAATGGCAACGGAATCGGCACTGTGTTTTCGGGAATTCGGTCGAGGAACGACAGCATATGCGCGAACGGTTATTGTACTATCTAGAAGATGTCAATAAAGTCAATAAACACGGCGTGGACGAGAAACACCTTGACATACACCTTCACGCATGGCAGAAAGAGGAAATCCGCAACTACAACGTTAACGACGACCAAGACAGAGAACTATTCAGCATTATACAGGAGCGACATCCCAACGAACCGGTCGTGAAGATGATCCAGTCGCCCACTCCAGGTAGGGTGTATACCTTCACGAAAATGTCGATGCCTAGAGAATACGCAAACGATGACTACAATACAAACAAGATTTGGGTCGAAGATTCCGATGCCGATCCCGATTGAGAGAAGCAAGTCAAGCTCTGGGTTGAAAAAGGCCATATGAGCCTGGAGTACCGGGATCATTTCCGAAGCTTTGTGGATGGCGAAGCCGCTATTGAATATGCAAAAGAACAGCTTGATAGAAATAAAAGCGCTTCTCGGATTAGCAAAGTGGTGTCGGGGATTGAAGAGTATTTTTGGATCGGTGTTGTTCTTGAGAGATGCCATTCTTCGGAAGAGTCATCTAAGCCCGTTCACGCAATAGCACGGATATGTATGGTCGATTCATGGCAGACTGAGGGGTCAAAGCGACCATGAAACACAGTGCTTTTTGTCGATGGCTACGGTCTCGGCAACATAGCACTGGATGGATAGCAACTTGCGTTGTTCGAAGATGTAGTCGATCAGTAGCAACAGACTGTATGCTTTGTTCCACAGCTGCTGCGCAGAATAGACTGTGAACAACATTAGGTTGTTTCCATATATACGAAACATGTACGAAGTAACTTCGTAGTGTGCTCACGTACCTAGGTAATGTCCAGTTCTGAGGGGGTGCACGTAGAAGCCTGCGTCATGGCTCGGTTGGTGGCTAGCGCGAGTCGACGCGTAGTGAAGCGGGACCCGATCAACACGGCTACTGCAGCCCAAACACGACTCGGCGCAGCGAACAAGCAACACCAAAAGTGCCCCAGGCTCCATGGAGTGCCCTGCCCGCCAACATGTCCTCCCGCAACGTGCCCACCATGAAGTCGCTGTCCAGCGCTGATCGCCGCTCCGTCAATGCCAATTACACGTCGACTGCGCGACCCCGCGTCGCTTCTGGAGAGGAACTCGACCGCCGCAGCTCCACCACTGCAGCGTCACATGCCAGGAAACAGTCAGCACCCATGCGCGCAACAGGCGCTTCCTCGGGCGAGCGTCGCGTAGAGAAGAAGGAGGTGCGCGAGCGGGAGACGGAGATCAGGCGCACCAAGAGCCCGTTGAAGCATGCCAGTGAGAGTAGGGTGAATGCGCGAAGCCGCTCAGAGAAACTACCGCGCGACGTCGACCGACCCTCACGCAGCGCCGCCTCGCAGAAGTCTATTCCCGAAGAGCCCCAGACGCCATGGGAACCACAGGCTTCTTTGATACCACACACGACCGCCCCGCTAGCGACGCGCATCTCAATACCGCCGCTCGCATCCACCGCTCCAATATCGCTGCAGCCAACACCCCTCGCAAAACTATCGCTAGAAGCGCAAGAAAAGGCTATACTGGAAGATCTGTTGTTCGTGTTCATGGGTTTTGAGGGACAGTACATTCGATTCGGCGATGGCTACAATCCCCACGAAGAGAAGGAGCGTCTGGTAGGGCCACAGTTCCGTCTGATGCCCGGCCTGGACCCTAGTCTGAGGGATTTGACCAAGTCGATGCTAAAGACTGCCACACACTACATTGCCGTCGAGACCTGCGTAGAGGTGCTCAGTCGGGAAGAGTACGGTGCCGTGAACCATGCCTTGTGCGCGGCTGTACGACGGTTGCTCAAGGACTATCTCATCCTTGTTGCCCAGCTTGAGCACCAGCTGCTGACGAACGAGTCCTTCACTTTGCACGTCTTGAGCCTCCATACCAAGCAGACTAGCCACATGCTCTTCCAGCTCTACACAACCGGGATCGAGCTGCTCAAGGCTAACGGCATTCTTGAGGACGAGAAAGACGAAGACTCGGCTGATGACGACAGCAATGACTTCGAAAACATCTTGGAGTCGTTGCGCGAAGGGGGCAATGCGGCTAAGAAGCTCTGTAAAGGTGGAAGCGTGTTAGGTCTCATCACCAAACGGCTATCGTCCATGTCGGGAGATCCAGCGGCTCGTGCACTGTTGACCACACTCTTGCGAGAAGCTAGCAGACCGTATATGGCTATGTTGAACGAGTGGCTGCACCACGGCGGCATCAAAGACCCGCACTCTGAGTTTCTCATCAAAGAGCAAAGAAGCATCAAGCGAGAGAGATTAGACCAGGATTATACAGACGAGTATTGGGAGAAGAGATATACGATACGTGATGCCCTGGTACCTCCTCAGCTTGAAGCCGTCAAAGACAAGGTGCTTCTGGCAGGAAAGTACCTCAACGTTGTAAGGGAGTGCGGAGGCGTCGACGTTAGTAAAGTCGTGCAAGACGCGCCTACCAGCTTCGACGATCCACGCTTCCTAGACAACGTCAACTCCTCATACGCATACGCAAACTCCTCGCTGCTCAACCTACTTCTCACAACACACCAACTGCCGGCACGATTACGTTCACTAAAGCACTACTTCTTCCTCGATCGTTCCGACTTCTTCACCTACTTCCTCGAGATGAGCGAGCTTGAGCTCAAGAAACCAGCAAAGCATGTCAACGTCGGCAAGCTGCAGTCGCTATTGGATCTCGCCACTCGACATGCTGGATCAGTCGCTGTGGAAGACCCATACAAGGAGGACATCAAGGTTCAGATTAATGATACTGGACTCACAAACTGGCTCATGAAGATTGTCAACGTCCAGGGTCTTGACCAGGATGCCGCCACCGCTACATTGTCGAATTACACACCTGCAAACTCGGCGCCGATCACTGATGACACGAACATTACTGGATACCAAGCACTAGTCTTTGACTACGCCATGCCCTTCCCGTTATCGTTGGTCGTCAGCAGAGTCACGCTTACTCGTTACCAACTACTTTTCCGATACCTACTGAGCTTGAAGCACCTCGAAACGGATCTAGCCAAGTGCTGGGGGGAACAAGGCAAGAATGCCGCCTGGAAGCACCGATCGAAGAACCCGCGGATTGAACAGTGGAAACGTCGAGCGTGGACACTAAGAGCGCGTATGCTGGTCTTCGTCCAACAACTTACCTACTACTGCACATCCGAGGTCATTGAGCCTAATTGGGCATCGTTGATGTCGCGGATAAGCGAGGAAAAGAAGCAGGATGCAAGGGCCAAAGGGAAGGCAACGGAGGATGAGAGCGGCGGGCCTCAAGTGAAGCGCACTGTGGACGAGCTGATGCAGGACCATGTTGACTTCCTCGCGACTTGCTTGAAGGAATGCATGCTTACTAACAGTAAGCTGCTCCGAGTAAGTCAAACAATACTTTTACAGCCTGTATGGCTGCTAATCACCTTCAGATCAACAACAAAATCATGTCAACATGCAGCATGTTCGCGTCCTTCACCTACTCTCTCTCCCGCTACCTTGTCACCGGCGATCCCGACCTAGTCGCCCAGGTCAACGCCTCTTTCGCTCCTCCTCCCGCCAAGAACTCCAAAAACCCTGCTGCTACACTAGTCGCTTCTACACACAGACCCACAACGCAGTTCGTATACGACCCCCAGCGTGTCGACAAGATGTTCGACATGCTAGCCAAGTACGAGGAGAACTTCACCCGGCATCTTAAGATCCTGCTGGATACGCTAAACTACCTTGCTGCTACTGAGACAGTGGTCTTCTTGAGTCTTTGCGCAAGGTTGACGAGTGCTGGAGAAGGGTTGAGTGGCTTCCAGGTACCCATGGGCATGGAGGGTATTGCCTAGTAGGCTTCGGCTTTGTGGGCATTAGGCGTTGTTTGATGCATTGCATTTATTCTGGGTTATTGGTATGGGTTATGGATTCAGTCTGCAAGGCGCCAAGCGAGCGATACCATAGTTGTTTGGAATAAGACGCAACGAATTACGGCCACAAGTTCTCTAGTATCTAAAGTGCAGCATTACATGGCATGTTTGGTGCATGGACAAGGCATTTGCTCATGATCAATGTGATGGTCATTGCATAATCTACATGAACGCTTCTAGTGCTCCTTGAACGGGCATCCCTTATCAGCACTAGAGCTCTTCGTCTTCTCCTTGACCAACTTCCAAGTGAAGTCCATCAACTGCTCGCCCAGCTTCTCATTGTTCGCCAAGTCACTACCAGGCTCCCGTATCGCAGGCGGGCAAATGTACTCGCCAGTACCTTCTGTCTTGGTGGCCGCGTACATGGTACTTACGCAACCTTCGAATTGCGTCTTCTTGAACGGCGCCATACCAACGCTCATAGCGTAGCCGCCCAACGGGTAGGGTTCGTGGATCATGTCGACAGACTGCCGTGTCTCAACGAAACCGGGGTGTGTAGCGTTGGACAAGATGTTGGGGTGCGAGGTAGAGAGATGGCGAGCCAGGTAGCGTGCGTACAGGATGGAAGCGAGCTTTGTGCGGCCGTACTGTGCCATAGCGCCGAGATCCTGGTTTAGCTCGTCGATAGATTCAAACTTGACGTCCTTGGGCGCGCTCTCGTGTGCGTTGGATCCGAGTTGTACAAGACGGACCTTGTTGCCCTTGTCGGCTGTGGATTTGATCAAAGGCAGAAGATGGGAGGTCAGGACTACATGGCCCATATGGTTAATAGCCATGTGGAGATCGACACCGTTCTTGGCAAGCTGGTATGTCATGATACCTCTCGCGGCGTTGTTGATCAGGATATCAATCCGGTCTGTCTTCTTGGCAATCTCGAAAGCGACCTTGCCGGTTGCTTCCCAGTCTGAGAGATCGCACTTCATCCATTCGACTCTGCTGGCCTTGTCCTCGCCCATCTCTTCCTTGATGGCTTTGAGCGCATCGTCGATGATGTCTTCACTCATGGAGATGATGAAGAGCTTCTTGATATTATGTGAGAGGAGGGTATGTGTGCATCCGTAACCAATTCCTTCTGAGCCACCGGTTACAACGGCAACTTTGCCGCTGAGATCTGGCACTTCCTCGAGAGAGAATCGCTGATCCGCGGGTGCGAGGTCATGGGCGCCAGAGACGACCTTGCCAAGATTCTCGGCGATGGCGTTCTTTACTGACTGCATAGTGGAGGACGTTTCGACTGGACCTTTAAAGCGGTCGTTATTGTTTGGGGGAGTTGATGAATAAGCTCTGGAAGTAGTAGAAGTGATCCTGGCAGCGGATACGCGTGGTAAAGACGATGTAGTTTTAGAAGATGACTTGCAGCAACGCAGGAAGACGGCACCCCTAAATAACTTAGTAGACTGCATGGTTACAGCATGTGTCACAGGACAGCAGCAACAATCGTATTAGCACAAGATCTGAGATCATGGTGTACCGTGACGAGCCGCAGTCCGCGGAACAAAGCAGCCAATGCCATTTTGTCTTGATGTCAGCACTTTTTCCTTTTGGCGCGTTCCTGGATGCTGTGGAGCTCGCATTGGGAGCGGATCGTTGATGATCTCGTCATGACGCGTTGATGGACGCCTACATGCCTGCATGTTGGCGAGGCTGGAGATCTGGAACTATGACGTATTGGGCATAGTGGGGCAGTTGTTATCGATACGGACGCGACTTTCGAGGTCAGCTTCACGCGACGTTGGAGTCTCCTAGTCGAGTGGACGAGAGCCTTGTCGTTGCTCTCATCCACGCCACTATGGTGGGACCGTTCGATGCATACGGAGACACCAGGCAAGCACGTTCTCAATTGAGTGAGTGCATCCGCGGAAAGACAGCAAACGCAATGGCTCCTTCTCAACACCGCAAGCTGGGCAATGAATGCGAGCGATTGGAAAGCGACACAAACCCAAACAATACTGCAGACTTACCAAAACCTCAATATTACTGTTTCATTGCTGTCAGCTTCAAAACTCAGTCGATCGAACAATGTTGAAAGCAGGACCGGGAAAGACCACTAACATGCTACAGAGTGCGATTTCACATCATCTTCACCCAGACCGGGCCGCCATGATCTCGTCAGCCGACGAATCCTCATCGACCTCACGTCGTCAGAGCGCCGCTAATGCACCGGCATTCAAAAAACCACCCACGAGCACCACGCCTCTTCCACCCGATGTGGCAGCCGCTCGCAAAGCTCGCATGAATGCCGACTTGATCAATACCTTCAAGAGCACTTGCCCGCCCGGTACAACCCCCTACGTAACAGGTGTCGGATTGTATACCCACATTGAGGGCGCACCACCCCAATCGCGCATATAACCCGACGAGAACCCGGAGCCACAACCCGAATTCTTTCCGATACGAATACCAGAGGGTCGAGGCAACGAAAGCTCACAACCGGACGAAGAGGTCCAAAAGCTATGGAATGAACTCGAGCTTGCCATCGAAACAGAAGAAGGGATGATTGCTACAACCAAACTTGGGCTCAAGGAGCTCAGGAAGCGGTATTGTGCTCTTCCTCCGCCTAAGAACTCGAGGTCACCAGTACAGCACATTCAGCAGCAGCCGGATGTGACACAGGGAGACATAGCAGCTCAAGGTGGTATGATAACGAGCGTGGGAAGCACGAGTGCCCCCCCCTACCACGCGAGGCCAGTCGCTAGCTGGCGTAATGGTCACCCTTGCGGTAGGAAATGAGAACGCGGGCAGAGGAAGTACCGAGGCGGAACAAGGCAGACCGACGACCACTACATCGACTACGGGCTTCTATGCACCGGATCCACGCAGACAGGGACGATGAGGTCGCGGTAGGATGATGGCAACTCCACAACAAAGCACACGGGACTATAATCGAAACTGGCCATCGAAATGACTTTGTTCTGGGCCCGGACTTCGTCTAGTTGCATCGCCAGCGTAAGTTTACCATGACAATGACGCGCCGGGGTTTGAAGCTGTAAGTATATACCATTACATTGATGCTACCGTGCTTCGATCCTGAACGAATTCCTATACCACGAACTGAGAAACTAAAGTATCATACGTACTTCGCTACATGTATCTCTGAAACATTTATCCTTTGACGCGGCGAAACCCAATTACACAGCTCACATATCCCGTTCACGAATACTTCCACCCTCAAGATCCACATGCCCTGCTCGCCCGCATGTCCCATAGCTAACCGCAAACCTGTCAGTGTTCCCAGCCCGCAAGCTGCGTCGTATGAACGAAGTATTGCGCATCTCATACCTGATTAGAACGATGAAGATCAGCATCACCAACGCAATGGCGAGTCCCATCATGACAGCGAAGAAATGGTCTATGGCATTTGGTTCAAGATCGCGCGGATTGGATACCATCCTGCGCGCACTTGGACCGGGATCAAACGATGTGAAGGGGCGGAGAGTGAAATGACGGATTGATTGAGCACGATATCGATCTGTTTTTGGAGCATTGTGGTGGCGTTGTTATGGCAAACTGCCGTGCCAACGTGTACATATAGTGGGACTGTAGAAGAATGTTGGAGTGACTAGAGGCACGAGAGCATTACAAGAGGTCACGCCAGAATCCGGAGATGACCAGTTGGGTTTTGCTGGAACAACCTATACTGTCGAGTGAAAGCACATCCATGATTTTAGTGAAAGACTCATGGTCTCGTTGCTTCCGCAGGCATCTCTTAAAAGTCCACCAGCGGCCAGATACATACACTCCTCAACCCAAGCTTACAATGCCCCCTTCTCTGGATGCGCGCGTCTTCTCATGGCCTATTGAAAGCAATGCTCGAACCGGCGAAGCAGCTACTGCCAAACATCGGAGCCCTTATCCTCGCGTTCTTAGTGTGGCTCGAGCTCAAGACTGGAGTCGTCCTTGCCTTCTTCGCGCTTTACGATAAACACCCCCACTTCATCTACATCCTTTTTCTGTCAATCAGCGTCGGAGCTTTGTATAGGCTTGTTCGCTTCTTCCTCCGACGACAGCGTACACCAAAACCCGCCGAGGTCTTCAGCTCGTCACCATACAGACACAGGCGCAAAGAGACTCCCATGTTTCCACCAGGTATGGAGTTCAATCAAGTTCAGGAAAGATGGAGGAGAGGGTATGGAGAAGCCATTCGTGGAGCGGCGGGAATTTGGGGCCTGCAGACCGGAGGAGGTGCCTCCCGTGCGGAGACCGCTATTCAGCGTTCCTACAAGTACCTTACCACCGGCGCAGTCGAAGAGACCGCAAGTGAATGCGACGTTTGGAAAATCAGGGTGGAGCTAGAATGTCGGCAGAGATATGTGGTTGTTTATGGGCAAGCCTAGGGTATGTGTGACGTCGCCCGGCGGAGACGTCGATGATCGAAATATCGCTGTACTACGGCAATGCTTGAAATCTTGGGACTCTAATAGTGAAGAGCGTTGGAGGAGTGCAGTTGTTGTCACAGCAACTTCGTGGCAAACCACGGCCTGGAGCCTACTCCAAGAAGGTGGGTCAACAGTGATTGATTGGTCCATGCTGCTAGCATTGGTTTGTTTGACTGGTTTTCATCACATGAGACATTAGAAAGGGTTGAGAAACAACTGATTCACCCACTCGAGAGGGCCGTGCGGCACTCAAGCGCCTTTACATTACAATAATCGCTCGCAGTCGCCTATTACTTTTAAGCCCCATTCAATCCTTTGCGTCCAACTTCCCACCATTCGATCCGATCACCAAGAATCAATTGGTGCCTTATACCACCATGTCTAGCTTGTTTATCAACTCCGAGCCGCCTACTGCGGTCGAGCGCTACGTCCGGGACACCATGGACTCGTTCAAAGGGTTCTTCGCTCACCTTTTCTATGGAACTTTTCTGGAATATTGGCTCCTTGACCCCAATGGTCAGGCTTATACCCTCTTCTTGTCGATGATGCTCGGCGTTTCGATGTGGCTCCTCATCCTGAACCAGAACCCAAAGTCTGTCGTATCTTCAAAGCCCAAGCAGAACTGGCGAGAGAGCGAGGCGACGGATACAATGGATATCGATGGCGAGGAATATCATGGCAACGAACGTCAACCATCGACTCCGGGTCCCTCATATTTTCCCCGCGAGGAGACACCTATCATGCGCAAGCTAGCACCTCCCGGACACCGTCCTGTCAATGCACACATTGAAGGCTCGCCTTTTCGAGTAAAGCAGCCTCTTGGACCCCGTCCTGCTCATTTTTCATCACCCGTTCATCAATCTCCCTTTACGGTCAGCTCAAGACTCTCCAAGGCATTCTCAACTAGACTCTTGCAGCGCGGAAACATGTCAGATCTCGACACAGACGCTCCGATATCTTTCAAATCTCCTCAAGAAGCTATCACGTTGAACGAAGATGGAACATCCAGTGAGGCGAACACGCAGAGCCCTGTTGTCGCAATCTGGTCGAATGAGGGCGGCCGGCGTTATGATCGAGCGACCTTGAGGCGCGAGCTGGCTACCAAATATCTTTCCTAAGGTTGTCGCGTTCTGTGATTCACCCTACGTGCATGATCGCAGCTAGTCAGATGATAAGTTGGTTTCTGCGCTCCGAAGTTCGGGAAGGTGGCACGCGTAGGTGAGAGAAAGTGCGATAGCGATAGAGGAAGCGAGGGCCGATGGATGGGGAAGTGCCTGCCTGCGTCATCGGTAACACAAACAATCAACACGTGATAGTAGATAAACAAGCGCATGTGCATCCACGACAAGCAAAAACCTCTCTTTCTTCCTTCCTCATCTTACCATGATCGAGTGACAGTCTCGCAAAAGCAACTCGCGATGGCTGCATGCACGAGCTGCAACGAACCAACTAACCTCGATTGTCGTGGGGATGTTATAACCACGCCATACACCGGTATAGGAAGCGACCTGGGTCTATGCCGAATGTGCCGTTGGAGGCGACAGACAGACGCTTGGGCGACTGCGCCAGATTGGAACGCCCTCTTACAGCTGAACCTACTCTTCATCCGCGGGGAAGTTGACATCAATCCAGACCACCTTGGTCCCCTCAACGAAGAGTCCATGACGCTCGTAACTGGCCTCATCAAATTGCATGAGTACGGTATTCTCACATGCAATTCCCAGCCGTTCGAGAAGTCCAGCGATTTCATCACCGGCAAGGGCTGGCTCCAGAAGCGACAGCGTCCTTATCTGCACTTCATGCTCCCGACATTACACCCGGATATCTCCATTGACAGTATTGATGATCTCATTGAGAGTCTTTTCACTGACAGAAGCATTCTCGTGTCTGTTTACTCAGAGTGCGACGAGTACGACAGAACATACGACATCAGATGGCGCCAGCGAGTCGTGCCACTGACCACTGGTCTCGACCGCGATACTTACGACTTCCGTACAAACGCGTTCTGGAATAAAGAGACTGTTACCATAAGCCGACGTGCGAAGACTTCCAAGGGCTTGATGAAGAAAGCCTGGGAAGAATGTACCTTCTTCCCATACACCTCCGCGGCCTTCTTGACGCCTCACGCTAATCAGTGCGGTCGCGCAAATGACGGCAGCAACTTCGAGGCTGCTGTAGCCATGAGACCCTTGGCAATCGGTATAATGGCACGGAAGTGGGGCGTGGATCTCGATCTCCAGGACCTCTTGCGACGGCATTGCGAAGAAGCGGGCTTAGGGAGTGTGCTGGATGTTGAGTCGAGGATTGGACGGCAGCACATGAACTTTGACGGGCAAGGTGATTCGGGATGTTCAGGGTGAAAGATGGCCTCATGTTGTATGTTGATGCTTTTCGTGCTCATGGTCATCTCAACAGCGACTGTGGTTCAACAGAGGTTGGGGGGATAAAGGCTCCGGAGTCAGAAGATGACAGGTATCGGCGAAGGCATCGTCAACGCAGCACCTCTTGTCGCTACCCACTCTCACTGTGGCGATGGAGAATGTAATCAAAATGTGTTGGTTTCTCCAGTCTGAATGCGTACCTTCATATGCCGCGCTCTTGTTTCACTTACGAGAAGAGAAGACGTCAGGACAGGAATTGGTACCTGCCTAAAGCGGTAAAGCGCATGTAAACCTCAAGGGCGCAGTTCCGACCCATACTTCAGGCTTCTAAAGTATCTCGAACATTCCTTTTGTTGTTAGGCCCTCCATAATCTGGAGTGACTCAATAGACCATCTATCGCGGCAGGCGAGCATAAAAACGTCGCATGTATTGTCGACTTTCCAGGTACCCAGCGTGCGCAATCCTCTTCCGCGGCACTACAACACGAACACCAAAACGAGCATCACCGATCCGCCACATCTCCAACAAAAGCACCAAGAATTCCACCTTCCATAGCTTCCAACCCATCACCATAATGGCAGACCCTCTCTCCCAAAGAACGGACCCCCTCTACCAAAAAGACGGCGGAAAACATACCCACACCTCTCCCATAACCTCAATCCACGCACTATCATCCCTTTCCCCAGAAACCCAGTCCCTGTTCAAGCCGCCACCAGAAACTGAACCCTACATCCTAACAACACCCTCGACAATCTTCCACGCCCAAGGCGGCGGCCAACCCTCCGACACAGGAACAATCTCTTCAGGCAACACAACATTCCACGTGCACCAAGTCCGCAAGGTCGATCCCGCAATCCTGCACATGGGCGTCTTCTCTCCCTCTGACCAAAAGTTCTCGGAAGACGGAGAACAAGTAGAAGCAGAGCAGAAGATCGACACATCGAAACGCCACCTACACTCTCGGATCCACACCGCCGGCCACGTCATCGGCCTCGCAGTCGCCCATCTCAAGACCACTGGTTCAATTGCTCCCGACGTCGTCGACGGAAAAGCGTCGCACTACCCCGGTGCCGCATTTGTGGAATTTTCAGGCCTCATCCCGGGAGACAAAAAGGGCGAAATTCAAGCTAGAGTCGATGAGATGGTAGCCGCGGACATGGACGTCAAAATCCATTTCTGGGACGAAGACAAGGCGAAGAAGGAGTGTACGGGGGTCATGGAGGCGCTGAAAGGTGATGAAGAGGATGGCGTTAGGGTTGTGGAGATAGGAGGTGAGGGGAGTTATCCGTGTGGCGGGACGCATGTGCAGAGGCTGAAGGAGTGTGGGAGGGTTGTTGTGAGGAATATTAAGAGGCAGAAGGGGGTTACTAAAGTTAGTTATGAGGTGCAAGACGCGTGATGGGAGTTGGTTTCTGGTCGAGCACATAGTGTGCATTGCGAATATATTCAGCTTTGTTCCTTGTGGGAAAATCTCCACCACATTTTTCTACCTGGTATCATGTCCTAAATCCTATAAAGCTAGCTCCACTGTTTCCTGCGCCTGACCCCGCATCTCATCATGCAAATCTGCCCTTTTGTCCTTCTAAAGCATCTTCTGAACACGCCTACAGCTCTAGCTCAAGTAAGCAGCCAAAGCTTGCTTCGAAACATCGTCCAAACGCTCTTGCACAATCTTGACAATACGGCCGCCGTGACGGGCGTCCGCATCTTTCAAGTATTGACCCACCCAAACCTTCACATCGGGAATCTCCGGGAAGGGATCGCGTGGAGCCTTCTTGCAGGTGTTCAGCTGGGTAAAGCCGACACCGAAACCGAGCTCGTCGACATCGGCATCGGGAATGATATCATCCGCAGAGGTGGGCATAGGCGGGTTTACCAACAGCTCGATCAGGCGCTGGGTAGTAAGGGTCCAACCCTTGGGATATCGGGAAACGAAAGCTTCTGAATCGCCCAGAGTCTTGGTGAAAGACACGACTGCGGTCTTGCGGTCGGTTGGGCGAGCGAGTTTCTGGGTGTCGGGAAGGATGACAGTCAAGTAGATGGGCTTGAAGATGCTGTTACAAAGTCAATAATTAAACTCCTGAATCTCGGACAATCCTTCACTTACTCATTCTGAACCTGATCAGACTCTTTGATGAAGAAGTCGGCACCAAGTCCCTTGTCCAGTCGCGCTGAAACGAAGTGGTAGAACGCAATGAAGCGCTGCTGGAAATTCTCTGTCTTCATGTTCGACAGTCTTGTGAGCATCAGCTGGAGGATGGTGACAAAGTAGGGTTGTAGCGCATCCGCAGGGATGTGCGCAACGACTGCTTCAATCAGCTCGAAGGAGTACGTCTCGTGAGCCTTGCTAGTGACCAGCTTTTGGAATATGCCCAGAATGGGCTCCAATTGCTTGCTTGCCACGATGTTTTGTGCGTCGCGAGCAACCATTGCACTTAATAGCCGGGCTAACGCGGGGACGTTGCCACGCTGCTCCCAGACCGCACCCTGGAGGATGATGCCGAACACACCCCTGTAGTATTCGCTGAGCTGGCCTGAAGGGTTTGCTTCTAGTAGCGCAGAGAAGATCTGGAATATGTACGGAGAGAACTCCTCAACGTTGGCCTGCAAGCAGGTTGCAAAGGGCTCGTAAAGCTTTTCCTCGAAGAACTGAGGATGCTTTGGGGCACAGAAGCGGACAAGTGCTCCTATACCTTCAAACATGAAGTACTGGAACCGAGGGTTGCTAGGGTTGTGCCTGATCACCTTGACGATGTTGATGAAGCTTTGAAGAATCGACTCGCATATGGGCAGTACATCATCGCGTATGAAAATGAGTACGCGCATAACGCACTTCATCAAGAACTCGTTCTCCTGGATCTTTTCCGGGGCAGAACTCTTTGTGATGAGCTTGAACAAGTGCGTCAATAAGTCTTTCGATGAGCCAACAACGTCTGACTTGGGTATTATGGGTTGCCGTTTGTCGTCTGTCATGTACAGAGCACGCTCGACAGCGATAGCAGCGTATGTATGAATGACGTAATTGTCATTGCCCAACTGGTTCACGAGCAGGGGGAAGGCAGCGCGCCAAAGGTCTGGTGATAGTAGGCTGCGGAAGACGTACAGGAACTTGATGGCATCGACCTTCAAAATGGGCGATACGTTTTGAGCCTGAAGGTCAGCTGCAACGTGTGTCTGGAAGAAGTCTAGGATGTTGACGTTCTCGTTGACGCTCATGATACCCTGGCCAGCAGTAGCAGTTCCCTTGGCAGCAATGGCGGTGAAGAGGTAGACTGCGGTATCCTTTGACTTCCAGTTGTTCTCAGGGTCGGCCGCATAGTTTTGAAGATAAGCGTCGATGTACTTCTGGGAAGTAGTCGTAACGAGTCCCTCGAAGCGGTCCATGAGTTTACGCAGGAAGTTAGTGGCAGCACGTCGACGCGTATCGTTATCGGACCCCTCCAGGTCTCTTCTGATGAACTCAATCGGCTCATCCTCGAACAATTCCACATCAGACTCGCGCAGAGTCAGATTTGGCAAGATGACCTTTTCGATGATCTGGACTAGGACAGACTCGTTGTTGAAGGCCTCGGCGTGTTGTGTGGATGCGACGGCGGTGAGGAACTGTAGCGCCTTGCTGACCAGGATGTCGTACTTGGTCTCGAGGCCAACCGACATGAGGAAGCTCCAGGTGCTCTCGATGAAGGGACCCAGGTGGGACCCAAATGCGTCCTCGTACTTCTGAATGTAGAGCATGAGCACCTCGAAGATGCCCGCGCGTACGTACTCTTGCGGCCCCGACTCGGTGCCATCATCGGTGTGTAGGGCGGGGTTGTCGAAGACGAGGTACTTGTGCAGAAGCCCTGAGATGATTCCGATGTGGTCTTCGAATACGGGGGGCAGATCCTGGCAAGAAAGATCGTAGAACAGCTTGACCAGGAGATCTAGCGTTGTGAAGGCGCTCTTGAGGACCTCAGGGTTGCCTTGGGAGTTTGTGATGAGGGCGTCGGTGTTCTCGAGCAGCTGGAGGAAGGGAGTGCCGAATTTGGACAGGACGTGGTTGATTTCGGTGAAGAGATCGTCGGAGCGGAACAGCGGCCGCCAGCGCTTGAAGATGGAGTGTGCGACTTGTAATACGCCGTTGTTGACGACGGTGTTGTCGGGTGTGAGGCGCGAGACGAGGTCATCGACTAGGGTGTCCCATCGCTGCCAGAAGTCGCTGTCGGCAATGGCGCTGATGGCCTCGCCGAGCTGTGCTTGCAGACTGGCGGGTACCGAGACCATGAGGCCGATGAGCTCTCTCTTGATGGCCACAACCTCGTCCTCGGGCAGCTTGTAGTTGCCATCCTCGTCGACCCAATTCCGCTTGATGAAGTTTTTGAAGTAGAGCGCGGCCGACAGTCGGGTCGTCTGGGGGTTCGCATCCGAGGCGACGATCTGGAGGAGGGAGAGGGAGAAGCCGGGCTTGGTCTGCTCTTGGGTGATTGCGGCCTCCGCTGTGAAAAGTTAGCATTGCATGCTGGGTGGTGTGGGGGGATGGAGGGGCAAGATGCTAGCCTGGATTCCAGACGGATGCGCATATACTGAGGTATACAAAGGCTAGCGTCTGTATATCCTGCGTACGCGCATTCTCTTTCCAGAAATCCAGGCTACACCACATGAGCACTGCGGGAAACACTGCTACGCACCTTGCTTGTTCTGCCGCGGGTCTAGCGACGCCTGGAGCAGCTGCGAGAGGGTAGCGATATCAGCAGCCATGGTGACGGGCGTAGAGGTGCAGATTCAGTGGACGGGTGGCTGGTGGACAGAGGGCTCAATTGTTTGGCGGATGGTTGCTGTTTGGGGTGTCCCACTTGGGGCGCTAGGGCCTGTCGAACGTGTGCAGGGATCAGGTCCATGACCCCAGCGCGGCCGGGCGACTGCTACTCTCGAATTCTGGATGCTGTGCTGCTGTCTAACAAGGTCGAGTCCACTACGACGCCGCCTTCCCTCCAGGCGTGACCCGTTTCCTTCTCTCTCCACCCGCAAATGGGCTCCCCCAGCCGCCCCGCCTCTCCGCCGCCCAGCACCCATGATAGACTCGATGCGCCTGCGTCACTCGATTAACTCTCCTCTTGGGCCCTCTCCGCCGTAGTCGTCGAGCATTCGCACTCTTCACCAGGCAAAGCCCATCTGCGCCGCCGCGACCGACGCATGTCTCCGCCGGCCGACCATGTCCCCCACACGCCCGACCGCCGCTCCTCCACCCAGGCGCTCTTCACGGCCTTCCGCTCTCTGACGGGCGGCCGTCTGAAGAGCCCGACGCCGCCGCCCTCTGTCTCGTCCGCCACCAGCACGCCTGCGCGCACGCCCTCGCTGGGCACCATCCGTCCTGGCTCCGTCCCTAGCCCGCACTCAGCCGACGGTACCCTTCAGCGCATCAGCCAGGTCACTGGCCAGCGGACGGGCAAGCCTGTGACGGGCGGTCCTCCCGAGCTGCACGACCTGATAGACCAGTTGCAGCGGAATCGCCCATTTGCCGAGCGCGTCGTGGCCGTGGACAAGATATGCGACATCCTCGAGGCGTATCCGGTGCACAACATACTGGCGTTGTGGTCGGTCGCGAGCGACTTGCTCCTTCCCGAGCAGCCAGACGATGTCGCAGAGGCGGGGTACAAGCTCCTCAAGAGCTGCGCATCGCTTTCCGACCTGGCCAGCATCGAGCGCACTCTCTTTTTCGACGCCGCCTGTCTGCGCAAGAACGATCGCTATTTCGACAGGAGACTCGACGTCATCGCCACCCTCACCAACGATGGGCGCAACATTGATTCCTGCGAGTCGGGCATGGTCTCCTTTATCCTGACCTCGCTCGATAGCTGCTTCCAGGCCAGTTGCGATGCCTTCCGCGGCCTGAGGGGCAAATCCAACGGCAAGAGGAGTGCGGCCAATCCTCCTCTAGAAGTCGCCAACATGTTTCGCGCCTTCCAGTATGCCACGGATATTTGCAAGTTCAATGCCAAAGTCTTCACCGACGACGATCTGGACCTCCTGGTACGACGGACCGTCTCCATCTGCAGGGCCACGACTCATCGCCCCGATGTGGAATGTGGTGTCAAGCTGTTCGATACAATCATCACCTATGTGCATATACCCAAACAATCGCTGCGACCCTGTCTCGAAGTTCTCTGTGAAATCCACAAGAGGATCACCGATCTCCAGGATCAAGCCTGGAACACGCTGAGCAATTTGTTCAAGTCCCATGTCGGACAAGCTGCTATTTCTGAATTGCTACATTTGCTCTTGGACGGCCCGTCCCGGGAGACTCTAGAAAACGAGAGTCTTAAGAAGAAGCTAGACAGCATGTACAGGGGCACGACTTTGGTGTTGCGCCTTCTGCTTTTGGAGGATGGTCGCAACGAGCTGCCCAAGGTCCCCATGTCC